TAGAGATTTCCCACTATCCTTTAAAGAATGATTGTAAAAACATATACAGCAGTTGGAAGTAGTTTAATTGTGGCGTTGCCTACATCCCAGTGGGCATAACCCAACACTGACATGGAACACACGATAGCTGCACACTGTATGGGATGATGATACTTTTCTAAAAGAGTTTACCAAAAAAAAGGCTTATAGGGTGAACCAGTTCCCTGCTGTTACCTTCAACCATTTTTGGCCCTGCATAGAGATTGTATTCACCTGGCCCCACCATTCCAGTTCTGATGAAGTATCATACCCAACATGTTTATTTGTGATTTTCTTGGCATTCATTAGTGTAAAGGGAAGCATAGACAATTTTCAGAAGATTATTAGAGTCAAGGTTCTTTGAATTCTGTCAATTCTTTTTCTGATGCTAATTTATGTGCTGTGTTTCCAACATTTTCTATTTTTATTTCAAATTTCCAACAGTTTTTTATTACCTTTTTCCATTTTATTTAAATCTCTGGTGACTATTTGATAAGTGTCTACCGCAATGTGAAAAACAGTCTTCCAAATGTCATATGTCTGAATGTCTGTGGGTAATCTTGCAGAGTGAGTATCCTTCAATCACAAGGCGATATTGGATGAACTAGAACAGGGTGGTCCAACCTTTTGGCTACTGACTACTGGATGCCGGATTTGAGACGTCTCCATGGGTTGAATAAGCAATATTTTTGTGATTCCCTTACAAGATTAACCAACAAAACGGATGAACCATGACTCAGTGCACCAAGGTCCGAGGCCCCGAATACCTTTTACCTCCTGGCTGCACCTCTCTTCCCGTCACTCTCCGTTATGAGGCAGCGCAGCGAGTGACAGGAAGAGAGGCAGAGCTGGAGGTATGATTCATTCCTCCGCTCCTCTTGCCATCCCTCTCTGCTCTGACCCGTGCCTCCTACAGCCTGAGGAAGCTATGCATTGAGTGACAGCAAAGGGGCAGAGCTGGAGGTACGAGTCATATCTCCAGGATGTCAGGCGAGGTAAGAGGCAGTGTGGAGAGCAGAAGCCATGTCTAGCAGCAATAGAGCTTATCTTAGTAGTGCTGAAAAATAGTTTGATATAGACGTGTTGACGAATTTGTGCACTTTCTGGATGTCATATCACATATTAAATGTGAGAAAAAANGAATTGTTTTAAGATTATGAAATAGAATCATTTGGTGGAATCAACATTTCCAACTGGGGCAGTTGATCTACATACAATCTAAACCCGACCAGTAACAGTCTGAGAAGATGAACATTTGTTCTCAAAGATGAGTCTCATCAAAAACTCACTCAGATCTACAATGATCCAGGATAGATTGAATGCACTCCAAGTTGTGTCTATTGAGTACGATTTGACACACTAAGTTTTGATCATGTAGTTGGCATGTTTGCAACCATGAATTCCCGCAAGTATTTTAAAAAGGTAGTGTTGCATATTTTGCATGCATTGTTCAAAGGTCCCCAAATGTGATTGCGTAACTATTACTTACTTTCTTGCAATATACAATAATCATTAAATCGACATAACACTTCTCAAGATTTTCCGACATTTCCTTGAGCAGTACAGTACAAAATGTGGCAGTTAAACATTTTCGGGGGGATGGAGTAAAACTTACTAGCTTAATAACTTAATTCAAGCTGCACATTAGAGCAAAGACCCATTAAAGTGCAGCATGAATAGGTGCAATGTTAGAACCACGATTTGAATGAAACGCTTTCATTCAAATCGCGGTTCAGCCCCCACAATACGCTTGCACTCTCATCGAGTATGAAAAAAGACTAGCGCGATCTCTGCTCCCCATAGACTTAGCAGGTAAGCAGAATGTTCCGCTGGCCAAATTATATCATCCCCCGGGTCGAATGCGGGCCGCCCTGTTCTAATGAAAACATTCTCTTAGCGTTGTTTGTGAATCTTGCTTCTATCCCAAACACACCTAAATAAACATTTATGGGAGGATGTAGGTAAACTGTAGATTAAACTAATTCTGTATCAAACAAGATATAATAATCCTTGCATTTGATATAGTGCCTTATCACGTCTTCGAGACGTCTCAAAGCTCTTCACAGAATATACTGTAAAGTGAATTGACTGTATATTTTGTGGGCAAAACGCGGCAGCCAATTGCGCACAGCAAACAGTTGTGGATTGAGTGACCAAATTATTTTTTTGAAGGAATTATTACCTCCGAAAAAGTGATCCGCCAATCGACTAACAACCGGGTTCCTACTTACTGCTATGTAAACAGAGGTGTGTGGAGTAAGGAAACCTGCCCAATATTTTGCCCTGCCCAGGAATCAAACCCAGGTCTCTTGTTTGTGATGTGAGTGCTCTAAGCACTGAGCTACAGGATGGCATTATTAACGGTGGGGGGTTTCCCTTTAGACCTTGAAATCCTGAGTTGTTGTTGCTGTCTTTTTCAAAATGTTCAAAAATAATATTTTGAATTAATACCTATGATATATCAATGGTCTCTGTTCAATAAGTTTATTAATATTGTACAAATATGATAAACCAGGTTAATAACATCAGATAAATATGCATTTACTGCTGGTCTCTCACGTTATCACATTTTTATTTTGGAAATATAACTAGATAGTGACAAAGAATGGGATTTTGCTTTTAAATATTATAACTACCACCAATTTAGTAGCTAGAAACATCAGTAATAAAATGCTCATTTCAAAGAAATCTTATTACAGCCTACAAATGTCAACCTCACTAGTCTCTTGGCTCAGCTGAAAGTCCAGTAGATTACAGATGTCCTAGAGGCAGCAAGTGAGATACCAAAATCATTTTAAACTTAAAATAGATTTGTGGATAATTGGAAACTTGAGAAATCGTTTTATAAGCCTATTAAAAATCAGAGGATTATCTTAAAATGTTGGAATCACTTTGGAATGACAGACAAAACTTGTTAAAAATGAAGGAATGGCACAACTATTATTTATCTTGCTTCTGCTTTCACAAACGAATGCAATGGTTAGACTTAGGATTACAAGAGGAGGTTAAGGAATTACTAGGGATAGTTATTCAAAGGGTAATGGCATTAGAAAGGTTACCCAGCCCCGATGGTATGCATTTTAGAATACTGAGGAAAGTTGGAAAAGAGATATTGGAAACTTTGACCACGATTTCTAGAACTTTGGGAACACTCCCATTCAAAAAGAGGAGAGAAATAAAATGGAAAATTATAGGCCTATTAGCCTTAATATCAATGATCTGTAAGATTCCATAATAAGGGATCAAAGTCAAACGGCATAGGTTAATCTGGACAGCAGCATGGATTTCTGGAAGTTGAATTTTTTTTAAACGAATATATAGCTGAAGGGAATGCAGTGGTTCTATGAATGAATTTTTTTGGAAGATATTTGACAAGATCCAACACAAAAGACTTGTTATAAAGTTTTAGGCACATGGTACAATGCAACCCCATTGTAATGTGCTTCTTTATAACGCAGATTTGGTTATAATGCAGTTGCAGTGTGGATCCCTTTCAATGTGCATGGGCACAGCTAACTTTGTACATGCACAACCTCTGCCCTTGATTACAGGAAGAATACTGTCCTGATCATTTATTTATCTGTCGAACATCATGTCCTCTATGAGCTCTGACTCTCTTTACTTCCGCGCCCCCCCCAACCCCCCAACTCGGTTTGGGCTCCCAGTCAGCTGTGTAAATCACTTTGAAACATCCTCCTGATATGGGAAGCATTATATAAATGCAAATTATTATGCAGTGTTGACTGCAAAAATGTTATTATTTCTATTTTGCTGGCAACCATAGGTTACTATTATTTATTTACTATTATTTAAACAATAAGTTCTGATAAATCCGGGTAGTTTAAAGGTCGAGTTGGACAGTAGACCGGTCCAAATCTCGAGAACGATAAGGACGGCAGTCAGAGAGGCAGAAGAAGGAGGACACGATGCCTGCAAAATTGGGACCTCTGGTCCTTGATGAAATTTTTCCACACTATCGTATGTTGTTGGATCGTTTGGATCAGTGTGCTGTTGGTTTAGATCAGCCCTTTTAGGGGAAGGACGTTATCCACATACAAACCAGCTATTCTTGCTCCTTACAGAAGGGAGCCCAACCAGGAAGGCAGATCAGATCTGTTGGTATTTTCACAGCTGCACTGATGTATATTTTCAAATAGTTTCTGTACTTTATGGTAGGTCATTTTGAAGACCATCATTCGCAGCATAAAAATTTTAACCCAATTAGATAATTTTATTATGAAGCAAGATATTTAATAAAAAAGGAAAGATTAAAATAATTTGCACAAAAAAGTTTTCTTCAGATGTGTAGATAAATGATGCTTTGTTTGTAGCTATGTTTATAAAATGTATGAAGACATATTCAAATGCCCTCTTCGCCAGTCTCCCCAGCTCCAACATGCAGAAGATCCAGCTGATCCAAAACTCTGCTGCCTATATACTCAACCACACTGAACTCCGTACATCCATCACATCAGTTCTAGCCACGTTCCACTAGCTTCCTATCACCGAACACTTCGATTTCAAGGTTCTTGAACTCGTTTTCAAATTCTATCATGCCTTGGCACCTGCCTATCTCTCTGACCTACTCACCCCCAGCCCAAAACCCACTGCCTCCACTCGACTGGCTCCTGCTTTCTGCATGTCCTTCATGCCCTCTATTCCACCAAAGGTGGCTGCGCTTTAAGCCACTATGCCCCAAAACACTCTTCCTCTATTCCTCTGCTTTGCCCCTTCTTTCTGCATCTTTCGATCGCACCTAAAGACCTTCCATTTCAGCCGTGCCATCGGTCACCCCCCTTCCCCGCCCCTCCTTTCTCCCCCCCCTGACCCCAGATCGGGTCTGAAATGCTGCACACTGTCCAGCACTTTGGGACATCCTCCCGACGTGAAAGGCGCTGTACAAATGTAATCTTGTTGTTGTAAAGTGAAATATAGTTTTCACAAACAATCCTTTCAACCACTGTAACTTTTTGTTTTTTCAGACACTGTCGTCTGGAATGGAACAACATCCAGAGGAATTCATTGGATCAAGAATTGATGAGGTTTCACTGATTGAAGGAATTAGCGACCAGGTTCTTCTAACAGTAGCTATCACCTTTGCAATGTTAGGAGGTTTAGCAACTTTTCTATATAGGTGAGATAACAATACTAATCAGTTTCATTTCAGGTTTGGTTTATGTTATATTTTCACTACTCTACAACATTTACCATCTGTTGTGGTAGCACAATTGTGCCATGTTTTGCCCACAAGATATACAGTCAATTCAGTCGAGGATTGACTGTACAGTTAAGGAGTCTTTTAGCTCAGTGGTTAGAGCACTCGACTTGCAAGCAAGAGACCTGGGTTCGATTCCCGGCAGGGGAAACCTTGAGCAAGTTTCCTTACTCCACACCCCTGATAATAATTCCTCAAGAAAAAGAAGCAATAAAAACTGTTCACTTCAATCCACGACTGTTTGTGGGACACTGCTGTATGCAATTGGCTGACGCATTTTGCCCACAAATATACAGTCAACTCACTTTACAGTATACTCTCTGAAGCGCTTTGAGACATCTATATCAAATGCAAGGATTATTGTTATGTTACCACACTTTGTAATTGTGAGTTATGTGACTTTGAACTCACAGTCCAGGCTGACACACCAGGCTGGGAATTTGAAAACAGAAGAGTTTCTTCCAGGATCCTGCCCAACAATCCCACAGATAAAATTGGTTATTCACAACTTGACTTTTTGTCAGTTTTTGCTGTGTGCAAATTGGATGCTACATTAGCCTACAAAAAATCACTACATTTTTCAGTAATTCCTATAAATACTTTTGAAACGCCCTCCTGATGTGAAAAGTGTTATGTCAAATGCAAGAATTATTTTACTTAGATGCCACCAATTTCACTTTCACTACAATCTAGGAGAATCTATCAGCAAATGAAAAGCAAGAGAATGAAAAGCACATTTTAAATGCTTTGCAGAATGTATCTTGCAGATTTAAAGAGAAAAAGAAAATCAGTTTACAGAATTTGGTAGACCAGAAATCAAACATGAAGATAATGGAGGACCTCCATGCTAAATTTAATATATGCTGGAAATAAGTCAGTAATTAGGTGAAACTTTGAACAAAATTGAAAAAACTAGTCAATAGAAAAATGACTATTTATGCATTGAGTGGAATACAACTAGAGACATCAACAACAATGACTTATTTTACTCAAGTATTTGAAACTTGGAAAATTGCATTTGGGTGATTTTTAAAAAAATAATAATAATCCTTGCATTTGATATAGAACCTTATCGTGTTGCTAAACATCTCAAAATGCATTGCAGGATTATTGTGTGTAGGCAAACACTTTATGTACTTACTTTAAACTTGATTCAAGAAGTGATGGTTATTTTGTATGCAGACGTATAAAGGAGTTTAAGAGAATAAAAGTACCTGGAAAAGAAAAAAGGAATTTTATAGCATTGTTGCTGGCTTTCCACTGAAGACATTTGTATTTATAATTGATTAGTGCTTATGGATAAAAATGGGAAGGGGGAGAGAACTATAATGTCAACTCAGTGACTTTGAGTCAACTGAAACTTAAGAAATGAAAACGGAACAGTACCAGAAAAATATATGAAGTGGAGATTTAAGACGATTCTAAATTGTGTGCTGCATGTAGGACATCCAGGTTCGTTGTGGGGAAAATAAGTATATCCCTCCATTAAGGCATTTGGCACTGGGATATCACTCTTATTCCCCCTCACTACGAAAGCATCTCCCTGAGATGATTATGCAATGTTTATTATAATAATTATCTTATAGTGCATTTGATATAACGCCTTATCATGTCTTCGAGATGTCTCAAAGCACTTCACAGAATGTACTGTAAAGTGAATTGACTGTATAGTTTGTGGGTGAAATGCAGCAGCCAATTGCGCACAGCAGTGTCCCACAAACAGTCATGGTTTGAGTGACCAAATTATTATTTTTTTTTTGGAGGAATTAGTACCCCAGTGACAAAGTTGATATTCCTGGATGAACTGGAAAACACAGTGTTCTATAGAATGTAACAAAAACAAATTGCATTTATATTGCCTTTCGTGTCAGGAAGGCATCTCAAGACTCTGGACAGTTAAGGGTTTAACTGGTGTTGGAATCGAGAGGGGTGGAGGGCAAGTGGGGGGGTGGGAGGATGACTGATGCACAATCAAAGAGGAAGATCTTGAGAGAGACAAGAGAGGGCAAGGTGAAGGGACTCAGGAATGGAGTTCTTGAAGGTGGGGGCAGAAAGGCTGAAGGCCTGTCCGCCAATAGTAAGGTGGGCAGATGGGGGGACATGGAGCAGTCCTGTGCCCACTGAGCAGAGGAAGCAGACAGGTTGGTAATGTTTTAATAGGTTGCAGAGGTAGGAGTTGAGGATGAGGATCTTAAACTCAATCCTCTGGTGATTGGAAACAAAAACAGAAGTCGTTGGGAACACTCAGCAGGTCAGGCAGCATTTATGGAGAAAGGAAAGTGACTCACTTTCCTTTCTCCATAGATGCTGCCTGACCTACTGAGTGTTCTGTTTTTGTTTTAGATTTCCAGCATCTGCAGTATTTTGCATTTTGCCTCTAGTGATTGGACCCAGTGAAGATTAACTCACGGAGCCTGGTGTGGTAGACGACACGAGCTGCAGAGTCTTGTATAATCTGCAGCTTGTGAAGGTAAGAGTTAGGATGTCTGGAAAGCAGGGAGTTAGCGTAGTCAAACCTGGACATGATAAAAGCACAGATGAGGGTTTCGGCAGCCTGACTGGAGAGATAGTGATGGAGGCAGACATTATTGTGGGGGAAGGCAGAATGGGTCATAGCACAGATGTGAGGTTTAAAGGACAATTGAAGGGTCAAGCAAGACACCAAGGTCCCATACTGGCTCTGAGGTGGCGAGTGCATCCATGAATCGTGGTGCTGTCAGCACCTGTGATGAGGCGTTGACTGGAGCCAAGCAGAGGCCCCCTGTGTTGTCGACGTTCAACTGGAGAAAGTTAGCTCTCAACCAGGACTTGATGTATGACAGATAATCCGTCAAGACAACAGCAACAAAATTACATTTGTGTAGCCCTTTCACGTCGGGAGTTCCTGGAGACAAAGGTAGAATAGAGTTTCAACTGCATACATGTGGATGTTAACCCCATGGCTGTGATTTTACCATGGAGCAGAAGCACGTATATGGTCAAGGATGTCTCTTACAATCTTTCGTCCCCTTCTGAACCAGATAGTAAACCATGATTATGTATCAAGGCACTTTACAGAATTAGTTATTTTGAAACATAGTGACTGCTGTACGGGTAAAAGCAGCAGCTAATCTGCTGCTTATATCAGTAACTGCATTATGTTGGATAATCAATTAATTTGAAAGTTTTCCTTGATAAATGTGGATGAGTGAGAAATACATGGAGTCCTGTAACTCAATGGTTAGAGCACTCGCCTTGCAAGCGAGATACCTGGGTTCAATTCCAGGCACAGGACGAAACCTTGGGCAAGTTTCCTTACTCCACACGCCTAATAATAATCCCTCCAAAACCAAAACAATAATAAATTGGTCATTTTCAATCCACGACTGTTTGTGGAACACTGTGGAACACGACTGTGCGCAATTGGCTGCTACGTTTTGCCCACAAATATACAGTCAATTCACTTTACAGCATATTCTGTGAAGCGCTTTGAGACGTCAAGAAGACGTGAAAAGCGCTATATCAAATGCAAGGATTATTATTATTAAATATTGGCCAGAACACTGAAAGGATTCCTTGCTCTTCAAAATAGTGCTATGGGATCGTTAAAGCCCATCTGAACCACAACTACAAGTGATGAAACCTTGGTTTACGATTTCATTTGAAGAATGATGGCTCTAACAATGCATCTCTCCCTCAGTGCTGCGCTCGAGTGTTCAGTTATATTACAAGCTCAATCCTTGTTTTGGGGAGCAAACTCGCCCCTCTTAAAAAATCTTGAAATCTTATGAAAATCTCGCACCCTTCTGAAAAGGTATGTTGTGTATCCACTGAATAGCCCTCATTCACAAGAAGTTACTTTTTCAAAGCATTCCAGTAAATTTTGATGGCAAGGTGTTTGTAAATGTTATTATCCATTTTTGCCTCTGCATTCATTACATGAAAGTTGGCAGAAACGCATTCAGTTCTGAAGAACTTCTCTTATTTTGATCTTAAATTACAAATGCATTTTATTAAAAAGTTGCATCATTTTAAGATATTGATATCTTCTCAGTCCTAGCTAGAATAAAGAAAGTGTTTTCTTAAATTCAGATTCACAAACATCTTGCATCTGAAATGTTTGAGAACTGTTTTGTGGAATATTTCAAACAATTTATTTCCAAATGACCAAATGCAGGCGATGTTAATATATGTTCTTTCTCTTTTTGTTCTCTCTTTCTTTCTCTCTTTCTTTCTTTCAGAAATGAACAGCAGAATATCCATCCTGAGAATCAGGAACGTGTGAGGGAACTGCGGCAGCACCTCCAAGCTGAGGCCTTGAATCACCAGGTACAAACAATTTTGTAAAGCAAAACTGTGTTATAGTTTGATATGTTTCTCTACATTGCAACAATCAAATAAGTAAATCATAGCTTACAATTTCGCCCACAAATGTACAATCAATTTACCTTACAGTATATTCTGTGAAGCGCTTTGAGACGTCTAGAAGACGTGAAAAGCACTTTAACAAATGCAAGGATTATTATATATTATTACAATTCAAAATAATTAATAGAATAGTAAAAAAAGGAAATTTATTGCAGGTGCCTCTCAGATGTAGGGATTTTTACTATGGGCAAACATATGTTCGCCCATTGCCCCAGACATAAAAAAAAATCTTATTGTGTTAAAGTATGTTATTGATATGTACTGCAGTAGTCACTTTCTTCATCTGCCACAAAGGGACTGCCTGAGAAAGATCAGTAAGTTATTCTACTTACAACTGTGGTAAATAAGTTTTGTATGCTGCTTGAAATATTAAACAAAAATAATGAAAAATACAAATTCTCTCCTGTTAAACTGAACATAAGAAATTCAGTACTTATTGTTACATGAAACTTTGGTTTGAGTCAGCCACCAAACCTTGCCTGCTGTTCCACCCCTTGCCCAAACCATGTAGTCAAATAAAGGAAAATTAGAATAGTAATGGTAATTTATTTTATCCAGTCTGGACCAAATTTCACATGTGAAATTTGCAATATATTCCTAAAATATAGGTGCCTTTGACGTTCAATAACATTTGCTATTTGTAATAACATAATAATTAAATCTTGCATTAGATACGGTGCCTAATCACTTCATCAAAATGTCTCAATACTCTTATTAACAGGATTTTACTATAAAGTGCATTGACAATATATTTGTTGGCAAACCTGGCAGTCAATTTGTGCACAGCAATGTCCCATAAATAGCCTTGAAGTGAATGCTCAATTTTTATCTGGAATATTGATAGCCAGGACACTGGGAGAAAATCCCTTCTCTTTTCAAACTGCCATGGAATCTATACTGTTCACCTGATCAGGCAAACAGGACCTGGGTTTAATGTCTCAAAGATAGCATCTCTGACAAATTAGCGCACCCCAATAGTGGAGTGACAGCCTAGACTGGATTGCCTGGCCTTCACTAGCCTAGTGCCATGAGCTTAAAGAGCCGACATGAGGTTTGAACCTTCTAATTCAGAGGCATGAGCTACCAACTGACGCCTGAACCATAAATATTCTCATTTTTATATGAGAGTTTTGATAGTCAATAAGGAAAATTGTTTCCACTGGGCAGTGAGTCAGTGCCTGGAGGACTCCAATTTAAGATATTTGGCAAACAAACAAATGGGGAGGTTAGGAATTTTTTCATGAATAGTTGGATATTAAATGCTTTGCCAAGATTGGATGTTGAGACAGAATTCAGAAGGGAATTAGATAAATACCTAAAAAGGAGTAAACAACAGGAGTTTGGGAAAGGGCAGGTAAATGGGACTAAAAAAATTGCTCTTAAAGAGCCAGCATACACAAACTGGATTTCCTGGCCTTCTTGTGTGTTATGGTTATCTTTACTGAATGCAATATTCTTTTAATTGCCAGTTATGTTTTGCGTAGCTTTTCACATCGGCGTAATGGTAGAACCTCTTGTTAAATGGTCACTATGGCAGTAATTACTTGGGAAGCACGTTAAGATATTTCAATCTAAGATGATACTGCATAAAAATGCAACTTGTGTTTTTAATACGATTGGATGCAGCTAGATGGTTCAGTGTATGAACATTAACCTTGAATCGTTGGACTAGGAATTTCGATCAAGTTCAGACAGAAAACTGGTTAGTGCAGAACAGATTAATCTTTTTACTGCATCTCAACACGTTTCCTGCTGGACTTGAAAGAGTTTGAATCTGATAGGAAACTATTTTTTTTATTAGTAAAACCACAGGGTGGTAGCGATGAGGTTTTAGGAGCTATCCTTTGACTATTTGTTGCATTTTCTCACACACAAGGAGAATTATGCTTTGAAGTTGACTTGCCCGGTAATAGTCCTGGAATGAGATGGTCGAGAGAAAAATAAGCTTCTGTTAAAGGAAGGTTTAAAAATGTATGCTTTGGTAAACCAACATTAGCATTTAACTAAAACAAACTTTGTATCCACTATAAGAAGCCAAAGAGGATGTGGAAAGATCTGTTTTATATCAAGTTATTAATTTTGGAATGAAATGATGAATAGTTGAGACGTAACCTGCAGTCTTGCCACCTATTTGCGAATTAAATTTTTTTGAGTCAATCAGGTGTCTGATGCACGCGGAAACCCATCACCATGCTAAAGAGTATCGAAACCATCTACACATGGAAATTCCAGAGATAGACTGTTGGAATGGAATGTGCACTCTCTTCCTGGAGGTCGCATCCTGGTTACCTAATTCTGGAAAGTATTAGGTGCAGGTTGGCAAGAGCCAAGGCTTGGGACCCCAGAGTGTGTGTTGGGTATGTGTTGAACATTCCTTTGCCAAGCATGTCACCTTAGAGCCAGTTCAGCTCTAAGGATACCCCGCTTAATTCGACAGAGGAAAAATGGATGTACCTTAGTGCAATTAAATGTTAATTCTAAAACCTCAATTTATACCCAGAAGAGTGATCTTTTATTTCACAACAAACTGTATTTTTTTTGTTTTAGCGATAATGGATTCAATTCACAGATAATTTATTTCATTTTTCTAATGTTGTTAAAGGATGCACCAGCGCAGGATAGACAGCTATTCTACACGGATATGTCCTGTCCAGTTTGTTTACAGCAAGCAGCGTTCCCTGTTGAAACCAACTGTGGTCATTTGTTCTGTGGTATGTGGTTATCGTATTATACAGCACATCCAGAAAATGTTTGAAACTTTCAGTCCTGTAGCGTATTGGTTAGAGCGCTTGTCTTGCAAAGGAGAGGTTCCGGGTTTGATTCCTGGACAGGGCAAAATATTGAGCAAGTTTCCTTACTCCACACGCTTCTGTTTACCTAGCAAGTAGGAACCCAGTTATTAGTCGATTGACAGATCGCTTTTCAGAGGGTAATAATACCTTTTTTAAAAAAGGAAAAAAATTATAATAATAATATGGTCACTCAATCCATGACTGTTTGTGGCTTGATTGACCGTATGCGCAATTGGCTGCCGTGTTTCACCCCCAAAGTATAGTCGATTCATTTTACAGTGTATTCTGTGAAGTGCTTTTGAGACATCTCAAAGATGTGATAAGGCACTATATTAAAAAAACAAGGATTATTATCATAGGTAAATTGAAGAGAGGACAAATTAGGTAATTTTTCTGCAAGAATGGAAGACTTCTAAATTTAAAAGTGGCCTATTTTGGTCTTTAACTCTGTAATCTGAATATTTTTTTCGTTTCTTCTCCAAGATTCTCCCAAGAATTGGAATTGAGCATTCTATATCATTGGGATTTCTGATAAAGTAAATTATAGTTTGTTTTTATTTTTTCTCTTCCCAATCCCCACCTATAGCACTGCCAACTGGCTTATACACTACAAAATTACATTTGTAAAGCACCTTTCATGTCGGGAGGACGTCCCAAGGAGCTGAACAGTCAGGCTTAGGACCCAGCGGGGGAGATGGGGGTTGGGATCAGCGTGGGTGAAGAATAGGAGAGGATCCGAAGGGGCAGACGTAGAGGAGGATCTTGAGGCATGCCTTGAATGAGGGAAGGGAGAGAGCGAGGCGAAAAGAATGTGGAATGCAGTTCCAGAGGGTGTGGTAGAGAGGCTGAAGGCCCAACCACCGATGGTGGGGTGGGCCAGGTAGGGGACATGGACCAGGCTGGAGCCTGCTGAGCAGTGGGAGTGGACAGGTTAATAAATGGTTAGCAGCTCGAAGAAGTAGGAGGGGGCAAGGTCATGGAGGGCCTTGAAGGTGAGGGAGAGAATTTTGAACTCAATTCTCTGAGTGGAGCCAGGCGAGGGTGGGAGTGATGGGGCCAAAAAGCCTGGTGCGGGAGAGGACACAAGCTGCAGAGTTCTGGATGATCTGTAACTTGTGGAGGGAAGAATTGCGAAGACTGATCAGCAGGGTGTTGGCATAGTCGAGCCTGGTTGTAATGAAGGCATGTGTGAGGGTTTCGGTGGCCTGAGGGATGAGGCAGTGGCAGAGTCAGACAATGTTGTGGAGGTGGGGGGAAGGCAGAGTGGGTCATGGCATGGATTTGGGAAAGAAAGGACAGTTGTGGGTCGAACAAGACGCCCAGGTTCCTGACTGGCTTGGTGAGGTGGAGTGTACATCCTTGGATGCTGACGCTGCTAGTGCGGAGGTGCTGGCATGAGCCAATCAGGAGAGGCTTGGTCTTCTGACGTTCACCTGTAGAAAGTTTATCTTCAGGTGCTCTTCTTTCTATAATGTGTATTGATTGCAATCTCATTGGGTCTGTGACTGAGAAACCCTTTTTCTTAAGATTCCACACTCTGTATGCTTGAGATGTGTTTTAGCTTCTTCAGAAATTTCTAGTATATTTAAGTGAAATAAGTATTGGTTTCAAATATCTGTAATTTGCTTTGTCACAAACAGTTCTTTTAAGTAAATCAAATATTTAAATTATGCACATTTTACACATCATAATGATAATAATGTCTCCAAACAGTCATGAATCGAATGGCCAATTGTATTTGAGAGATCGTTGGCCAGGACACTGGGAGAAACTCCCTTCTCTTTTTGTGTAGTGCCATGGTATCTTTAATGTCCACCTGAACAGTGACAAGACCTTGGTTTAATGTCTCATCCAAGAAGAAACAAATTGTTTTACTACCTACAGGAAAATCTAATAATGAAATGTCAGGAAGGAGATGGTGTGAGTTCAGTAAATTTTGCTTCCACTTAAATTCTGTATAGGCACCCATGTCTGTTTTGTATCTGCGTTGAAATAGTATCACTTAAGCATTTAGAGATAATCAAACATTAAAAGCAATGAATTCATAATTCAGGTCAAGTCACTTAAAATTTTGTGAGAGGACCTGAGTTCGATTCCCGGCAGGGTGAGACTTTAAGCAAGTTTTCTTACTCCACCCGCCTCTGTTTACTTGGCAGTAAGTAGAAACCCAGTTGTTTGTTTTTACAGGGGTAATCACTCATTTTTTTTTGAATAATAATAATTTGGTCACTCAATCCATGATGGTTTGTGAGATACTGCTGTGCGCAATTGGCTTCCATCTGGAAGATCGAGCTTGTCCAAACCACCGCTGCCCATCTCTTTTGCTTGCTTATAACCCCTGCCTCCTCTTCATCACCATCAGCAGCCAAGCTTTCAACCACCTTGCCATACCCTCCTCATCTCTCTCCCTTTAGATCTCTCTTGCATGATGTGTCTAGCCCAGTGGACTCTTATACCAGAGTAGGTCAGAGAAGGAGGAACAAATAAATAAAGTTACAATCTGATTGACTCATGTTACAAAAACACAAATCCTGTAGTGATCATAGTGAACTGAAGAAAATATTTTGTTTGTTTCCTAGGTTCCTGTATAATTGCATATTGGAGATACGGCACTTGGTTAGGAGCTGTTAATTGCCCCATTTGCAGACAAATGGTAAGATACATTGCACTAAGCAGAACATATAGAAAAGTTATACAAATACTGGTTAAATATATCTAAATTTCTGTCTTAAAAATATTGTAGAGGCCTTTTTTTGTAATATTATTAAGAAGAATTGTTTTAGATCTCCTGAAATAATTTCTCACTTCAATTAAAGATTAGTTTTTTTTACAGGGAATGGTGGAAAGTCGTACATCTGTGATGTAATTAAAATACCGAAGCCCCAATTTTGCACGCTAAATACTGTATAAATGACCTGGATCTAGAAATTGAGTGCCTCTGCTGCCTTTGGGGCAAAGATGGGGAAATTCAGTCTTTTATTTCTGCTGCATTTTCCCCGTGCCCTTTCATATATTCTTTTCAAATATTTGTCCAGTTTCTTTTTAAAAGCTATGTAATTTTGTTGTGTTATAGATTCTGCTTCAAGTACCATTGTGACTGGGAATTTCATGCCGTAATAACCCTCCAACACAAATTTACAGTCGTCTGGCTTATTGATTATCTGGTTTATCTCTTATCAAATGCTCTCAGTCTCCCCTTTATCGGTTGCAACAAATTTCAGCTGATCTGGCTTTGCTGCTCCCGAGCTGATCCTGTGACCTGTACGGATTCCATAAGAGCGATCAATCGACCTCAGACTAACTCGAGCCAATAATAAAACACTGCAACAGGAAATCGCTCTTCAGTCTCCACAAAATAAGGATGAAATTATATCGGCAATCACTCTAGCTCCTTTTCCACTTAATGAATAAGGTTTTAATTCCAAACACGATACAAATCTTATAAAATTAGATATTGCAAGTAAAAGAATTAAACACATTAGAAATGGAAAATTGTTTTTCTTCACAGTACAGAAACAAAAGAATCAGGCAATATCTCTCTCTCCTTCTTTCAATGTTCTCCTTCAAACCTTTTCAAAAGCCTCTTTAAATAAACAGATCTGGCTTTCTCCCATACTAGTCAAAACTCTTCGATTTAAGCATTATTGAGGATGCTTCAAGGAACTGATCCAATTCAGCATGTGAAAGAACAACGTTACCTTTCAGAGAATGACCATGGAACATAGAATACAACACAATTTGCATTTATATAGTGCCTTTCATGTTGGGAAGACATCCCAAAGTGCATTCACAGTGCTGACAGGGCACCAGAGCTGGGAGCAAGATGACTGAAAGCAAGGGCAAAGAGTTATGTTTTGAGACATGTATTGAAAGAGCAGAGGGAAGGAGAAAGTTGGAGGAACTCTTGAGATGGAATTCCTCAGAATAGCTTGAAATCCACCCTCCACTGGTAGGGGAGAAAGGTGGGGGATATAATAATAATAATTCTTGCATTTGATATAGCGCTTTTCACATCTTCTAGATGTCTCAAAGCGTTTCACAGAATATGCTGTAAAGTGAATTGACCGTATATTTGTGGGCGAAACGCAGCAGCCAATTGCACACAGCAGTGTCCCACAAAAAGTCGTGGATTGAAAATAACCAATTTATTATTTTGTTTTGGAGGGATTATTATTAGGCGCATTATTATATGAAGCAGGCCTGTTCCCACTGAGCAAAGGGAGCAGCCAGGTCAGTTGGATTCAAGGAGATTGCAGAACAGTAGGAGGTGGCGCAAAACAGTAGAGGGATTTAAAAGTGAGAACAATGATCTTCAACTCGATCCGCTGGGGAATGGGAACCAATGGAGCTGAGCGAGGATGGGGATGATAGGGTTGTGGAGGCTGCAGAGTTCTGGATGGTCTGCAGTTGTATAGGGAAGAGCTGGGGAGTCTGGAGAGCAGAGCCATCTGGAGAGCAGAGCCTTGGTGAGTCAAGCCTGGATGTGATAAAAGCACAAATGAGGGTCTCAGTGGTCTGAGGGGAGAGGCAGTAGTGGAAGCAGGCTGTGTTTTGGAGACGAGGGAAAGCTTAGTGAGTAAAAGCAGAGATTTGGAGTTTGAAAGTCAATTGTGAGTCAAACAAGACTCAACCAGCTCCATGAGGTGGAGTGTGCATTCATGCAGGTTAATACTGTCAATGCCTGAGGAGAGACAACACTGACTGGAGACAAGCAGGAAGGCCTCTGCCTTGTCGACATTCAACTGAAGAAAGTTAGCTCTCATCGAGAACTTGATGGAGAATGGAGACCGTGAAGTAGAGAGGACCGAGGATAGAGCCCTGAGCATGTGATTATGAGGCGGCTGGGAGCTCAAGGGTGGTATGGGGATAGAGTCAAGAGAACACATGGTGGGTTTCATATGGGAGATGAGTAAGGAGAAGGATGTAGGAGAGATGGGTGGACGGAAGGGTCTATGGAAGCTGGAGGGGAAGTGGCAAAGGCAGTAAAATTCAATTTTTGGACCAGAGGAAACCCATCATCTCTCATTTGGAATTGGAGGAGGGGGTGGGCGGGGCATGAGAAGACGGGTAAATTAGGTGGTTTGTGGTGGAATCAAGGAGTTTAGGGTTGTCAATGGCCTCCATCATGATCCGGTAGTAGAAGAATAACTTAGCTGAGGCGAGGGTAGAAGAGGTTTCAGTATGGTGCAGCTAGATGTAGTGGTGGACAGTGTGGCCATGTGCATTTTGCAGACGTACCTATGAGTTGAAGGAGCTGAGATAACGTGCAGGGGTAGGATGTGAGGCGAGCTGTGATGGGGATGAGGGTGTTGGGGATGAGGGTGTGCAAGAGAGTCACAGATTGTGATGGGTTTGGTGGTAGAGGAAGTGATGTTTAGGAAGTTTAGGAAGATGAGGAAGTGATCAAAAATGGCTTTATTGGTGATGTCCGAGATGGAACATCTTAAAGCTTTAGCAGATTAACAGGAGGGTGTTAGAAGTTTGGAGATCAATGTTTACCAAACATTCTCCCAAATGTAATGGACCCACCTCTGTTGAATATTGGGTGTCTCCTACTTTACACATACATACACACAGTTAAAACTAACCATTGAACTTAAAGTGTAGTGGATGTTAAATATTTGTTCAATGTACCTGTTTTTACAACCAAGATTCGAGTCAGCAAAACTTGTAAAGGTGCCTAAGATGACAAATGTGACATAGCACAGAGTACGTCACATCGAAAAGTACAATATCCCAGCTGGCTGTGCTTCTTCCTCATAATGTCAGCTATAATTTAAGCACATCACTATTTCTGTTCTAGTTGACATTCAAGTGCTAGAAGCACATAAATAGATTGCTCAAGACACCTTCCCTAGGAAGGTTTTATGGAGTCTGTTGACATCCCAAATAGCTGTAATAAGGAATGGAAATGTCTTGGCATTCTCTCTGTTTGAAGCCTTCATGTCAAAAAGTATTTAACTCCCAATGTAAGGCAATATCAGTGACTGTTTCAGCTACTCATCTGATATATAATAATCCTTGCATTTGATAGAGTGCTTTTCACGTCTTCTAGACGTCTCAAAGTGCTTCACAGAATATACTGTAAAGTGAATTGACTGTATATTTATGGACAAATCACAGCAGCCAATTGCACACAGCAGTGTCCCACAAAAAGTCGTGACCAAACTATTATTTTTTTGAGGGATTATCATTCCCAGAAAAGCGATCTGCAATTCGACTAACAGCTGGGTTCCTACTTACTGCTCGGTAAACAGAGGCATGTGGAGTAAGGAAACTTGCCCAACATGGTGGTAGATGACTAAAAATGGATTTTGAGCACTCGTATATTGTTCAGTAACAAAGTATTGCATTTATGTATTCCTGCTGACTTTGTTGAACATAATTCAATTCCTGTATTAGAAATACTTTATTTTCAGTATTCAAGACTTTCACTTCCACTTGTTTTTGAGAATGTTTAAGTCATTTTTTTCCTTAACCCTAGCAAATCAAATTTGAAAAATCATCAATATTATGAAGTCTGAACAGAGGAAAAAACTCTGTCACCAAAAAAGAATCCAGCAAACTGAATGCTTGGGTTGGAGCCCACATTCCAAATGCACTGAATGTATCTACCAGTGAAAAATGGAGATTCAGTCTCCTGCCAGTAAATGTGAGAGATGGATTTCCACTGATGGTTTCAATGTCTGTTGTTGATGCATCCAAAGTGGGAGTGTGGCCTCCTGCCCAGGAAATTGTGTTCCACAACTCATCTGGCTCTGCATTCCAGATTTTTGTGTATATTTTCAGACCAAGCTTTTACAGCTCCTTTGCTGGGAAGAATGGGTCACATTGAGGAAAAGCTGGAGCTCTTTAACGCCAGTAAAAAGGCTCATCGTAGACCTAAAACTACCTGATCCTTAGAACATAATGAAATTCATTTGGAAGCTTAAAAAAATTCCTATGCATCCATAATTTTTTCTCCATTAAAGGCTTGCAAGGAGTTCCTGGTACCTGCTATCCACCTGGTGAGGGCTCAGACCTGAATTTATGGATGTCAAATTAACCAATTAGTGATTGTCCATCTTGAGGGAGAGGCAGGCAAGTTTTCCATTGAGCTGGCTCCAAGGTGACATGCTTGGCAGTGGAATGACAGAATTGAATGGCGGTTTCTCTGTGGTGGTCTCGGTAGTCGGGTTCCTAAGCCAGGTAGGTCCACAATTCTCTAGGGCACTGCCGTGGCAGCCCAGCCAGCCTTGCTCATTGGTAGGACATGGAGGGGCAGAATCTGCTGTCCTGTTCAGATATATGTGCTGAGCAGAGACATAGGTAAGGGGAGGCAAAGGTTGAAAAAGAAAGCTGTATCTTCAGAAAACAGTGCTCTGATTGATTTACCTTGAAATTCCTAATTGTAGTGGAATTGCACCTATTGCAAACATTGTAATTGTCACTGTGACAGAGTGTAAAAAGTATACCATATTGTTTGAATCTAAGGCAATCATTTTATCTAAATTGTGCTTTAAAATTGCTACTCGCTTTGTTTGCAGCCCAACCAAAACCAGTATCACGTCACAGGGCTGCTCGAGACCAGCAGAAAAAGTCCAGTGTGTACTGGCAAGAATTGGGAAACTTGTGTACATGCATCAGATTGCTCGGTGATGTTTTCATCCCTAGTAACAATTCTTACCCATGCTCTCAACTTTTTTTGCTGGAAGCACAAAGATACTTTTTTTATTAATAAAAAAAGATTATTTCCTCAGAGGAGGAAAGAATAACAGAGAGAGTGGGTGAGGACTGACGCAATATGACAGCTGTGGAGAATGCATTACATTGCCAATGATTTGAAATATATTCTATTATACATATTTGTGTTTTGACTGTTCTAAAATTAATGTGTTTTTCTCAATTGTAACTGAAAGTTGGGGGGAAGAGTCCCTGATACTTGGAACAATGCTGCATTGGAGGTTTTTGTGCAAATCAAATCTTATACTCGAATACATTTTTAAATTAGTTTGTCGAATGCTTCAAGAGAGAAGTGACTGGTGATGTCTTACATAGGTTAAACGGAAGAAGAATGATGTGGTAAAAGCGCTTTGGGAAGTCCTCCCGAAGTGAAAGGCCCTCTATAAATGCAATTTTGTTGTTGTTGTAAAATAAAAGGGTACACATTTTAACACCCCTTGAAAATCATATCTGTAAAAAGTAGATTACATTTGTACCGAGTAGCCATGTGACTTTACAATTTGCAAACTTGTTTAGCTTTATTGTTTTTTACTTGGGTGGTATCAATTTAATTGCATGTGTTATGCCAATGTGTACTGTTATTCTAAGTGCTTTCATATTCTGGAATAATCGTTTCAACTGCTTATAATTGTTTTGTGGCCAGGTGACATTGCTATTCCCACTGTTCCCAGTGAATGACCAGCAGCTGCCAGAATCTATGCAAATTATTCAAGAAATAAACAATTATAACAGAAGATTTTCTGGTCAACCTAGATCTGTAAGTTGAGTGAATGTTGAAATTGTATGACTGAAAACATAAATAGATAAGTAGATCCAAAAGAAGTTAACACTTAAGTTTAGGAACATTTTCTTTTTACCACCTGGATATGTTGGATGCTGTTTTGTGGGTTAGAATAACTTAAATTGTCATTTTAGCAATAAAATTCTTAGATATTCTTCATTCCAGGTATTTTCCACCCACCCCTGAGTTTCTGAACAAATAATTGGGAGAAATTAATTATAATAATTATCCTTAGATTTGATATAGCACTTTTTACGTCAGGAGGTTGTCTCAAAGCATTTCGTGGGATTTCTTTACTCAGAAAATAATTAATGACTAGAACAGGTTGCTGGGAAGTGTGGTTGAGGCCAGGACACCAGGCTCATTTAAAAAGTAGCTTGATGCTATGATGGGGAAAGGTAGGGTGGGTGTTCTGGGAGAATGATATCCCACAGGCCAAATGGCATTCTTTATCCAAACCAATCTTATGGGCTATTGTAAAGTTTTATAAAACATTTTGTGGGCAAACATGCCAGCCAATGAAGTAAGTTGACCAATTTTATTTGGGGGAGAAACTTTGTTCTTTTTTTGAATAGTGCCATGGGGTCTTTAACATCCACCTGAACAGGCAGGTAGGACCTTGGTTTAACATCTCGTCCACAGGATAAGATAATATTTCTTTAAAATATCATTTTATGATGTCGGGATGTTGCAATAATATGGATATGTACAATGTGCGCATCCGTTTTTCTGAATGCATAATTTGTCAGGGCTGTTTTGAACCTCTACAAGTGACAGTTGTATAATGACAGCCACAAACATTATTTCACTTATCTATGTCATAGATGCCATTCAATGCCCACGTACAATTAGCACTGTCTGCAGCATGCTAAAGTGAGGGAGGAGAAGAGGAAGCCCCAAAGCCTTGACAGTACAGTGATTCTGAACTGCCTGAAGCTTTAGCACAGAGCTGGTCCAGCAGCAAGCAACTTCATCTTTCCAAATACAAGACCATTCACTACAGCTGAACTTGCTTCATTGGTGACCTCCCAATAGATTCTCACCCTGAGTTGTTGGAGTCATTTGATAATCAACCTTGTCAAATGTACTCCATAACCACTTTACTTCTAAGTAGTCTGTCTTTCCATTCACATTGAAAAATGACTTATTTGAACCCATGCAACTTGCACTATTTCCTCCAGGTACAAACTATATCCCAGATTTGACCGGACAACACAGCAGGAGGTTTTACTTTTGCCCACTTATGAGACATATCAATAATCTCTCAGGCAGGAAACATTTTGTTCAGTCATAATTAAATAGAATGTTACAAGAATTCAGCCATTCAACACATGTCCATGTTGGTGTTTATTCTCCACGAGACCCCACACTCTTACTATTTCCCTTTCCCATATGTGTCTATTCCCTTCTCAATCATGTATTCATTTCAGGTGAAAAGTGTGACACAAGAAATGATAATTATCACTTGTGATATTCTCACATTGTATTACAATTTTTTTTTATACAAGTCCTGCCCTCAACCACCAGCTAACCCTTTCCAGGTGTTAATTACTCTCTTGCTAAAGACATTTTCAGCCCTCTCTAGGTCCCTTTAGATTTTAACTTCTTCCCTGTTTACTCTGCATAGTGTTTGCTGCATTGCCCCTTTCCACTTGTGTTTGGCTGTATTATAATGAATGCTATTTCTAGCTTAAATAAGATGACCTTCTGGTTTTACAAGTGAGAAGTTTTTTTTAAGAAAAGTAAGTTTGTTAGGTTAATTTCATGTCTATTCATTGTTTGGTCTTGTACAAATCTAAGAAAAAAAACTAATGATCGATAATTTAACTTCTTTTTCTGCTGCAGTGGATGGATAGAATAATGGATCTACCCACACTTTTACGACATGCCTTCACAGAATTGTTTACCATTGGCGGACTATTTTGGATGTTTCGAATAAGAATACTTCTCTGTTTGGCGGGTGCTTTATTCTACTTAGCCTCACCACTGGACTTTCTTCCTGAGGCTCTTTTTGGAATTCTAGGATTTCTGGATGACCTTTTTGTAATCTTTTTACTCCTTATCTATATCTCTATCATGTATCGAGAGGTGGTAACACAGAGATTGACACGGTGAAATGTATGTAACAAATGAAATACCTGTTTGCAATTAAATTAAAAGTAAATGTTTTACTGGGAAAGTATAACTTGCCTCCATCAAGTTTTACAATTTTATGCAAAGGTTAAGCTCTAAGGTGAACATTAAATAACAACAATGAAAATGCAATATTTAAATATGCAATTGAAGTATTCTTTTTGCAAACTGTGCAAGTCAAACTTGAAAATTTATTTTTTACAAGAATTAAGAAAATGCCAATGCTTGTAATTATTGCAACTTGTTTTCATAGATGATAGTACTTTAGAACTAGTTTGAAATATTAAATTACAATGTTGTCTAGTAATTGGAGACTGGAAATTGTTTTATAGAATAAAATTTAGCCTATATGGACAGTAAACAATGCAACGAAAATATAGGGCAGGTATAGGGGATATTTTGTGGGGTTTAGCTGGTTAGAGTCCAGGAGTACCCTAATGCACACTCTAGGATCCCCAAGCCTTGGCTCTTGCAACCTGGCCTAGTACTCCGGAATTAGGTAAGCAGGTGCGCATTCCATTCCAACATCCATCTCTGGAATTTCCATGTGTAGGTGGGATGCTCTTTAGCATGGTGATGGGTTTCCGCATGTGTCAGACACCTAGCTGACCAAAACAAAATTCTAAAATATGGGTCTAGTTACTTAAACAATTAAAATGTTATAAGATATTAGAAAATCATGAAATTGGACTCTGTTTTAGATACTTTTCCTTCTGTTGATTTGCACTTGGTATAAAAATGTGAAGCTGTGGATTCAAACTGATGTCTATTCAATGTATAAAACATAAATTGTAAATAAATAGACTTCATTGGAAATAGAATGAAGAGGTTTTTATACCTGTATATTTTTTTTAAAAAAGTAATTGGAAAGATCGCTTTTGGATTCTACACGTTACAAATGTCAACAAAGTCTACAATTTCGCTAAAAAAACTTGAAAATCTTCATTTTTAATAAATTCAATGTAAGACAATACTAAACATTTCCTGGCTACACCACCTATTTTTTAAACTAATGATAAAGGAATACTAAATATCAGGGTGAAATTAACACAAGCATTGAATTCAGAGCATTTATAATAATTAACACATAGGCTGGTGCATGGATTGGTGCCCCTGTCGCTCCCCCACCCCATCACCACAGCCTTCCCAACAGTTCTGCTGAGAACCCAGATATTGCACTGGTAATTTGTGGGATATCCTGAAGTCTGACTCACCCCTTTCCTTCCAACTTTCACCCCAACACTTGCCTCTTATCACGCTTTTGGTCATCTTTCCCTTCCTCACCCTCCACCTACCACTGGGGTGCAGGTGCCTAGCCAGCGTAAAGCACCTTGAGACTTCCACTTGAGTTGAAAGGGGTTACATAAATGTCAATTGTAACGTATATCAGCTTAACTAAACAATCGAGACTAAAAACAGCATTTCACTAACCGTATCTGATAACATATCACACAATGGAATTTTAATCCTCCAAGATGCTAATTTAAATTTGATGAATTTTGATCTAATTCTTCAAAACATTTGGACAATTGTGACAGTAGTTGCATAAAAAAAAACATGTTTGTCCAACAGGATTTCTGCAATTAAACCAAAACATTGAAAATATAGTGTTAGTCTGTTTGGCTCAGTTGGAAACACTCTCACCTCTGAGTCAGAAGGTTGTAACTTTGAACTTCCAGTCTGACTGACATTGCTGGGGGAGTGCATCTACATGGCTCAACTGCTCACTGATTAAACTCACTGAACTATTAGTGCAAATCTTTTAATGAACACACAGAATTGTTCTTTAAACTACAGTATTTCAGTAAATGTACTGTTTCAGTAGCAGACAGAGGAAACCATGTTAACTCATGGCTTTGCTGAGTAGATTGTGTTGTGGAACGGAGGTAGAGGATAAAGTAAAAGACTAGAGGGCAAAAGCTAAATCAAAATCATATTTGAATTACTGTTACTACTGCAATAGCTGAATTTAAAGAGCTTGCATTATTCTAGCTCTTTAGCTCATTGCGTTTACTTTCGTAAACTCTTCCTGTTCTCCAGCAAAGAAAATCAGAGGAGAATGGTGAAGAATTGTGAAGCTATGACAGACTTGGACAGAGGGACCTGACAAATTTGAAGTGCCTGCATATTCCACCATGGAGCTGAGCAACACAACTGTGTGTTTCTCACCTCAAATCATTGTGAGAAACTGCCATAGAAGGGAATGTACGTTCACCTAATTCCAAGTCTTGTGCCCAACCAACAGAACTACCTGGGTTAGTTATCTGGTGGAGATGCGCAAACAACAACAACAACAACAAGATTCCATTTATAAAGCGCCTTTCACGTCAGGAGGACGTCCCAAGGCGCTGCACAGTTGGGTCATGACCCGAGCAGGGGGGAAATGGTCAGGGTGGGGGAAGGGAGGGAGCAAGGAGGGGGGAAATGGTCAGGGTGAGGGGAGGGAAGGGAGGGAGCGAGGAGGGGGAAGAGAGTCGAGAGGGGAGCTGAAGGCACGGTCAAAGAGAACCATTAAACATCCATTAAAAATAGGATATTCAATGATTATAGGCTGCAGAGGAAAGCTGGGTGAAGGGGAATTCTTCTTTCTTCATCCACTTTCTTGTTTAGACTTGAGGGAACATTGAGCTTATAAACATCTCCACAGATGTGTTGTGGGGAGTGATCAGCATCTCTTGAGGTAGCATCTGAGTATCAGTCAGGTTGTTTGGTTTAAAATTTATTTCCTTGTCTGTGGTCTCCAAATTAGTCCTGTAGCTCAGTGGTTCGACCACTCGCCTCGAAAGTGGGAGACCCGGGTTTGATTCCCAGCAGGGCGAAATGTTGGACAGGTTTCCTTACTCCACACACCTCTGTTTACCTAGCAGTAAGTAGGAACCCGGTCATTAATTGATTGGCGGATTGCGTTTCCGGGTTAATAATTCCTTCAAAAAAAAATAATAAATTGGGTCACTCAATCCATGACTGTTTGTGGGACACTGCTGGGCGCAGTTGGCTGCTGCGTTTTACACCCAAACGCAGTTAGAGAGAAAGGTCTCAAGACAGACCTTGAAGGAGGCAAGGGGTGAGGCAGATGGAGTTTGGGAGGCCGGGTGGAGGACATGAAGCAGATTGGTGCTTGCCAAGCGAAGGGAGAGGGCAAGTTGGTTGGGTTTTAGGTTATAGATGTAGGTTGGGGAAAGACCGGGGGGGGGGATTTAAAAGTGAGGCTGAAGGATCTTGAACTGTCCTCTGGGGATAGGGAGCCAGTGGAGCCGGGTGAGGATGATTGGCTCACAATGCCCATTTAACTGAAAAATTTGCTCTAGACTGATGCGCTCAGCTTGCTTTCACTGGTAAGGCTTCCAATAATAACTACCTCCCCAGAAGCACTCCAGCAGTATCAAGTTAACAATTAACTTGATACTGCTGGTATCAAGTGAGAGACCTGAGTTCAATTCCAGGCAGGTCAGGGCGAAACCTTGGGCAAGTTTCCTTACTCCACACGCCTAATAATAATCCCTCCAAAAAACCAAAAACAATAATTAAATTGGTCATTTTCAATCTACGACTGTTTGTGGGACATTGCTGTGCGCAATTGGCTGCCGCGTTCGCCCACAAATATACAGTCAATTCACTTTACAGTATGTTCTGTGAAGCGCTTTGGGACGTCCTCCCGACGTGAAAAGCGCTATATCAAATGCAAGGATTATTATTATTATTATTAAGTGGTTTTCATCAGTCCCTTTTTTTTTTTAAATGCTTGATTGATTCAGGGAAGGAAAATACTGATCATTTCCCAGGGCATTTCTCCCCTTAGTTTGGTTACTTGGGTGGAAACAATTTTTAACAACTGTGACTGACTATATATTCATATATAATAATCCTTGCATTTGATATAGCGCTTTTCACGTCGGGAGGACGTCCCAAAGCGCTTCACAGAATACACTGTAAAGTGAATTGACTGTATATTTGTGGGCGAAGTATAGTATATTTATCAAAAGCTGACAAGCTATTTTCCAGAAACCCTGCCCCAAATGTACCATTTTCAATTTATGTCCTCTAAAATATAGGGATGTTATTAATTTCTATATTGATTCAACTTACATCAATGTTTCTATATTGATGTTTTAAAACAAACTTACCATTGAGTAGGGAGAGCCTTGATGTGGACTTTCCTGTAGTTCCATTAGGTTGAATTTGAATAAATCCTTCAGTGATTTAGTTGGTAAACATTCTAGTGTGCCAGAATGATAGACATGTATGATGACAATATAATTTATACTCATTCTTATCAATTCATCAGCAGGTTAAAATGTTCCCACCCACTAAGCACAAAAATAATTATATCAATGTAAAGAAATAACTACACTTCCCGTCCAAAAAAAACAAGTCAAACAAAATTCCTGCATATTAACATGTTCACTGGACAAAGTGAGACTTGAATTAAATGAGTCACTTCAACAACCCATTAAATTACAACCTTCAATTCTTATGGAGTATGGAATATGGTTAAGTATAGTACATTCACGAGGCCAACTCAAGAGTTAAGCAGGAATTTCAGCAAGGCCTAAAGCAAAAGCGGTGACTCAGACAGGCGGGTCCCACTAAGATATCAGTTGTGGAGTATAAAGATATTATATGCTGGTTCTTGAAGATTTAGTGCCCATTGGAGACCAAACAAAAACAACTTAATGTATCAGTATCCTGTAAAACAGCAACTAAAAGGTCTCCATGGCAATGCTAAATGGAATTTCAAATTGAAAGCCAGAGACCATTGCAATTGGTTTTGGGTACTTCCATTATTCTGAAGTCATGGAGCAGGATATTTAACAAATATTTTGACAATATTCCTTAAATAGGGAACACAAAATGTGTTTAAAAATGCTGCAAATTTGAACCAAAACTTGTAAAACCATCACTAGTAATCAGTTATATTTTCTCTCAAATTATTTTCAAAACAAAGGTAGTGATGAATTCAAATTGTATTACATTCACCATTTTTGTAGTTGTAGATTTTATTAATTATTGTGGAATATGAGATTTCTCACTATTTATTACTGTAAACAATTGTGAAGAACAATGAATATAAGTGCATTTTAAGACCAACTGTAAATGCTTTATTAAACAAAAAACAGCACACAATTTGATGAGCAGACTATATAACCTTTAAGAAAACTTTATTTCTTCCCCTGTTTTATATACAGTCACTCAAAAGTATAAAAATGCCATATAACACAAATCTCAATTTGCATGACTCATATTTACAAAGGCCTTTTGGTAATTTTAGTATTAATCAGACTACTGTATAAGGCAACTCCCAAATTATAAATTCTTTGGTTTTGTCTGAAAAACATTCATAGTAATTACTTTCTACTTGCAGCATTTGAACTTCCAATAAACGTTCATAAGAGCTTCCCAAGAGGGAGTGTCTCCTTGTTTTCTGGCCAAGAAACTCTCTGAAAAAAATTAAGTCATTTCATTTTGTCTGTTTGTGGGATATCATTGTGTTACACCCACTCTCTGCAACTCCATCCCAAGACCCTTCACCTCACCCCTTCCCTCACCTCCTTCAAAGTGAGTCTCAATACCTTCCTCTTTGACTGTGTCATCAGTGATTTCCCCCACCCCCACCTTGGCTTCCGCCCTTCAAATGCAACTATCCAGCACCTTGGGACATCCTCCTGCTGTGAGAGGCACAATATAAATGCAATGTTGTGTGGAAATTGGCTGCCATGTTCATCAACAAAATATAGCACTATACTTTATAGTGAATCCTGCAACACGTTTGAGATATCCTCCCAACCTGAAAGAAGTCATGTCAAATGCAAGGCTCTTTTTTCAAAATAGTAACATGATAATTATTGCCTCAGTAAGACTGCCTAACATTGAAGGTCTTTCTCATTCTCTGAATGTAGAGAATATACCAAACATCATTTGGTTGCAACATGGCTGACACATTCTTGGCAGACAAAATAACCAATATTCCATTAATATCAACATAAATAGTAAGCTACCAGCATGTGCAGACAGACCAATACTTTTATCTGCAATCTATGGAAACCAAAGAGGCATGTTGGTGCACCCCCAACCTAAGGGCCTGAAGAAATAAACAGGTAAGATTGATAATGTTCTGTATTCAACAAATGAAGATTACCCCACAAAGTAGTTACTTTTTCTAGGCAACCTCTAAACATCGCTGCCGTATGACCATTAAAAGGAGAGTAGAGTACAAGTGTCTCCAGATGCCTGGATGAACCTACCAAATTAACTTTTAATTGGAGAATGAAGATTCTGGAAATAGTCTAAGCTGTTGGATAGTGTAAATGCACTTTTTCATTCCAAAGCCTTAGTGGCAGATGGCTTACCTGATATTTTGAGGACCCACTACTGTTGGTTAAGGGTCTTCATTCAACAGTCTGCTCTTCTGAATAACCAATTAGTGAAAGATTTGATTGGTGTGAGCAGAGGATGACGCCAGACAACTGGGATAATTGATCTTTCCTGTGGGAAGTGAATTTGGACAAGCCCTGCTCAACTCCTGGATGTTTAAACCATGGTGTTTAAGGGTCAATATTCAAGTAACCAGAATTTCCCCCTCTGCCCTGGCCTTCTGAACCCCCCCCCCCCCCCCGAGATGGAAAGAAATCGTGGCTATGCACACGCACCAAATAAAAGTTCCCTGAACAAATCTTGGTTTGCAAGTCTCACAACATGAAGCTGAGTGTTCTGTTAATGCAAGAATCATTATCAGTAAAATTAGAAGACACATAAACCTTGCCAGGTCAGACCCTAAGAACCAGTCACCCAGATTCAGGATCAAATAGAGCAACTGCTATGTTCATTTCCTGGAAGTATACCAAGATATTTTCTTGGTAGTATTTGCTAGACAAGTCAACCGCCAGTGCTGTACAGAGAAAGTCCATCCACATTTGGACTTAAATTGAATATTGCAAGATCCTGATGTGAGGTCCATTTTTGGTGCAGACAGCCACATTCAGGATATTGTTACCTATTGTTAGCCGTCATGTCTTCCTTGTGAAAATCTTTCACTCAGCCTCCAGAGGGGGTAAAGGATTCCACGATTGTTTAAGTGAGCCCTAATTCCTCCTTGTAATTGGTAAAACTGAAGCCATTTGCTTGGTTATCATCAATAACCTGCCTGGGTGTTCATCAACCTTAATCAGCCAGTGCAACAATCTTGGTGTTCAGGTTCGCCCAAGCTGTCCTTCAATGCCATGTCAGGCTCATTACCAGGCCCACCCTGGAATCCATCTCTGGAATGTCTACTTACATCTTTATCCCACCCTCTGTTACTAGAAGTACATTCATGCTTTTGACTCGAGAACAGATTTCTCCAGAACTCTCCTCAAGAGTCTCCAACTCATCGAGGTTCTGCAGCCTGTGTTCTCTCCTCCATGTCACTCTGCACACCCATCCTCATGAAGCTCCACTGGCTCCCAGAACATCTTGAGATCAACATTAACATTCTTGTTCTGACAAGATTTCTTCACAATATTCCTGTGCCCAATGCTCTTCTGATTCTAGTTCAGTGTACATGCCTCACTTCCTTGGTCTTAAACCTTCAGTCACCATATTCACAGTACTTCCACTTAAGATCGGCACTTAACAGGGCGACATTCCCCTGTTGATTCAGGACATCCCAATAGGGTCTGAATCAATTTATCCTGAACAGCATCAAGTGAGTTACTGATACAGCATTGTCAGTCTCGTCTTGGTTTATATCTTCTCCACTATTATAACTATCAACATTTCATGGCTTCTTTGGCTGATTGGGAAGCATCTTCACTGACCAATATGGATGGAGAATGCTGAAACAGATTTTCTTAATTTTTTTTTCCCCCCAAAGAGTGCCATCTTTGCAGTCTAACACACATTCTAAGTAAACAATCCAACAACGGTCATGCAAGCATCCATATCATGCCCGAATCATGCATCCTAATATATTTCTCACATTCACTAGATCTTATGAACAAAGCAGGACTACAGAACACACAATAGTGAATCATTTGAGGTGCTGCTTACAATCAAGAGTGATAGAAACTTTTAAAAAACTTAAATACTGTACCTGTACTACAATACTGATCTACACCAAAGCTCAAGTAAAACCAGAATTTTTTTATACATAATATACATTAATATAAAAATACTAAAACTAACTTTAAATTATAGAGCAATTATAAGAGATCCAAAGATCATGCGACTGACCTATAAACCATTTTTGCCAAAAGGAAAAAATTTATGCCTTACAGTGGTACCAATTGCATGTGGGAGGAAAAGGTTATGTGGTTATTACAAATGATGTCAAACATCACATCTTAAAAGGGATGTACGTCATTGTTGTGTCTTTCCCCGCCCCCATAAAGAATGAGTCAGCCATGCCTTGCACCCACAGGTTGAAAAGGTTGTACAGATAAAGTACTTAGCTCTAAAATATAAAACATGAAGGCTACCTAAAGCTTTATTGTTATTTTTAAAAAAAACACCCAACTGCAACCAATACATTTACTGAATAAAGAAAACAGCTGAGCTATTTGCTTGATTGTAATAGGGCAATGAAATAGACCAACTAACCATCTCTAGCATAGTACTGCTCCCAGATACCGATCATTGTACTGTACTCGATATCGCACCCTAAAATGAAAGCTCAACTTAAAACAAAAAATTCTTATGTTTAAAAAATACATTTAGTCCATACGGATGTATTTAACATTACTGGTTAATAACTTCAGCTCCAGTTCTTGGTCATGTTTGACATCAATAGGCCAAAAACATTTGTGCAATCTTTCACATTAGTTCCTTTGTATGTGCTCTAAATTTTAAATCTTGAGAAGACCCATGCTTCAAAACTTTCTTTCCAGTGCATTTAGAGAGAGCTTAAAAAGCTTTCCTTCTTGAACTGCCTTTTTCACAAACATGAAGATCTTTAGAACTATTTTTTGAAAAAAACAAGACAATCCTTAAACTTTGTGCTTTCTAATTTTTAAATTTTTGTTGTTCTTTAAGATGCCCATTGGTCTACAGCATTGTTCTGAAATGAAAATAGAAATGCATTTAGAAGGACATCAGCAGATTCAAAATAGACAGTTGTCTACAAATTCAAACTTTTATTTTAAAGTATTCTAGTATGGAAAGCAGGATATTTTTGATTATATACACCTCTAAATGGGCACCAATGGCACAGTAAACAGTCTCCTTGAAGATTTTTCCCTCCTCCAAGATTAACGATTCCATCAACCCAAGGTGCTTCACATATTGTGCCAGCTGTTCAATCTCTAAATTTCAGCAGGTAATTAGGCACAAACCTCAGTCAATGCCCAGCACCTCTCAATGGAATCTAACCGTCTACCAGTCTGTCCTAAAGTATATTTAAAATCTGGCATTTTCTTCTGGTTTTAGGAGGCTAGAGGTAGTAAGCACTAATTGACACCCATTAGTGACATGGTTCATCACTTTATGTTTAAGCTGTACCACTTGTTCACGCAAGACAGTGGCTGTTGAGGTCAATTCAGAGTTTTCTGATTTCAGACTCTTTACTTTGTTCTCCAATCTTGAAATACGCTCCAGCTTCCTCCTTCGACAGTTGGATGCAGCAATGCGATTTCTCAATCGCTTCCTCTCAGCTTTGATTTGGTCCTGATTGCCTAGATCTATTGGAGAGAGTGGAGGAGATTCACCCACAGGACCTACTTCAGGCACAATCTGGGGTTGTTCTTGGAGTTTGGGGCAACCAGGTTGTGCACTGGCTGGGAGATGGTCTTGAACAAGTGTTCGGCCAGCACAGGGTATAGTAGCAGTAGAAGAATAAGTTCCAGAAATCATACTGGATAGGCTTGGGTTGTAGGTGTTGTTTGTATATACAGGTAAGTCTCCTCCCCTTGCCTGGGTCAGATGCAGATTCCCATGATACACTGATGTTGAGGTATGAGGTGAGCAGGTGGTTCCTGATAGGATTAGGAGCTGGTTCTGCTTCTGCAAATCCTGCAATGCTTTAAAATGAAAAAGTTACTGGGTTGTCCCAAGTTATCAATAAAATACAGAAGATCCACAATTTAAAACATATTTTATCTATGCATTTTATTTAAAAAATATACATTTTCTAGCTCTTTAAATGCCCTTCCACTAGAGGCCTCTCACTGACCAAAGCACATAATTCTGCTTCATATCCTCTAAAGTCAACAGATAATTATTGGACAAGAATGGTACTGCCTTGCTGGATATTCCATCTCCACAATTCCTCCCAAGATCAGTGATTCACTCAATTGTCCAAATGTGCCTCCTTATATAATTCTTTATGTTCTATTACTGCGTTCCTGTTTCCTTCCCAAGAAAGGGAGACGGGGAGAGGATGACTGTAGACAGTCAAAGAGAAAGTGATCAGGTGTGATCAAAAGACAGGTAAAGAGGGGCCCAAGTAGAGGAATTGAGGAAGCAGCTCCAGTGGATCATCGTGGCTGAAATCACAGCCACCAATGGTAAATCAGAGAAGTTGAGAGACACGCAGAAGGGCCAACTCAGCCGAGCGGGGTGCAGGGGGGGTAAGGTGAGTAGAGTGGAATGTGAGCTGGGCAGAGAGGCAGGGAGATACCAGACCATAAAGTGATTTGTAGGAGAGTTTGAGGATCTTAAAGTAGATCCATTCTGTGACAGGGAGCCAGTGGAGTCTAGCAAGGACTGAGGTTGTCAGCCTGGCTCAATTGGTAGCAGTCTTGCCTCTGAGTCAGAAGACAATGGATTCAATTCAAGCCCCACATCAGTACTTTAAAGTTATAGTACAGGCTGACATGACACTCAAATGTAGTGTTGTGGGAGGTGCCTTCCTTTGGATGAGACAAAGTCCTGTCTGCCTGCTCAGGCGGATATACAAGATCCAGTGGTAGAATTTGAAAAGAGAACAGTTTTTTCCCTGGTCAACAGTCTCCGGTCAAAATTAATCAATGATTTCATGGCTGTTTGTAATACATTGCTGTGCACAAATTGGCTACCACGTTCGTTAATTCTGTGTAGTTCTCCCTTGCAACCTGAAAAGATTACATTGTCAATGCAAATACTGACCCTGGGCAGTAAAATGCACTTTTGTTTTATTCCAAGCTCTCTTACATATATTTTGTCTCATTACTCAAATTCAAGCTACAGATAGTTTTCAATGTTTACATGCTAAAAATGAAACTTAGCCCAATTTGTTTTCCATTGGATTTCTAAAAGTGAATCTTCAAAGTTATGTTACAAACATTGTTCCATTATCTCATATTGAATATGACTAGACCTGTATAGTTTAACATTCCCATTGCAGTTTGCAGAAAATGGATCTGCCTCAAGGCCTCTGTCAATCACATAACGGACTATGGGAACCTGCTTAAAGATGTGCAGGACAACTACGAGTTTGTTTGCCAAGAAGCACTGATTTGAAAATGTTAGCAATTCTAAAATAATCACTCATAACCTATAATAATCTTTGCATTTGATATAGCGTCTTATCACATCTTTAGAGATGTTTCAAAGCGCTTCACAGAACATACTGTGAAGTTAATTAACTGTATATTTTGTGGGTGAAATGTGGCAGCTATTTGCACACAGCAGTGTCCCAAAAACAATCATTAATACAAACCTAAGCCAATTAATACATCGGGTGGACATACCTTGAGTCACCTATCCCTACTTTATTTCTTATACGGCCACCCACTTGGAACATTCATCAACGGCATTAGTTGAGAAGTTAGTGACTACAACAGAAACCCCTGAACAATATTTCAATCCCAGGACTAAAAAAAACGTACATCTTAAAACAACTTAACTGCAATAGTGGTATTGCATACCAATATTAGTCCTGAATAACAGAACACTGACTATCAAAATGCTCTAGAAACCAGTATGACACACAGACAGAACGAAATTTGATGAACTTATTTCATCACCATCAACTTGAACTAATACTCATGAGATATTCTGCAGTTTTTGGTTTAGTTTTCAGGTTAAATATTACCTTCAAGAGTTAAAAACAAACTTAAAAAATGTTACACTGAGTACAGTAGTGGTGAAGTTAAGTGTGTGATTGCTTACTATAGGAACATGAGCGTTCATCCTCTTGCTCCCTGTTCCCTGACTGCAGTACAAATCCTCTGCCTGCAAAAGGGAATGCACAAAATAATACAATTATGGTTCCACGGCAATTACAAGTCATTTCAGTGTTTTGTGAATTTTTCGTTGAAGGTACATTTTGGGGGGAGATTTCTGGAAGAAATTTGGGACTTTAAGTTCACAGCCTGGGATGATTCTAGAGCATTATCGGGGAAGCACAGCATGGAAGGAACTGCTGTCCTTTGCATGAGGCTTTAAACTGGGGTCCAATCTGCCCGTTCTGGTGGATATTAAAGATCCAATAACAATTTTCATGTAGAGTTTCTACCAGCCAACATTCCTTCAGTTAAATTACTCACTCACTTCAAATTTGTTTATGGACATTCTTTATCAGATACTGGCTGCCATTTGCCTACAAATGCAATCACTACCCTTAACAATAATGCCTTTGGAGCACTTTTCTTAAATTACTGCATAATCCTTGCAGGTCCTATTCCTATAATAATAATAATAAACAAAAAAAAACACACACTACACCAAATTAAGATGTGAATCAAATTGAGTTTGTGCCCAGACCGCCGTTAAGCGAGCCAGATAGGGAAGTGGAGACGGACAAACAAAAAAAAAGGGGCGAGATCAGGAATTTAAAGGAGGGGAACCAGGAAGCTGGCACCAGAGGTGTGAATCAACTCAGTTGTGCAAACTGAACTAATGCAGCGATTTTTTTGCGTTCACAAACGAGAGGGGAGGGAAGGAGCGAGTGCGAGGTGGAGACCAGCAGACTCGGCCTCCACGTGTGAGCTCCGAGAGACGCAGCGCCCCCCCCCAAAAAAAACACTAATCTTGTTTCCCGAGACACCCCTCAGAAACAAATATTAAATGGTGAATCTGATCATTTAGGAGTGAGGGTCAGAGCAGAGGGGGGGGGGGGGGGGGGGAGCTTCAGTTGGTGCTCGGGGCTGCGTGGAGCTCACTCACATGTCAGCGTGTGAGGGAGGGGGAACCCCGAGCACAATGCCGAGGTGGACATTGCTGCCATCACACGAAATGCGAGGACCTCACCTCTGGTTGAATTCAAAAAATAACGCAAACATTTACTGCATCAACAACAGTAAATATGTACTATCAGAGACCGGGCAGGTCAGGTGTGCGGGCGGGCGGGCGCCAGCGGGGGGAGGGGAGGGGGGGAGGGGGCAGCGAGGCGACAACACGGGCGGCGGAGAGGAGAGGGTCACCTTTGACAAGTCCCTGAGACAGCCGCTCCTGCTCCTCTTCCTGTAGTCGGCCGCTCGCCGAGCCTCGGCCCGAGGCCTGTGCCGTCATGAGCCGATGCAGTTCGGGAGAGGCCAGCCTGAGAAAGGTGGGCTCCGGGGGCTCGGCTGCTCCGCTGCTCGCGCTCTTCTCGTCAGTCTGGGACCTGGGGTGGCGAGGATAGGAGCCGCTGCCGGGCCTGACCGCACTCACAGCCTCATCGTGGTAGAAGGGCGCTTCCATAGGGCGAGGGCGAGGCCGCGGTCACAAGCACCAACCGCTCCGCTCGACTGCACGTCTCCTCGGCGACGGTTGGGAGGAATGACGGTGGGGCGGGGGAAGGGTGCGCGGACCGCGCGACAATGACGCATCCACCTCACGTGATCCGATGACTTATTACGACGGGGGTGACTCATACGCTCGTTTCCCCTGGTGACGGTGACGTAGGTGAACGCCCCTCCTTTCCCTCGCCTCCCTGGAGCCGGGCCGCGCCTGCGCAGGAGTCGGTCGACTCGCCGCTTTCCCGAAATAAGAATGACGTCACTGAGCTGGACGGGCGGTCGCCATGATCTCCCACGTGGGCAGGAAGAGGGTCTGAGAAGGAGGAGGGAAACGCTTCCCTCCTAATGTGACAGGCGCTGCAGCACAAGAGTCATGTGTTGTTGTTGTTGTTAAAGAAGGGAGTGAATAAGAGTTTGTATTGTTTAATAGAGTGGATACGGTGGGAAAGTTCTCCCAAAAGGAGTTATTGTCACAGTGCACAGGTTAGGATTTAAGTGCATAGCTTTACACAGATCCGGCTGTTTCCGCTGGTCGGGGGGGGGGGTCCGTACCCGGGGACACAAGAATAATATTGTGACTGGAGGATCAAAAAGAAAATTTAGGAGGAACCGTTTCACAAAGAGGGGTAGCGAGATTGCCTACTCCACACAGAGCCTAATAATAATCCCTCCAAAACAAAACAATAATAAATTGGTCATTTTCAATCTACGACTGTTTGTGGGACATTGCTGTGCGCAATTGGCTGCCGCGTTCGCCCACAAATATACAGTCAATTCACTTTACAGTGTGTTCTGTGAAGCGCTTTGGGACGTCCTCCCGACGTGAAAAGCGCTATATCAAATGCAAGGATTATCATTATTATTATTGCGGAATTTGCTGCCTGCAGAGGTGGTTACACGGGGGAGAAGAATAAAAGGGCACAATAATAATAATCCATGCATTTGATATAGAACCGTTTCAATCCACGACTGTTTGTGCGACACTGCTGTGCGCAATTGGCTGCTGCGTTCTGCCTACACAATATACAGACAATTCACTTTACACTATATTCTGTGAAGCGCTTTGAGACATCTCGAAGACGTGATTAGGCACTATATCAAATGCATGGATTATTATTTCCTTATGTCATTGAGATGTCTCAAAGTGCTTCACAGAATATACTATAATGTGGATTGACTATATTTTGTGGGTGAAACACAGCAGACTGTCCCACAAACAGCCATGAATGAATAACCAATTTTATTTGGGGGTTTGCTGGCCAGAAAACCAGGAGAAATTCCCTTCTTTTTTCAAATAGTGCCAGGGGATCTTTAACATCTACCTGAACAGGTTAGACGGGACCTCTGTTTAACGTCTTATCCGTCTTATCCAAGTCCCGACATGGGAATTGAACCCACAAAGCTCTGACTCAGAGGCAAGAGTGCTACCACTGTGCCAGGCTGACACACAAATGGGAGGGAATAAGGAAATGAGTGGAGACTCGTCTTGAGTATAAATACCAGCCCTGATTGGTTGGATTGAGTGGCCTGTTTCCGTGCTGTGCATTCTTTGTACATCTTTGTAAGTGTATTTTTAGGAAAATGTGCATAACTGGCCACAAAAACAACCATGACCAATAAATGACCAATTTTATTCGGAGGATTGGTGTCCCTTAGGAGAAACTTCCTTCAGTGGCGTAACAGCTCCGGGGGGAGAATCAAAATTTTGCTTACCTTTATTATCTGTCTCCTCGTGTACTATCTCTTTCCGGCAAAGCGCATGCTTGATGCGGTTATATTGTTGAGTCCTGTAGTTCAGTGGTAAGTGCACTTGTCTTACAAGTGAGAGACCTGGGTTCCATTCCCGGCAAGGAGAAATGTTGGACAAGTTTCCTTACTCGGTTTCCGCTAAAAAAAAATTGGTCACTCAATCCATGACTGTTTGTGGTACACTGCTGTGCACAATTGGCTGCTGCGTTTCACCCACAAAATATACAGTCAATTCACTTTACAGTATATTCTGTGAAGCTAGAAGACGTGAAAAGCGCTATATCAAATGCAAGGATTATTATATCAAAATGTGGTCTGAGATAACATGTCATTCCACCATTAACGGGTTGGGTCCCAATTACCTCTTCGGCACTTGTGCGACTACACTATTGTACTTATGCCACTGACTCTTTCCTCCTTTTCAAATAGTCTCACCAGAATAAAACCCACCAGAATAGGTAGACCAAACCTGTTCCAAAAGATGCCACCTACAACGGTTTAGCATTCCTCAGCACTGTCTTGGAGCATTAGCTTAGATGATGAGGTCAAAGCCTGACAGGGGCTTGAATCCACAGACAGGAGTGATAACAACTGAACCAAGCTAACATAACTGAGCAAAACAGCAGGAACTGGACTAAAGAATGCTACAATAAGTTTGTGACCGATTGAGTAGCCCGATCAGTTGTACACTTGACTTTTCACAATAGCCAAATTGATGTACCTGTGCACAATAACCATTGGACAGAGAGCTCATTGCAGAGGCAGTATCACCACTTCTTTATGAACTGTCTGCAGCACTGACATATCAACCAGGTAATTTTTTTTGCAATCAGGGCCAGTGAGTTCACAAACTGTTTCAGATCCCATACTCTGATGCTAAAAATGCCCCAGTTTTACAATATTATTGCAAGTTAGATGTAAGGAACGCTTAGATATGATAATATATCTCAAACAAAATGTACATTTTTTAAATATCACAAATAAAATATTTGGAATAATTAATTTTCCCGTCTAAGTATTTTCCATATTCACTTTTATTCTATATTCCCAATTAATCAAATTTACACTATTTGTTGCCTATATATAATAATAATAATCCTTGCATTTGATATAGCGCTTTTCACATCTTCTAGACATCTCAAAGTGCTTCACAGAATATGCCGTAAAGTGAATTGACTGTATATTTGTGGGCGAAACGTGTATTTGTGAAATTTGTGTATCCTGCACTTTTAATGTATTTTCTTACTGGTGTAGTGTTTGAGCACTGAGTTATTGCCACTTCAGTGAAACCTGGTCTAATTCAATGAATACCAGTTCCATTGAGTGCAAAAACATTGAAGTTTGATTTGGTCACATCATAAGAGTAAACAGGCCAAGCTTATGAATTATTCTTAGATCAATGTCAGAAGCACTGAATGTGTTAACTTGTCCGTGGCTAAGGGAGCTGGTAGTCCAAACATGAATCATCTTGTTGTTGAAGATAAAGGATTCAGAAACAAAATAATGAGCCGGAAGAATTACAATCGTATACTGTGGTAACATTATACACTCTGCAGACCAAAGAAATTAAATTTTGTATCTTGCGTTGGTCAACTTCAGATCTGGTACTTATGGACCTTTCTTAAGGAAATAAGTCTGTTAAGTGTCGGAGCTTGGCTGGAACCCTAGATAAGGCAGTTACATGGGATCAATCAGAGCCGCCTCTAACTCTCAGTGCAGTCAGTCCTGGAACAGTCTTTGAAATAAAAGACCTGCTCAATCTAAAGTCCATCTGTCTAGAGAACTCGACAGCAGCAGGCCACAAGTCCTTCTTTGGGAAGATTACGAAGTGCAGAGAACTAGTGTCAATCATAAGGCCAGTGATGACCTTGATCTCAGAGTCTCAGTTGCCAACTGTCTGCTTGCTGGACTTCCCAACTCTTCCCTCCACAAGCTGCAGATTATTCAGAACTCTACAGCTTTGGGGAGCCTGGTGTCCTCTCCCTCACCAGCCTCCCTGAACCAATTGCCCCTGTTCTTGCCCGGCTTCACTGGCTTCCCATCCCTCAGATAATTGAGTACAAAACCCTTGTTATCACCTTCAAAGCACTCCACCGTCTTGTTCACCCCTACCTCTCCGACCTCCTAACCCCAATTCAGCCTGTCTACTCCCTCTGACACCAGCCTGCTTCAGCCCAGCACTTCCCTCACCAACATTGGCAGTGGGGCATTCAGCATTTCAGCCCCCACACTCTGGAACTCTATCCAACAATCCCTCCACTTTATTCCCTCTCTTGCCTCCTACAAGTCCCGTCTAAAGGCCTTCCTCTCCGATCATGCCTTCGGCCACTCTCCCACCCTCACCCCCACCTGCCCTCAACCCCTTCAGATCCAAATCCCAGTCTAAAAGGCCGTCTTTCCGACGTGAAGGGCGCTATATAAGTTTAATTTGTTGTTGTTGTGGACCTTTGAACAGGTCCAGAAAATATGTGTGAGAGTTCCAATAGGGACTTTAAACTCATATTGCTGTGTGCAGATTGGCTGCCACGTTACTTTATAGTAAATTCTGTGAAGTGCTTTGAAATGTCAGAGCCATGTAGCGTATTGGTTAGAGCACTCACCTCGCAAGCGAGAGGACGTGGGTTCGACTCCTGGGCCAGGGGAAGCATTAGGCAAGTTTCCTTACTCCACACACCTGTTTACCTAGCGGTAAGTAGGAATCCAGTTGTTAGTCGATTGGCGGATTGCTTTTCTGGGGGTAATAATGCCTTAAAAATGTTTTAAATAACTTTGTCACTCAATCCACGACTGTTTGTGGGACACCACTGTGCACATTTGGCTCCTGCAATTCGGCCACAAAATATACAGTCAATTAACTTTGCAGTATTATCAGTGAAGCGCTTTGAGACGTCTCAGAGGTGTGATAAGGTGCTATATGAAATGCAAGTATTATTATTACGATGTCCTTCTCATATGAAATGTGCTACATCAAATGTAAGGATTCTTATTTTTAACGTCCTCCTGAGTAGGCAGATGGGCCCTTGGTTTAATGTCTCACCTGAAGAATGGGACCACCAGCAATGGAGTTCACCCCCAGCATTGCTTTGGAGTGTCAGCCATATAAATTCAAGTCCCAACAAACTGAGGGGCACACTGAGAGTATCGGGGGGGTGCATCAGGGTTATCACCTGGCTGATGTTTAACTGGTCTGACTTTTTTGTACTCCCTTGCTCATTGCCAACTCTTTACACTGCCGGGATATGTGCGAGGGAGAATGTCCCAGGTGAGAGCGCAGACGAGGGGCTGGGAGAGAACCCAGCAATGTGCATGCATGGCTTTGTGTTAGGAAGATCTTCAGATGAAAGGTAAGTTAATCTTTGAAATTTCCTTCCCCAATGTCCCCCTATTTAGTAATACTTAAAAGGTAAAAAAACCTAAGGATTATTCAATGGTTCTTTATTTTACTGTATAAGAATTTATGTTAATACCTGTCACAAGTATTATTATCTTGTTATATTACTGTATTTATGTTAGTATCTGTTATTATATATTCTATTATTATGAGTATTTATATTAGTACTGTACCTCTTTGCGTAGAAAGCAACAAGTCAGTCGGGAGGTAAATATATATTTATGTAATATAATGGTAATTGTATTTTTATCATTATATTATCTTGTTATTATTTATTAGCTACCGTTTATGATAAATATATGTAGTTGAAAACAATGTAGGCCTTGTGTCATTGAGAGATATATGAAACTCACTAAGTTTATTCAGTAATAATAATAATAATCCTTGCATTTGATATAGCGCTTTTCACGTCGGGAGTACGTCCCAAAGCGCTTCACAGAACACACTGTAAAGTGAATTGACTGTATATTTGTGGGCGAACGCGGCAGCCAATTGCGCACAGCAATGTCCCACAAACAGTCGTAGATTGAAAATGACCAACTTATTATTGTTTTGGGTTTTTTTGGAGGGATTATTATTAGGGTGTGGAGTAAGGAAACTTGCCCAAGGTTTCGCCCTGTGCCTGGAATTGAACTCAGGTCTCTCGCTTGCAAAGCGAGTGCTCTAACCACTGAGCTACAGGACTCCATAGAGTAGTAGTAGAGTAGCGGCACTGTGTTACTAATGTTGCTTTAAAGTCCAACTTGAATGATAGAGACAAAGCAGCTGCTGCTGAAACTCCACACTTCCAAATGGTGGAACTAACAGCTGAATGTCCAGGATGGTGGCAATGCTCTCATGCATTTCATGCTGAATTATACTGCTCATCAAGTGTCTCACAAATGGTTCTTGGCACCTACTATCCACGTAGTGAAGGCTCAAATCCATGCTTGTCAGATGTCTAGTGATCAACTAATGATTACCCTACTTAATACAAAAACAATTTGCATTTATATAGTGCCTTTCACACAGGGTGGGAACTCTGAGCAATTGACAGTGGTGGAGTCTGACCCCGAGTCAGGGGGAGAGGGAAGGGGGAGGTAACCGTAAGCAAGGTCAAAAAGGAAGATCTTTAGGCGGGATTTGAAATTGGGGAGGGGGCAAGACAGAGGGATTGAAGGTGAGAGTTGAAGAGCTTTGGGGCATAGTGGCTGAAAGCACGGCCACTAATTGTGGAGCGAAGGGCACTAGGGATGAACTGAAAGCCCGAGCCAGCCGAGCGGAGGCAACAGGTGGGGGAGTGAGGGGTAAGCAGATCGGATAGGTAGGGAGGTGGGAGGGTATGAAGGGATTTGAAAATGAGAGGATCAGAGAAGGTTATGGGGAGATTTAATAGAGGTGTTCTATTTGATTGTTTGAGTGTTATAAGGCTGTTACCCCATGTCTGCGGATGATGTTACCAAGAGGGAATATGAACATGTTGAAGAGAGAACCAATTTGTGACAAATGTTATGTTCTTATTAAATTAGATAATTTATCCCCAAAGCAACTCTGCATTATTACTACAACAGAGCTTGCAATCTAGAACCATCTCAATACCTACTCATTCATTGACCATTCAGAAAAATATCATACAGAAAGAAGAAAATCTTTAAATATCAATCCTTAGCTTCATGAAAGTTGGCAATGATAATAACTGATGCCATAAATTATGCCTTCAATACCTGAGCACAAAACATGCGACTAAGGTTGCAGCATATTAGAACTTACTTTCCGATGTTAAATTGAGATCTCACCTGTCGGTACACATGGGTGTTAAACCATCCCATGACACTATTTGAAAAAAGAAGGAAGCTTAGAATCATGGAATTTTACAGCACAGCTATCCAACTAGTCCCACTCCCGTTCTTATCCCATTGCCTTGCAAATTTTTCCTTTTCAAGTACATATCCAATCCTCTTTTGAAAGCTACTCTCGAATCTGCTTACATCACCCTTTCAGGCAGTGCATTCCAGATCGTAACAACTCGCTGGGTAAAACATGTTTCCCTTGTATCCCCTCTGGTTGCCAACTATATTAAATCTGGTTACCGACCCATCTGCCAGAGGAAAGTTTCTCATTAATTCACTCTATCAAAAACCCTCATAACACTCAAACAATCAAATAGAACACCTCTATTAAATCTCCCCTTAACTTTTTCTGATCCAAGGAGATCCTTCCCACCTCTCCAGTCTCTCCACATAACTGAAGATCCTCAACCCTGGTATCATTCTGGTAAATCTTCTCTGCACCCTCTCCAAGGCCCTGATATCCTTCCTAAAGTGTGGTGCTGAGAATTGGAAACAATACTCCAGCTGAGGCTTCTCCCAGTGTCCTGCCTAATAACCCTACAAATAAAATTGGTCATTCATTTCATGACTGTCGCATTCCCCTACAAATATAGTCACTGCACATTACAGAAATCTTCATGAACATTTGAGACATTCTCAATGTTTTAGGTGCTTTATCAAATCCAAAAATTATTATAAATACCAATCGGCCACACTCAAATTCCACCATAAGAGCATCATATACCCTGTACTGACTATACCAGAGTGTATGGTACTAACTGATTTCACTGTCTCATCATCCTCAAGAGCCAGATAACTGACACCAGTTCAACTTTTGTTTTTGTTCATTCCTCTTTGGCTTCACAACCAGCCTGGCTCATTGACAGGACTTGGAAGTCACTCTGGGCTGGGAATCATCCCAGTCAGCCTCTGTTAACCCTGTAAGCCAAAGCCCTAACAGGTCAGGTGGTCCTAGTTGGACAAGCAGCGGGAAAGCTTGCCAGACAGCAATATCAATGGCAAGCTATGCGGTTTTAGCTAGTTAGGCTCTACTTCCATCCTGTAACCCACTTCCAGAATGACTTTTCTTTTCTATCTCTCTCCCTGTTTTCAAAATTCTCCAAGTCCAAAAACTCCAAAAAATCTAGCTCTTTAACCATGCCTTCAGTCACCTTTAAAATCATCCCAATTTTTGTTCGAGACTTAACATTAATATAATTGGCTCTATCATTGCAAGTTGTTATTGTAATTGGACTAGAATAAAATATTTATTCCAAAAGTAGCTTTTTTCAACTTTATTTAAGAAAAATAAGAAAATCCTATGAAATGTTTACACATTAATATATTTTTACCCAGCACCTTAAACTGATATTTCTATGAAAATAGGCTACTTTTCAATTTTAGTTGGTAAAGCAACATTTCCTTTTTTTAAAAAAGTGCTCTGAACTCTTTGCAGATAGAATGCAGAAGTGATTTCACATTGGTGATTTCACATTGAAGTTTTACAGAAACTGGAAAGCCTGAAAATGATAATCGTTGCATTTGATATGGTGCCTTATCACGTCTTCAAAGCGCTTCACAGGATATACTGTAGTGAATTGACTGTATATTTTGGGGACGAAATGCGGCAGCCAATTGCACACAGCAGTGTCCCACAAACAGTCGTGTATTGAGTGACCAAATTCTTATTTATTGGTTTATCATTCCACATCATAGCTGTTTGTTTAACCTAACTTTATGTGGTTTGTTTCATGTTGGCTTTCATTTGAACAGGCAAAAATGTAACCAACAAGTGGTTTCCTTACTCAATTGATCCTTAACCCCAGATAATACAGACCTAGTTTCTCAATCTTAGCAAGATTTCTGAATCTTAAAAAAAAATCTAAATGTAGGGCAAGATTATAGTAAAAACTTCCCTGTAGTACTAACTGCTTCAAATATAGCTGATTTAGTGGAGGAAACAAACATTTTTCAAATTTAAGCATCCTACCCTCCCTGCTCCTCACCCGCCCCGATTCCAACCCCCAACTCGGATTCAAATCCCTGACTGTTCAGCGCCTTGGGATGTCCTTCCGACATGAAAGGCACTATACAAATATAATTTTTAATTGTATCAATTATTTCATACAAGGCGTCGTGTAACAACACACACTTTGATGTGGTAACATCTCTTGGACATTCAGCTCCTGCAGCAGCTTCTTCATTCTCTCTAGTTGTTGCTCCTGGCGGCGAGATTTCTGTTGAAGGAACTTCAGTTTCTTTTTCAATTTTTCATTCTGTTCTTCCAACTGCTGAATCCTTCTCTTTTGCAAACGCGCATCCCCAACACTGTAGCTATGGTCATAAATAGTCAGAAGATCACTTGGTGGTGTTGGTTCAGATAGATCACATGACTGCTTTGGTACAGGTTCTACTTTAACTTCTACTTCTGTTATGGATTGTTCTCTTGGCGTCAACGTTTCCAATTTCTATAAATACATTAAAATAGACATGACACAACCGCATCTCTAATTAAGCACGAGTGTATTTCTCTTCAGACCACACCAGGTTCCACGATCCCATCACCCCACCCTCGCCCGGCTCCACTGGCCTCAGAGGATAGAGTTCAAAATCCTCACCTCGCTGCCAGTCTTCCCCCTCCCTACCTCTGCCTCCTCGTGCTCCTCAACCTCTGCTGCCTTAGATACCGTGGACCATTCCATCCTCCTCCACCGCCTCCTCTCACCTCAACCTTCAAGGTTTGGTCCTTGAATGGTTCAGGTCTCATCTCTCACACGGTCCCCATTTGTCTCCGCTAAGTTTCTCTTCCAGCCTCTGCACAGTCTAGTGTGGCGTTCCTCAGGGGTCTGTCCTGGATCCCCTGCTCTTCAACCTGTACATACTCCCGCTTGGTAACATCATCTGCAGATATGGGGTCAACTTCCACATATACTCGGATGACACCCAACTCTATCTCTCTGCCTCCACCCTTGATTCTAGGGCAACTGACGTCCTGACAGATTAGACTGTCAAACATTAAGTTCTGGATGAGAGCTAACTTTCTACAGTTGAATGTCAGCAAGACTGAGGCCTTCCTGATTGGTTCGCGCTAGCGCCTCCGCACCTCAGGCACTGGCAGCATCAGCATCTATAGATGCACACTCCACTTCACCAAGCCAGTCAGGCACCTAGGCAGCTTGTTCGACCCTCAACTGTCTTTTCTCCCCTACAACCGTGCCATGACCTGCTCTGCCTTCCGCCACCTCCGCAACATTGCCCAACTCTGCCACTGCCTCACCCCTCAGATCGCCGAAACCCTCATCCATGTATTCATCACCTCAAGGCTCGATGACGGAAACTCCCTCCTTGTCAGCCTCCCCAACTCTTCCCTCCACAAGCTGCAGATCATCTGTGTCCTCTCCCGTACAAGTCTCTGTGACCCCATCACCCCCACTCTCGCCTGGCTCTCCATTTCTCAGAGGATAAAATTCAAAATCCTCGCCCTCACTTTCAAGAACCTCCACGGCTTTGCCCCTCCTACATCTGACCTGCTGAGCCCCTATCAATCTGTCTGCTCCCTCCGGCTCTGGCCTGCTCCAGGTCTCCTGCCCGACTCAGCCTCTCTGCCTCCACTCTTTGGAACTCCACCCCACAATCCCTTTGCCTTGCTCCCTCTGTTGCCTCCTTCAAGAGCCTCCTTTTTGACCATGTCTTCAGCTGCTCTCCTACCCCCTCTGCCTTCCCTCATCCCAAACCTGACCCCCATGCTCGGATCCTGATCCCTGACTGTTCAGCGCCTTGGGACGTCCTCCGACATGAAAGGTGCTTTACACATGTAATTTTGCTGTTGTTGTTGCTGACCCCATATCACCTGCTTGCTCCCTCCGCTCAGCAGGCTCTGGCCGGCTCCATGTCCCCTGCCTGGCCCGCCCCACCATCGGCGGCCAGGCCATAGGCCTTTCTGACCCCACCCTATGGAACTTCATCCCACATTCCCTTTGCCTCGTGCCCTCCCTTGCATCCTTTAAGGTGCTTAGAATCCTCGTCTTTGACCGAGCCTTCGGCCATGCTCCTGTCCCCCCGTCCTCCACCTTCCCTGATCCCAACCCCCAGCTCGGGTCCAAATCCTTGACTGTCCAGCACCTTGGGATCTCCTCCCGACGTGAAAGGTGCTATACAAATGTAATTTTGTATTGTATTGGGCTCTATAATACTGAATGCAAAACACCTGATTTTACTTAACCATTTACTACTCCCAAAGTAAGCGAATGTATTAGGTGTAAAGAACTTTGAATCTACCAGTATAATGAGATGCACTGTAGTTCAGATACAATTAACTAAAATTTGAAAATATTGGATACAGTCCTCTACCTGTGATCGGGAATTTAAATGATAAATGATAAATGAGTTAAAATTCTGCACTTGTATCAGAAACGATGCATTGTTCTATCATCTGCTATTTTATCTGAAAGCTTAAAAAAGCAGGTACATTTCCTGAGCAATATGTGCAATTAAAATGATGGTGTTACTAACAACAGATCATCTAATTTTGCATTATAACTGAATCCCTCTTTAAAATGTTTACCTTTGTTTGTTGTTTTGGTCGTGTGAAGCAGAATATGGAAGGGACAGCGTTTTCCTCCAGTATTTTGTTGTTACAATTCTTTCTGAAACAGTCTACTGTGAAGTGTTCTGAGCAGAGATTACTGTTTTTGGTGGGTGTAAAGTTCCGCCTCCTCACTGCAGCCACCCACTTCTTGCAGAGCTCAGGTCGTTTCAGGGGAAACCTTTAAATTCAGGTTCAGAAAGAACTTAAGACAACAATAACAACAACAAAATTACATTTGCAAAGCGCCTTTCATGTCGGTAGGACGTCCCAAGGCCTGAAAGATAAGTTATCTTTGCAAGCAGGTTTCTGATTCATTAAAAGGTAGTTAATTATTATTATAATTATTATAGTTCAGGTGCAAATATGCCCTCTGTGCACTTTATATTACTAACAGACAGATAGAAGGTGTGCAAGATGTGTGCTCCTGAGACATGAAAGGTATCATATCAAATGTATGGATTAATTATTATTAATAACAAGTATTTATACTATACTGAGAAATAATTCTGCTCTCTGGGCTCAGCTTCTGAATCACCTCAGCCTGAACTGTTCAGCTGTACTGCTTCCTATCTTCCACTCACACCAATAAAAATAGTGTGAATAGTTTTCCATGGCAGAGCTGTAGTTAAGCAGTAAATTGAAGTTGACAATCGCTGGCAAAGTACTAAACTTGCAGTTTAACACTTTGTGCATTTTTATATCCTATTCATTCTAAAAAGTGAAACTTAATGAAGTGGATTTTCCAATAACCGGTTTAAACACATACTTGCAGCTGTCTGACACAGCTTATTACAATATAGTATAGGGATGTCAGAAATGTTCAGTTCTGACCAAAGGTCATCGACCTGAAACATTAACTCCCTGCCTCGATCCCTCCGTCTTGCCCCCTCTTTGCCCATCTACAAATCATACCTGAAGACTTTCCTCTTCAACTGTGCCTTTGGTCACCTCTCCTCCCTTTCCTTCTCGGCATCAAACCACACCGCTGGTAAGTGCTCAGAGACATTACTCACGTGAGGGGTGCTACATAAATGCAAGTTGTCATAATAATGCTTGCGTTTTGATATAATAATCCTTGCATTTGAAATAGCACCTTATCAAGTCGTTTAAATCACTTCGCTGAATATACTGTAATATAATAATAATCCTTGCATTTGATATAGCGCTTTTCACGTCTTCTCAACGTCTCAAAGCGCTTCACAGAATAGACTGTAAAATGAACTGACCGTATATTTGTGGGCGAAACACGGCAGCCAATTGTGCACAGCAATGTCCCACAAACAGTCATGGATTGAAAATGACCAATTTATTATTGTTTTGTTTTGGAGGGATTATTATTAGGTGTGTGGAGTAAGGAAACTTGCCCAAGGTTTCGCCCTGTGCCTGGAACTGAACCCAGGTGTCTCGCTTGCAAAGCGAGTGCTCTAACCACTGAGCTACAGGACTCCACGTCCACGTAAAATGAATTGACTGTACATTTTGTGGGCGAATGTAGTTATGACATCTCAAAGCATTTCTCGGGATTTACTGTAAAGTGCAGTAACTGAATTTGAATTGAGGGGTGGCAGTCGATTTGCGCACAGCAATATTTCCCATATACTGTATATTTTTATTCCATATAAATTAGAAAAAAAGTGAAGTCCTGTAGCTCAGTGGTGAGAGCGCTCGCCTCGCAAGCGAGAGGATCTGGATTTGATTCCCGGCCGGGCGAAACCTTGGGCAAGTTATCTTACCCCACGCGCCTGTTTACCCCGCTGTAACCTGGTGGTTAGTTGATTCGTGGATCACTTTTCCGAGGGTAATAATTCCTTCAAACTACTTTAAAAAAAAATGCGGTGACGTAATCCGCGGCTGTTTGTGGGACACCTATGTGCGCGATCGGCTGCGGCGTTTCGCCCACAAAATATACAGTCAACTCCCTCTACTGTGTGCTCCGTGAAGCGCTTCGAGACGTCTCGAAGACGTGATGAGGCGCTGTCAAATGCTGAGATTGTTGTTATTTTCTGGGGGGGGGGTGGGGGGGGGGCACCAGGAGAGGGAGAAACTCCCCCTCTGTTTTCTGACGGTGCCAGTGGGGTCTGATCCCTGTGTGACCCACAGGCGGCGCCACAGCGCAGCAGAGCGTCACCCCCTCCATCCCTGGCGGTGACCAGGCCCTGACTGACTGACTGACTGACTGAGGCAGCGCACTCCAGGCCCAGGCCCAGGCCCCGCACAGGCCGCGGTGCCAGTCGGGTCAGGTCCGCTGCCTGACTCAGCGGGTTTAGGAGCGAGTCCCCGCGGTTCCCGCCTTACCTGTGGAAGGAGACTCCCCGCTCCTTGTCGTACCGATTCTTACAACCATACGCGGAGCAGGACAACACCATGGCGCCCGCCCGCCGCGCCACGTGACCCGTGGCCCTGGCTCTGGTTGGTCAGCTGGCTGCCAGACGCCATCTTTGTTGAGGGCAAGGCTGCGTCTGACGTCATCGTCCGCAGCACTGTGAGGGGCAAAAGGGGGGCGGGGTCTGCACCTCTGGGGTGGGGAAGGCCAGTCTGCAGGGCAGTCTCCAGGCACCGGTGTGAAGGGCACTTTATAAGTGCAAATTGTTGTTGTCAGGATACTTCTGGAACATTGCAATTCTTCAAATGGACTTTAACTAAACCAGTATTTTGAATAGTTTCCAAAGGATGAAAAGGTGCCTGGAGCCCACCCTGCAGATATAATACAACAACAACAACAAGATTCCATTTATAAAGCGCCTTTCACGTTAGGAGGACGTCCCAAGGCGCTGATAATCCTTGCATTTGATATAGCGCTTTTCACGTCAGGAGGACGTCCCAAAGCGCTTCACAGAACACACTGTAAAGTGAATTGACTGTATATTTGTGGGCGAACGCGGCAGCCAATTGCGCACAGCAATGTCCCACAAACAGTCGTAGATTGAAAATGACCAATTTAATTATTGTTTTGGGTTTTTGGAGGGATTATTATTAGATGTGTGGAGTAAGGAAACTTGCCCAAGGTTTCGCCCTCTGCCTGGAATTGAACTCGGGTCTCTCGCTTGCAAAGCGAGTGCTCTAACCACTGAGCTACAGGACTCCACAATGCCTCCTTCCTTACTCCAGCTCCCTTCCATTTTGCCCCTCATGCCTCTGTGGCCAATGAGCAGCCTGACACACAAAATACACAGTCACTGCACTCCACAGTAAATCCTGTGAAGGGCTTTGAGGCAAAATATGATGAAAAAACACATTCAGACTATGAAACCTAAATCTTCCACTTACCATTTGCAATCTACCCAAATAGTGGAGTCCTGTACTCAGTGGTTAGAGCACTTGCCTCGCAAGCGAGACCTGGGTTCTATTCCCTTCAGGGCAAAACTGGGCACGTTTCCTTATTCCACAAGTTTCTGTTTATTTAGCAGTAAGTACAAACCTAGTTGTTAGTCGATTGGCGGATTGCTTTTCTGGGGGTAATAATTCCCTCAAAAAGAATTGGTCACTCCATCCACGGGACACTGCTGTGGGCAATTGGTTGCCGCATTTGGCCCACAAAATATAGTCAAATCTTTTTACAGTATAACCTGTGAAGTCCTATGAGATGCCTCGAGGACGCGATAAAACCCTATAAGTGCATGGATTATTATTAGGTTCCCCCCAAAAAACGCACAGCCACCGGACTTTACGGCATGCAGGTATAATCGAGGTGCGAACCATGTGCTAAGGCGCCCTATCGAAATGCAATTGCTAATTTGATGGAAAGCACAGGCAAAGTCTACACCGTGCGCTTTACAGTCGCGATTTCTCGCAGGGTTTTTTTTATTTAAAAAAAGAAAGAAAAATAAATGGCGGCAAAAGGCCCACAGTGAGCGGAGTGAGTGAGTGAGTGCCCAGTGGTCGGCACAGGGGCGGTGTGTGTGTGTGTGTGGGGGGCGATGGCTCAGCGCTGCGTCACAAGTCGCACGCATGCGCTGTGCATGTGAAGCAGGGCCGAGTCAGCGCGGAGCCGCCGCGGCCTCTCCTCTCCCTCTCTCCCCCCCCAATCCAACGCCATCCGCTCGGATAGAGGCCGCCAAAGCCGCCCGTCTTTGCAGCGCACCCCGGGCCGCGCACACCAAACTGTCACCATGTACGACCCGGACGAAGGTGAGCACCGTCTGCAGGCGATGGCGGAGAGTCGTGACCGCCGCGTCTCGTTGGGAAAATGGCGCCGGTCTCGGGCCCGCTCAGCCCAACCAACGGCCACCCTCCAGTCCGTGCAGCGCTTTCCCTGGGCCTCGGCGGGGCGGCGCCGCCAGAGTGAAGCCCAAGCGACTGAGCGCACACATCACGGTGGCTGTGCAGACCCTGAAAGCTGGTCGGGCGGCGGTGGGCCGGTGGGCCGGAGCCCCGGGGGCGGCGGGGGCGGGGCGGGGGGTCCCCAGTACACAACAGCTCCCGCTCTGTGTGTCAGAGACTTCAATAAACCGTGTCATTACACCTACCCCCATTCCCCCGAGTGTACGACTACACCTTCCCTCCTGGAATAAGCACTGGAAAACATCAGTGCACTCCCCTTTTATAGGACTTGTCATTACAGTTAAACAATAATAATAATAATAATAATCCTTGCATTTGATATAGTGTTGTTCACGTCGGGAGGACGTCCCAAAGCGCTTCACAGAACACACTGTAAAGTGAATTGACTGTATATTTGTGGGCGAACGCGGCAGCCAATTGCGCACAGCAATGTCCCACAAACAGTCGTAGATTGAAAATGACCAATTTATTATTGTTTTTGGTTTTGGAGGGATTATTATTAGGCTCTGTGTGGAGTAAGGAAACTTGCCCAAGGTTTCGCCCTCTGCCTGGAATTGAACTCAGGTCTCTCACTTGCAAAGCGAGTGCTCTAACCACTGAGCTACAGGACTCCACAAGTGTAATAATCCTTACACTTGATATAGCGCCTCGTCGAGACGTCTCAAAGCGCCTCACGGCATACACTGTAAAATGGATTGACCTGTATACGTTGCGGGCGAAACAGAAAGGAGATGTCTTACCAGTGAAGCGAGTATTATTTTGAAGTGAAGCTTGGCCTGGTGCTGGCGCTGTCTGAAACAGTAGTTTCTTGTCGTAGCACTTGAGGATACCCTGTTTATGAACGTGACACTTTCTTGTCCAAAAAGATCGTCAGTGAGCAGGATGAATCCGGTTTGAAATATTCCTTGTGTTCTGATCCCCACTGACATAAACACCCTCCAGTGGGTGTTTTTTGGAGTGGAATAGACTGATCGACTAAAATATAAAGTCTGCTTTACTGTAGTTGATTTCAAAAGGCCCGTAAAACCTTTTTTTAAAAAAGTACGGTATTTCAGTGTTATAGTGGGAGCTAGTTATCTAATAACTAACTAAAACTGGCCTCAGGGTAGATGCTGCAAGTGAGGATAACAGGACAGCATCATACAGCAACATGCAAATAACATACAGTACAAAACACAGTACAAAACCTTACAACAGTACCACACTGCAAGTGCTCTCACTCCGTGCCTTTCTATATCTGACTGAGTCTTTTGCTTGGATTCTGGCTTTCTTTCTCACTGTCACTAACCCTTTTTTGGCTTTCTTTGACACCTCTCTCTTTGACACTTGCTCTCGCTTTATATCTCTGTCCCTGACCCTTGGATGTATCTTTTTTTCACCAAAAAAGCTAATGATTCACATGCCTCACTTTGCTGTGTAACTAAAAAATAAAAAGCTAGCATTGTCTTTTTACATCAGAGACCAATAAGTGGCATTCTACTGTAATAAAGAAGTTACATAGCTTTTTAGTAATATTACAAAATCATCTCGTATTTGGTGCCACATAGTGGAGCTCAGCATGTTTTCGTGAACACGCAAAATGTCTGTGAGAGAGGTTGCAGCTGATTGCCTGGTTGTGTTTCCTGTGTGCTAATATAAGATTATTTAAAATATATTTTCCATTAATTTTAATGTAATTTCAAGAGACCCTTTCAAAATTAAGAAGCTAGTATTGACATAAGCATGTAATAGCCTGGAATTGGGACTTGTGACCATTTGTTCCCTCTGGTATTACTTTTAACCATCCAGCTTTAATTTAAATGTTTATGTTTCGGATCTCTCTAACAGAGAAAGTGTCATCCACTATATAGCTTGTTGATTTCCTTCAATATTTATAACACCTTATTTATAGCTCCCTTCAACTGCAATTACTATAATCAAGTCTACCTAGCCTCTCAATATAACTAACACTTTTCATTTTATCATTTAGTGAATCATTGCTTTACATCTAAAACTAGTGTATCTTCCCAAGGATTGGATGTCCAAAGCAGAATACAGCCTCTAGCTGAGATCTGTCTCTTTCTCTAGATAACTTCAGGAGTACTTCGTTGCTTTTATATTGCAGACATATTGTTATGAAACCATGAATTCCATTAACCTTAACAAATTGCTTTTTCCACTTGTGAGCTAATTTCCTGTAGAGAATGCAGTGATGGCATTTGTTGTGCTATTTATCGGGGCATTGCCTGTAGGAAGGTGTCAACATTGGGGAAATCCCAGGAGTAAAACTCATGATTGGCAAGAGCAACATAGATAGAGCATTTCTACCTGAAACATTAACCTATCTTTCAAATACTGATTGACCAATTTCCAACGTGTATTTCAAATGTCTTTCTGTTTTTATTTTAGATTTCTTAACTTTTTTACAAATTGAAACATATGAATTTATGTTAATAGTTTTGATGTGAAACATATAATAATAATCCTTCATTTGATATAGCGCTTTACACGTCTTCTAGATGTCTCAAAGCGCTTCACAGCATATACTGAGAAGTGAATTGACTATATTTTGTGGGCGGTAGCCAATTGCGCACAGCAGTGTCCTACAAACAGTCGGAATTGAGTGACCAAATTCCTATTATTTTTTTGAAGGGATTATTACCCCCAGTAAAGCGATCCACCAATCAACTAACAACCGGGTTCTTATTTACTGCTAGGTAAACAGCCGTGTGGAGCAAGGAAACTTGCCCAATGTTTCACCCTGCCCGGGAATCGAACCCAGGTTCTCTCGCTTGTGAGGCGAGTGCTCTAACAACTAAGCTGCAGGACTATATACAGGACATATATATGGAATAAAAATATATGGTATATGGGAAAAATAATGGAAAAGTGCATTTTGGTTTCAGCCATCTAAATTAGAGAGAATAACCACCTACAGATATTTCTCATCTTTCAAATTCTAAGGAAATAATTTTAGTTGGATTAATCAAGGTGGACTAAATCCCAACACACTCTTTACCTTTACCCCGTAGAAAGCTTTGAGGCATGAGTACCTCAAGTTGCTGTTTGTGTATCTACATTGAATAATGAGTCGACATATCCGTTTAAAGGTAATTATAAACATAGCAGCAGGATAACAACTTGAATGTAGACTAAACACTGCCTGAAGTCATCAGGTCATAGCTGAAATCACTTCTTGCTTATGTGCCAACTACCATACACAGGAAGTGATGTTAACATTGCTTCTCAAAGCGCAGGAGCCTAACACTCCAAAAACGTTTTTTTGTGCTTATGCCGCTGCTGAGATATTGGACCTAGGTGACAGTATTATAACATGGTTGCCAGGTAGAAATGGAGATGATGCTATTTTTGTGTCAGTCATTTTGGACATATCTCTTGATAGGACTTCCAAGATTGGGGAGTTCCACATGAAGAACTGAAGGAACCTCCTCTACTCATTAAGAAGGCTGGAGAATATCATTTAACTTAACAGTGTTCGGAATTGAGGCAAACTGGCTACCATATCTTGGTAATTTATGACTGCACTTGTGTTTCAGAAATGCAATATGATGAAGAAGATGATGAAATCACCCCAGATTTGTGGCAGGAGGCATGCTGGATTGTTATCAGGTAAAGATCTAAGCAAGCTCCATGCAGTAAAACAAACATGGTCAACTTTATAAATGTTTATGCTTCTGGAAACTTGTGGTCTGCCCTAGAATGATTGCCATTCCAAATCATGAAATAGCTGTCTTATCCTGATGGATTGCAAGGAACGGTAACTTGCATTATAATAGAATCTTTTTGGTAGAATAAAGCCCACGATTCCAAACAGAGAAATAAGAGATTTAAAGATTTTGTCCAGGGGCACAATTGATTAGAGATATTTTCAGGATGTTTTTGAGGCAGTGAGTGGTAGCAATCAAAGTGGTTTTGGAAGCAATTTGTAGAGGACAGGGGTAGGAGGATAAAGCTTTGTCAGCGGTTAGTGGAGCAACGATGAGCAAGTAATGGACCAGAATTGGACGTGCGGAGAGTACAGACTAAAACAGTGGTGGCCAACCATATATATTTTTCTTAATTGAATTTTTCTTCATTGATCGCTGTGCCCTGGGAATCGCAGCTGAGTAGCTACTGGAAACCAGGTATTGATTTGGCGTAGATTTGCCTGGACTGGTGCAGGTGTCTGGTGGGCCACTCCTTGACATCCCAAAAGTGGCCTTTTTTGGGGCATCAAAAAGTGACTCCCTGAGCATGACCATAAATTAAGAAAAATTCAATAAAGAAATATTTATTTGGTTGCCTTTTTGCCTGACTAAAAAGGTTGGCCACCATTGGGCTAGAATGTAGGGCTGAAGAAAATTGCATAGGTAAGATGGGGTGAGACAGTGGATTTGAAGATCAGTAGAAGAATCTTGATCTGAATCTGCTAACTTTATTTGGAGCAAATGGAGCTTGGAGGATGGGGATGATGGGTTTAAGCGGTCCTGGGTAGGAAAGAACAATCTAGAGTTCTGAAAGAGTTGACATTTCTGGAGTGTAGCTGGAGAGGCTGGTAAGCAGAGCATCAGAACAAAATAACTTTAAGATAATAATAATCCTTGCATTTGATATAGCGCTTTTCACGTCTGGAGGACGTCCCAAAGCGCTTCACAGAACACACTGTAAAGTGAATTGACTGTATATTTGTGGGCGAACGCGGCAGCCAATTGCGCACAGCAATGTCCCACAAACAGTCGTAGATTGAAAATGACCAATTTATTATTGTTTTTGTTTTGGAGGGATTATTATTAGGCGTATGGAGTAAGGAAACTTGCCCAAGGTTTCGCCCTGCCTGGAATTGAACTCAGGTCTCTCGCTTGCAAAGCGAGTGCTCTAACCACTGAGCTACAGGACAGATGGTGAAACCATGGCAAGCGTTTCATTATTGTTAAAGGTAAGGTAAGGGCACATGTAGGCGATGTTCTGGAGGTTTTGGCATGGACTGGATGTGATGTTTAGAACTCGCCTCAGGTCCTGCAGAGGTTGTGAGGTCTGAGCAAAAGCCAGTGAGGCTGGTTGAATTGGAACTAGGGGCATGTACAGGAAGTAATATTTTGGTGCAGGAATGATTTACGAACGGAACGCTACAAAATGTATGGTGGGTGGATTCTGAGATGTTTCAGCTGTTTGAGCAATTGGGGCCAGGGGAAAGCAAGTTCACCTGCTGAGTAGTATGGTGAAGGGAGGAAAGAGATTAGTGGTAATTAGGACAACATTCTTTATATTTACCTCTTCCTTCCACGCAATACATTGTAAATTCCAGAGTGCCTGAGTGGTCTGACATTATATTCAATACAGTTCTGGTGATAGCACAAAATGTCTTGAAAATTAGGGATTAGCTGTGAAAAACATTGTTCAAAGTGAAGACTTGTGAATGCGCTTACAAGTGAATTAGCATGCAATGCTGTGACCCTTATTGACAACTTGTTGAGTTTTGAAACATTATTTTTACTGAATTGTTTTCTTTTATTTCAGCTCGTACTTTGATGAGAAAGGTCTGGTACGACAGCAGTTGGATTCATTTGATGAATTCATACAGATGTCAGTGCAGAGAATTGTGGAAGATGCACCTCCAATAGACCTCCAAGCTGAAGCTCAGCACACCTCTGGAGAAGTGGAAGAACCAGTAAGGAAAATCTGAAAAAAAAATTATTATTAGATTTGTCTTGTGTACATGTGAGATATTAATGCCTCCCTCCATCCATCTTCCAGCCCCGTTTTTTATTGAAGTTTGAACAGATCTACTTGTCAAAGCCAACACATTGGGAAAGAGATGGTGCACCATCACCAATGATGCCAAATGAAGCTCGACTGCGAAACCTTACGTAAGTTCCAATAGATGTGCTATAGAGGCAGATATTCCTTTTCAGCTTGTTACAGATGGGTAGAAATCTTTCTTAGATTAAATGTTTCAAATCAAGCATTTGAGATTTGAAATTTGATGTCTTACAGGTATTCGGCTCCGCTTTATGTAGATATAACCAAGACTGTAATTAAAGAGGGTGAAGAACAAATGCAAACGCAGCACCAAAAGACATTTATAGGAAAGATTCCTATTATGCTTCGATCTACCTATTGTCTTCTAAGTGGTCTGACCGATCGTGATCTCTGTGAATTGAATGAATGCCCACTGGACCCTGGTGGCTATTTCATCATCAATGGATCAGAAAAGGTACAGAATGGACATGAAACCGTTTCATAAAATACTTGAGAAAAGTGGAGAACTATCAGAATGATCATTAGCTCAATTTTTTAAAAAGAAAAGCCTGTTTTTATATTCCCCTTTATAATGCCCTTCAATATATTGCTGTCTCACATAAGGTGGGTGGGTAATGATCACTGACATTTTGTGAGGTCAAAGTATGAAAACTATGTGGTTGTGGGAATAAAGCAAGTTGCTTAGACTGCATCTCAAGAATGGGTGGGGGGGAATCTATGACGGTAGGTTTTGAGGCAGTGGAGGGATATCCTTGTGGATGAATTGAATAATCATTTCTTGTGCCACTGGGGACAATTATGTAGGAAAGTATCTTTTGATGCCAAGTGGTTATATTTTCTGCGTGAGTGAGTAAGCAGTGAGTGTCAACCAACTGTCAGTCTATTATTGCCTCTCTTCGGCCAATACCACAGGCTGCTTAGGTTGAGAAGGGTAACAAACCAGGAATTGATCCTATAGCCTGTGTTTTTGCTGCATTGGGGTGTTGCTTTTTTACCCTATTACAGGTGGGAGCTTAAGTGCATTTTTTTGTTTTACAGAAAAATATCTATTTAGTCACCTCCCCACCCCAAAATATCTGTTTTTAGAGGGGAAAGGTATAAAGGATATAGAATATTAGTTGTCCACCTCAATGTGACTCACAAGCAACAAATTATTCTGTGTACTCCATGCACTAAAACATAATGTGCTTAAGAATTAGCTTCAAGAAGATATCTTGAAGTGCACTATTCACTGGAGTAATTTCAGTATAGTTGGCGCTTGTCTCGTGATACTGAGAATGTTGACGTGGGTTATTGGAAACACCAGGTTCGTCCTTTCATTACTATCTAAATATCCTTAATCTCTATGTCCTCACATATGCCAAATTTATACAGTTTGAAGTTAATATTAGAGTGACTGAATTCTGGTTATTTGAATTGATTCTAATAAAACGTGCAATTTGATATTTTGCTAGGTTCTGATTGCACAGGAAAAGATGGCAACAAATACAGTGTATGTGTTTGCAAAGAAAGACTCTAAATATGCATACACAGGAGAGTGTCGATCATGTCTGGAGAATTCTTCACGCCCTACAAGTACCATTTGGGTCAGCATGCTGGCAAGAGGCGGACAGGTGGGACTTTCAATAGTTTTGTTGAGTACAATAAAAATAATCCTTGATATTTGATATAAAGCTTTTCACGTTTTCTAGACATCTCAAAGCGCTTCACAGAATATACTGTCAAGTGAATTGACTATTTTGTGGGCAAGATGCGGCAGCAAATTGCGTACAGCAATGTTCCATAAACAGTCGTAGAATGAAGTGACCAATTTATTATTGTTTTTTTTTCTTGAGGGATTATTATCAGGTGTGTGGAGTAGGGAAACTTGCCCAAAGTTTCGCCCCTGCCGGGAATCGAACCCAGGTCTCTCGCTTGTGAGGCGAGTGCTCTAACAACTGGCTATAGGACTCCACATGCACTTTTGAATGCACTTTTCTTTCAGTCCTTTGAAAATATTGCTCTTAATTATGTCACTTTATGTTTTCAGGGTGTGAGGAAAAGTGCAATTGGTCAACGAATTGTGGCCACCCTGCCATATATCAGACAGGAAGTTCCCATCATCATTGTGTTCCGTGCCTTGGGTTTTGTGTCTGACAGAGACATTCTCGAGCACATTATATATGATTTTGATGACCCTGAAATGATGGAAATGGTAAGTTGCAATGTGATCAGAATTCACATTTCTTCAAAATACTTTGTGAGAAAACAGTTCAACCCTTGCTTATCCTGGTTTCATTACAATACAAAGGAAAATATTTTGAAAAACATCTGAGGGAAGATTCCAAAAATCTCTTGGGTGCAATTTAGAATTTAACAAACATTTCTTTTTGAAGATACTTTGTTTCCATTGTACAAAAACACCCTTTTACACTTATTTGTGTAAACAGGATACTCGATTGGTAAGGGTATTGCTGTGTCTAATGAGATGGAATCTTCTGCAGCCTGTGAAGCCTACCTCCTAACTAACTTGTGCTATTTTAAATGTCAATTTTTGTGCTTATCAGTTTTAGAGATAAAAGCGTTCAAATTCAAGATCCTCACCTTAAAACCCATCCACATCCTTGGCTCATCCTTACCTTACCTCCTACAACCTTTTCGCCCTGTCCTCTCAGCTAACAATGGCCTGCTTCATTTCCCCAATCCAATCTACCCCACCATAATGGGCAAGCTTTCAGACATTCTTCTCCTGCTGTACTCCATCCCGGAGTCTCTACCTCCCTCCCCATCTTTTAAAGCCTGCCTTAAAACCGATCTTTTCAACTATGCTTTGTCTTTCTCTGGCGCCCAGTCAGCTGTGTGAGGTGCTTTGAAACATTCTCCTGGCATGAACCTCACTATATACAAGTAAATTGTTTTTCTATTTCTATTGTGCCATTTTTACAATCCAGATTCTGTATCAGGCACTCACAGGCCAGATGCAAAGTAACACTTCTACTCTGCCCCATCAGTATTAAGCCCATTTTTCATAAGAGCATTCCTACTGCACTACTGAATTTGTCTCCCATGCTGATGGCTACTTGAGATTGCCAGTTAATCTGAATTATGACCAGTTTTGTTCAGTGGACTTGTATCTACTTGAGTGTTGGAGAAAGTAACTAAACTCATTTCATGTAGGACCCTTGCAGTTGATAAAATTCAAGTCCTGAAGCGAGAACTAAAAAGACATGCTGTGCTACTCAATTCCCTCCTTCTCTCCAGGGCCTCTCTAACATACACGGCTACTTTTCAAAAATGTTGCACACTCTTAGTGACATACAGTGGAACCTCATTATAAGGTGGTATTGGATTCCATAATATCTGAAGCTGCTTTATGATGAGGCCTGTTCCATTGCCACACTGAGCCTGCCTTCTGAGTTATCAAATTGCCAATGACATCCCTTTCTGTATGCTGCAAAGTGATTGGGGTCAACACTTCATTCACGTTTTAAACAAACGGCACTGTAAAGAACATTTAGCAGGTACGCACTGTAAACAATTTCAGACAGGAGTAGACCATTGGGTCACCTAGCTGGACCCATTCAAGTTTTCAAAAGATTTGTTCACACATTCACACCACTGCTTTGGGACGCAATCTAATATTCCGGCCTAGGTCATATCACTCTATACCTTTACTTTCCATGTATCTAGCTCCCTTTTAGACATCCCAATCAACTCTGCAGCTATATCTTTTTGAATAAAATCAAAACTGCAAGCAGTAGTCCAGGTATTTGCTGTGCAAGGCCAAATAAAACCTTAACATCACAATTCTGCATTTGCACATTACTTCCCCTATATCTTTAGCAAATTATTCCCTCAGCTATTCATCCCAGTATTTTGTTTCTTTTTGAAATATTGCCTGTATTGATTGTTTTCTTCAGCCTAGCTAAAATTTCTAATAGAAAAGGAGAAACCTGAATTTAAAGCTGATTTGGTTCTGTGAAAATATACACTGTATATTTTTGAAAGTCTGTTTGTTATTCCTCTCTTGCCCTTTAGACAACCTTGTTTGTGCTTGGGATTCTAGGTGAAACCTTCACTGGACGAAGCTTTTGTTATCCAGGAACAGAATGTGGCGCTGAACTTCATTGGTTCAAGAGGCGCAAAACCTGGTGTAACAAAAGAAAAGAGAATTAAATATGCAAAGGAAATTCTGCAGAAGGAGGTGCTGCCACACGTTGGTGTCAGTGACTTTTGTGAGACGAAGAAAGCTTATTTCTTGGGGTAGGTTACGTTACTATCGTATTGGTAAAACTATGTAAAAGGCCAAGGTCCATAGCATACACAAGAAAGGTTCATAAACAAGAAAATGAGAAGTTAGCAGCAGTGGCAGCAAGTTTGGGTTTTCAAAGAGCTGAGAGAGAGAGAGAATGATTTGGAGTAGGAAACATTGTGATCAATGCTGGTGTCACCACAGTGAGAATGTAAAGAAGAGGAGGAGCATGTAGCAATGTATTTACAACTGAGGAGAGAGCACAAGAAAGAAATATTTAGAGTAGCAATGATCAAAGTAGTATTTAAGTAATAGAAACATTTGAGAGAGGTTGTAATTGAGTGAGGTTAGAAACAGGTGAAAAAAGTAATCACTTATCAGATAAGCAATTCCTTGTATTCTGTCCAGAAGCGCGAGACAGGTACTAGAAAGGATACCAGGTATGGAGCAGTATTCACAACTTGGATTCACTTGTGCTTAATTTGTTGAAGAGACAAGGTTGGCACGAAGGAAGAAATGGCTTCTTGAAGGCAGTTTTAGCAAATAAATAATTGCCAATACTGGAAATGCATAGCCGGTCAATCACCATCTGAAAGAGAGAGGTTACTGTTTTTTTATGTGCCCCTTCATCACAATAAAGAGAACTATAAATATTGAATAACACGGGGCTAATAAAAGGGTAACTGTTGATGGCAACAGATTAAATGTGTATGATTCCCTCCAATCTGGTTTCTGTGCTGCCCACAGTATCAAGACTGCCCTAGTCAAAGTCACCCATGATATTCTCTCCATTTGTGACTAGGCCTTTCTCTGTCTATTTGTATTCTTGACCTCACTGTTGCCTTCGATACTGTCGACCGTTCTATTGTTTTGCAATCCCTTTCTTCTTGGCTCCACCTTCACGATTCTAGCCTTTCCTGTTCATATCTGCCAACGGCTTCTCCTCCTGCCTCAGCACTGTCACATGTGGCATTCCTCAGGGCTCTATCCTCCGTGCTCTCCATTTTAATCTGTGCTTGAATGGTTCAGGTCGTCCTTCACACACCGCCTCCACTTCATCTCCACAAATGGTTTCTCCTCTAGCCCACGCACCGTCTCGTGCGGCATTCCTCAGGGCTCTGTTCTTGGTCCCCTCCTCTTCAATATCTACATGCTCCCTCTTGGTGACATCATCCACAGACATGGGATCAACTTCCACATGTATGTGGATGACACCCAACTACCTCTCTGCCTCCACCCTCGACTCCAGGACCACTGTTATCCCAACAGAATGTCTGTCAGACATCAAGTCCTGTATGAGAGCTAACTTTCTTCAGTTGAACGTCAACAGGACCGAGGCTCACCTGATTGGCTTCTGTCAGCGCCTCCACACCTCAGGCGCTGACAGTTTCACCATCCATGGATACACACTCCACCTCACTAAGCCAGTCTGGATGCTTGGAGTCTTGTTTGACCCTCAACTATCCTTTCTACCCCACAACTGTGCTATGGCTGACCCGCTCTGCCTTCCCCCACCTCCGCAACATCGTCTGGCTCTGCCACAGTCTCACACCGTTGAAACCCTCATACGCACTTTCATTACTGCAAACTCATTGCTTGTCGGCCTCCCCAACTCCTCTCTCCATAGGCTGCAGATCATCCATAACTCTGCAGCCTGTGTCCTCTCCTGCACCAGGCTCCATGACCCTATCACTCCCATCCTCGCCCAAATCCACTGGCTTCCCATCACACAGGGATACAGTTCAAGATCCTGGTCCTAACCTTCAATGCCCTCCACGGTCTTGCTCCCCCCTACCTCTGCGATCTCCTAACCCCCTATCATCCTGCTCACTCCCTCCGCTCAGCGGGCCCCAGCCTGCTGCACATTCCCCCGCCTTGCTCGTGCCATTATTGGCGGGCAAGCCTTCTGTCACTCTACCCCCACCCTCTGGAACTCCATCCCGCATTCTCTTCGCCTCGCCGCCTCCCTTGCCTGCTTCAAGACCCACCTCAAGACCCTCGTCTTCGACCATGCTTTTGATCACTGTGTTCCCCCCTCCCCCCCCCCCCCGCGTCCTCCACCCTCCCCGATCCTGACCCCCAGCTTGGGTCCAAAACTCTGACTGTCCGGCGCCTTGGGATGTCCTCCTGACGTGAAAGGTGCTGTGCAAATGTAATTTTGTTGTTTAATATCAACATACTCCTGCTCTGCAATGTCATCCGCAAGCATACTGTTAAAATGCAAATGTATCTAGGTGACACCCAACTCTACCTCTGCCTCCACCATCCACCTTCTGCTGTTCTGACCGATTTACCTGTCAAACATTAAGTCCTAGAGGGGAGGTAACTTTCTCCAGTTGAATGTCAACAAGAAAGAGGCTTTTTTGGCTCCTGTCAACACCTTCTCACATCAGCCTCTCACAGCATCAATCTACATGATGCACACTTCACCTCATGGAGCCAGTGCAGAACCTCTGTCTTGATCTCAATTGTAGTTTAAACCCCCACATCCATACCTTGACCCATTCAGCTTTCTCCCACCTCTTCAACATTGCTTGCCTCAGCCACTGCCTCTCCTCTCAGGTTGCTCTTATCAAGGGGCTTATCAATTCCAGGCAAGACTATGCCAACTCTGTGCGCGCTGGACTTCCCAATTCTTTCCTCCACAAGTTGCAAACTATTCAGAACTCCGCAACATGTCCTCTCCAGCACCAGGGGAAGGTGAGGAAATGGATACTCATTGCACATCATGCCTGAGCCTAGATAGTGATTGCAAGTATCACAGCAGAACCAACTCATCTGATTGATGTCCACACCTGTACACTTTCTAGTAGGAGTTACTGGATAGGAATGGAGGTTGTTTTTCCTTTCCCAATTGTGTCTGAGATCAGGTACCTCAACACAGACTTGAGAAAGAATCTGAAATACCCACCGATAACCTTGGTTGGTCTCCCAGTCAAGATCAGCCAACTCAGCACAGATTGAAATTTGAGCTCTGTAAGGTTTGAAAAGAACACTTAGTGATCTTTTCAGCACTGTGAGCACTTTCTGGAATCCAGTTGGTAATATTTCTTGAAGCTTGAGGCTGTCTGAAATTAATTGTGCCGTTTTTTTTGATCAGTTGCAAATTTGTTTGTACCTAACTATGCTTTACTGAGCTCCCTTGATGACACAGTGAGTTTACCCAGTGAGTGTTTTGTACTCTTTCTCCAGTCTGTGCTGAGGGAGCTGGTCTCAGCCAGGGCTAGAGTGATCAGCTCCCACGTGTTTTAGAGGGACCAAAATCAGCCAGGGTTCCTTAGAGATATCAAAATCAGCCGTTATTAGGTACTCTTACGTTTTGAACTTCTGCTGAAAGTTTGGTGAGGAACCAACAAACTACCCAGTGGAAGGAAAAGGAGAGTCACGTGCGTTCAAGAATGGAGAGTGGAAAAAGCTTTCCTGGAGGTCTACAGTGTGCACAACATACTGTATGTTGCAGTAACATTAACAATACTGCTTTTGAAGTTTTGTGTGTCTTACAATATCGTAACTTCAGCTCTTTTACAATTTTTGAAATCACTTTTGGTCTGTATTTTCAAAACCATTTAAACTAAATCTGCTTTGTTTCAGGTATATGGTCCACAGATTGCTGTTAGCGGCGCTTGGACGAAGAGAACTGGATGACAGGGATCATTATGGTAACAAAAGATTGGATCTGGCTGGACCACTGCTTGCTTTTCTGTTTAGAGGGTAAGAAAATATTGTTCATTATTCATCAGAACGTTAGAATATCCCATTGGAGTAAACCCTGGTTGTCAGAATGTGCGAGTGTGTGTGTACATGTGAGAGATGAGATTGGGGATATTTCAAATTTAGTATATTCATGGTTTAGTACCACTAAGTGGTTTGGTACTGTGCCTCTGAACCCATTGTACTGCTATCCAAGCAGCAATTGGAAAGTTTAAATGAAAAAAGCAACTCCATAAATTTAAACAGTTGTCTTCATTCTTTGAATGGGAGCCTCTTGCACATACCGCACCTTTCCAGCAGGTTGTGCTCTAACTCTTTTGGAATTAAGCTGGTATTGATCCCTGCAATTCATACTTTGGTGACTTGCATCTTCCTAGAAGCTGACTACTGGTTCGTTGAGCGGATTTAAATTTACAAATAGTTTCTTGCAGGTAAATGCAAGTTGCTTTGCAATGAAAGTACTTTTTAAAATTTATGTAACATTACTTTCATTTTCTCAGATTTATTTTGAAAACAACAAAATTTGGAAGTAGCCTTGTACAAATTGTCATTTGTTTTGAACTCGCATTTATAAATGTTTTGACTTATCAATTTACTTCCATAGAATGTTTAAGAATCTGCTGAAGGAAGTACGGATCTACTCCCAAAAGTTCATAGATCGAGGGAAAGACTTTAACTTGGAATTAGCAATTAAAACACGGATCATTTCTGATGGACTTAAATATTCATTAGCTACAGGAAACTGGGGTGATCAAAAAAAGGCTCATCAAGCCAGAGCTGGTGTATCCCAGGTGAGTTCATCTAAATACAATACTTGGATGCAGTTCCTTTTTTTGTGCCCAATTATTTTCTAATTAAATTGCCATTGATTTCTGCTCCCTGTCTCCAACTTACTCCTGCTGAGCTACAGTTCCACAGGCACCGCTTTCCCTCTGGTATCTTGCCCAAGTAGTCATTCATATGTGAGCCCTGCGGTAAGTATCAGCAGGCAACTTGACTGCAGAGGGAGTCACAGCCGAGCATCTTTCCACTCAATTGGCACACGGGCATTAGAAGTAGAGGGTGCTGAAGAGGGATCGAGACCACTAATCCTGACTGGTTTATCCTCCCAGACCCGGGGAGGCCAAAGCCAATTTAGCCTCGCCGTGCAAGAGACCAGCAAGCTCAGCATAGACAAGGATTCAAACCAGCAAACTCCTGTTCCATAAACTTCAGCTTGACTATACAACAACAACTTGCGCTTGTATAGTAATCTCCATGCAGGGTAGTGTCTCAGAGCACTTAACAATGGTGGAGCCTGACTCCGAGCTGGGGTGGGTGGGGGTTAGATGGCTGTAAACACAGTTGAAGAGGAAGGTTTTCAGGCGGGACTTGAAAAAGAAGAGAGAGGGTTCAAGGCGGAGGGATTGAGGGAGAGTGTTCCAGAGTTTCGGGATGTAGTGGCTGAAGGCGTGACCTACGATGGTGGGATGGAGCTTGCGATGGCCGAGCAGGAGGCCAGTGCCGGTCGAGCGGAGACGCCGGGTGGTGGATTGGGAAGTGCGGAGGTCGGAGAGATAGGGAAGTACCAGCGAATGAAGGGATTTGAACACGAGTGTGAGGATCTTAAAGTCGATCTGTTCAGTGATGGGGAGCCAGTGGAGCCTGGTCAGAACTGGTGAGATGTGGGTACGGAGTTTGGTCCGGGTCAGTATGCAGGCGGCAGAGTTCTGGATGAGCTGGATCTTTTGAATAGTGGAGCTGGGGAGACCGTCGAGGATTGTGTTTGAGTAGTCCAGGCAGGTGGCAACCACATACCCGAGGGTTTCGGCTGCATTTGGTGTAAGGTACGGTCAGAGGCGGGCAATGTGGCAGAGGTGGAATAAGGTGATCCTGATCAGGGACCGGATGTGGGGGAGGAAGGACAAACCGAAAATCTAGATTGCAGACTGGTTCGGTGAGTGTGAGGGAGACCCCAGGGAAGTTGAAGAGTTCAGATCCGCAGGATTGAAGACTGCAGTATCCACTACACCATCTGGGCTACCAATGAAATTCTATTTACAAGGGGCCCCGACCCCCCCCCCCCCCCCCTGGGTAGAGGCTTACCTCATTTATAGTGTGGATCTTCTGTGGACCTGTGCTAATCGGATATATAGGTACTTTACCCAGCTTTTGGCACTGAATAATAGGCTTTTCATGCTTTTTTTAAAAAAAAGTCAGATTTTCAGGATATCAGGTCACTGCTAATGTCTTTCTGCATGTTACTCACCGTACCTGAATGTAATGATGAAGTTCTACCGTATTTTGCTGCTAGTTGGTTCTATGTTCCTGCAGCTAAAGTTAGCTATTATTTTAGATTCTGAAAGAAAGATCATCTAAAACCAAAATGACAAATGATTCTTACATTCTCTTGTTTTCAATTTAGGTGTTGAATCGATTGACCTTTGCTTCAACCCTTTCTCATCTTCGTCGACTTAACTCTCCTATTGGAAGAGATGGCAAACTAGCGAAACCCCGACAGTTGCACAATACCTTGTGGGGTATGATTTGCCCTGCTGAGACCCCAGAGGTAAGAACCAATTCTCTGCTGTACTATGCCTTCAGATGCAATTAATGTAGAACTGTGATTCTTTTAAGACGACTGAGATATGAGCATGATCCTAGATATGGGCATTATTATTGTAAATTTAAAGTAGGTTATTTAACAAGCCTTTTGAATGCCAGGACAAAATTAATGAGCTTCATGAGTGACCAGAAAATGAGTAATCTTCTCAGAGCTATGAATGTAAGAAATAAACCTCATGGTTTAGCAATAGACACGTAGTTCTGGGAAATTGTTTAGTCAGTCACTGATTGTTGTTGCAGTTGTTTGGCAAACAAAGAAGTGCCCTTGGTTCTATTACCCAGTGGTTTTCACTGTGGATTAATCACTGATGGTTATGTGGTCTTTACTTCAGATCCTGCATATCTTTCTTTTCATTGATTGGTTTCAACAGAGAGCTCAGGAAACATTCCTTCCTTAATTGGGCCATTAAATGAATATAATCCTTGTTTTTGATATAGTGCCTTATCACTTCAACAAGGTGTCTCAGGATTTTACTGTGAAGTATAGTGTTTTTGTAGGTGAATGCCACGAATACCAGGGATCATTGGCTATGGGATTTTTAACATCCACCTTAAAAAGGCAGATGGGTCCTCAGTCTGACATCTCATATAACACTCTTGGAGGCAAGAATGCTACCAACTGAGGCAGGTTGATACCCAGTCACATTTCAGGAGGTGATGGGTCTGTCTCTTTTGGGGAAAAAAATCAACATGTACTTTTAAAAATCACTGCTTTTTACCATATAAAAAGTATCTTCATAAAAAATAGACATGGAGCATACTGGAAAAAAAATCTGTGACAGGATCTACAGGATGTGCTGTTTGGGTCACTTGAATTTCTTTCCTTGTTCCTCTGCTCCCAAGTTGGTTATATTCTGTGTGTTTGGTGCACTAAAGAGACACATCAGAACTGAAAGCTAAGGTTCTCGCCCACAAAAATACACAGTTAATTCACTTCACAGTATATTCTGTTTCTGAAATGTTATGGAAATTAATATTTTGGTGCAGGAATGATTTATGAGTTGAATACTACAAGAATTCACTTTACAGTGTATTCTGTGAAGTACTTTGAGATGTCTCGAAGACGGATTAAGGGCTATATCAAATGCAAGGAATATTATTATTATGGAATGAACCTTTGAAGAATGAAAAATCGTAGACAACTGACCAGATAATCGAGAAGCGTCTTGCTCACTAAGAATCAGAACCCAGGTGTCAGTCTGGCTAAGTTGGTACCAACTCATAAATCATTCCTGCATCAAAATATTAATTTCCCAAGTCATGGTTCAAGGCTCACTTTGAGACTTTGAGTCCATAGTCTACAGTGACCCTGTCAATACAGTGCTGGGCCAGTCCTGTATTGAGGCTACAATCTGCATGTTCAGATGGATGTTAAAGACTCCATTGGCACTGTTTAAAAAGAGAAGGGAGTGTCTCCTGGTATCCTCACCTACAAACCCCCAGATCAAATAGCTCATTTACCTCATGGCCGTTTGTGGGACATTCTGTGTGCAAATTGGCTACACTTTACAGTAAATCCTATTTTGTTAGCAGTTTTGTGGTTACTGATGTGTCTTACTTCAATACATGACAAACAATTATAACTTTAAAAGGCTATTTTTTAAAATTTTCACAGGGTCATGCTGTAGGACTAGTGAAGAATCTGGCATTGATGGCCTATATTTCTGTAGGATCTCAGCCCTCACCCATCTTGGAATTCTTGGAAGAGTGGAGTATGGAAAATCTTGAAGAAATCTCTCCTGCTGCTATTGCTGAGTGAGTGGAATTGTGTAAAGAGGATAAAATGGCCCTGCAAATTTTGTCTACAAATACGTAATCCTTGTAAACTCCTGTAAAACGCTATGAATCATCCCTCTGATTTGGCATTATATTCCATCTTGTTTTCCTTGTTTATTGCTGCCTCATACAGTTTTGACATTTCTGTGCACAAATTGACTGCCCTGTTCACCTGCAAATACAGTCATTGCACTTGACAATAAATTTGGGAGGCACTTGAGATGTCCTCCTGACATCAAAGGTACTTTATCAAATGAAAAGATTACATTTTTGTTAGTTCACCTAAAATTGTAAAAGTTTATGTAATTATCACAGACACGTTGTTTTGAAAAGTGTACACAGCTGAGGACAGGCCTCAGTATGTTTGTTGAAATTTGTGTTTTGATGATTCTTATCATCTAAGATGGGTGATTGGATTGGAGACCAGGCATGAACAGAGTGTACACCATGTTTTAGGTAACAGCATTAGAGAGTGCCTTATTCGAGAGCAAATCTGATTAAACTTTATGTTATGATCCTGCAGTTATTCAGACGTGGTATCCAAGAATCCATAAAAGGGACCGCCCTATATTTTAAAAGAGCTGTTTTAACTGCTGTGAAGTTGGTGGATGTAAATTGGGCTGTGTGAGACTTTGCTTTGATGTTCGCGTTTTCTTTTCAGTGCTACAAAGATTTTTGTCAATGGTTGTTGGGTGGGAATTCATAAAGATCCAGACCAGCTGATGAACACACTGAGAAAGCTTAGGCGTCAGATGGACATCATTGTATCAGAGGTACAGTAATCCTTTGAATATATTTCAATTCATTGTGACTTCTTAACTGATGAACATGTATATCGTACTTCAAATGAAACTTGAGGCATTATCTTACTTGAAGGACTTTTTGCTCAAGAAACAAAAACAGTGATTTCCTTGTGACTTGTGCTGTGCTGCAGAGCTTGGTGCTGGAGTGCAACAACAACAAGATTCCATTTATAAAGCGCCTTTCACGTCAGGAGGACGTCCCAAGGCGCTGCACAGTTGGGTCATGACCCGAGCAGGGGGAAATGGTCAGGGTGAGGGGAGGGAGGGAGCGAGAAGGGGGAAGAGAGTCGAGAGGGGAGATGAACTATTTTTTCTTTAGCTCAATATTCCATGTCTGGTCCCTTACAGAATTCGCACCAGATTTCAATTGATAGATTCACTTGCCCCAGGGTATGCATTCTGGAAATTAAAGTTCTTCAGCAAAATGTAATCTCAGCCCCACATTATTTAAACCTCTTTGCACCACATACTCCATCTGCTCTTGTTGGTCAATGTTTTGGATGTATTTTGAGAAGCAGGTGAGCTTTGTGGTGCTTCATGTACTTGGTTTACAGTCTCTCTGTCAAGCTCTCTGCCTGGAAGCAAAACAAAGTGGCCTTAATGAAGTCGTGGATGCAAAATATCACATTGTCCATACGGGGGTTAGATGCAGGCCTACTCTTAAGGTCACTCCTGGTGCTCTGACGATGCTGGAGGAAAAACTTTGTTGAAGTAAATTATAAACTTTTCTTTACTCTAGGTGTCCATGGTAAGAGACATCCGAGAGCGTGAAATTCGAATCTATACGGATGCTGGCCGAATTTGTCGTCCGCTTTTGATTGTTGAAAAGCAGAAACTGTTGCTAAAGAAAAGACACATTGACCAATTGAAAGAACGAGAATATAACAACTATAGGTAAGTTACAGAAGTCTGAGACAACTTCTGTGTATATAAATATAAACACAGAAGTCGCTAGGAACACGCAGCAGGTAAGGCAGCATCCATTGAGAGAGGAAAATGAGTTATGAGTTAACGTTTACGTTTCAAGTCTATGACCTTTTGTCAGAAATGTTAACTAATTTTCCTCTCTCCATGGATGCTGCCTGACCTGCTGGTGTTCTCTCTGTGTTTATTCTAGATTTCCAGCATCTGCAGTACTTTGCCTTTTGTCTATGTATACAAAGCTACCTACAGGTGTTCTGTGTTGTTTTGTGATAGAAAAAATTACTCTAAAATGACCATCTCACACTGTTAGGAAAGTGTAGGATGATAGGTGCCTTTTCACTGCTGTGTAATTCCAGATCTTGTGACATTGGAACTTTAAACCTTTGATAAACAGCAACTTGCATGAATATAGCGTTGTTCACGTGGGCAGCGTCTCAACACTTTTAGCAGAGGTACATAAAATTGTATCTTCCTGAGCTGGCTACATTTGTAACTTTTCATCTCATGTTAATTTAGTTTTTAAGTGAGAACAAGACTATTGTTTAAAAAGTCTATTGCTTTGAACCAATTGAAAATAACAGAATACAAAGACCTTTTTTTTTTTACCTTGCCCTCCCGAGCCTCAGGGCTCTGATGAGAAAACCTGTCTCCTGTAAATTTAATCCTTGCATTTTTGATATAGCGCTTTTCATGTCTTCTTGATGTCTGAAAGCGCATCACAGAATAGACTGTAAAGTGAATTGACTGTACATTTGTGGGCGAAATGCAGCAGCCAAATGCGCACAGTAGTGTCCCACAAACAGTCGTGGATTGAAATGACCAATTTATTATTATTTTTTTGAGGGATTATTATTAGGCTCTGTGTGGAGTAAGGAAACTTGCCCAAGGTTTCGCCCTCTGCCTGGAATTGAACCCAGGTGTCTCACTTGCAAAGTGAGTGCTCTAACCACTGAGCTACAGGACTCCACTACTGACCTTTTCCTTCTGCTGGGGTTTTTGCATGTCCAATATTGTATTATTTCAAAATAAATGCTTTGAAGCACTTTGAGATGTTTTGTTGATGTGAAAGGCATATAAATATAAATTGTATTCTAACACGTCTTCTGAAAATAACTTCCTAACACGATCATTAGGATTGTTAATGCTTCTTATGATGCATTATGACTATGACGTTGATTAATTTGTTTCCAAGTCAATTACAGTGAAGAACAAAGGAAAAATGTGTTGATCATTTCTAAAACAGTTAGAACATTGTAATACTGTAATACTTTAGCTATCCATATTTAAAAAATGTGTACTTGTATTTACTTATTTTGGGTGACCAAAAAGTCATTATACCATTACAATGTCAAATAAGTCTTAAAGAAATTATGTGTTTTTTTAGATAATAGGGTAGATATTACAACTTTTTGGTCACCCTTACACTGATGAGATTAGTTAATGCTTACTGTATTTGTTTCCATTTAGTTGGCAGGATCTTGTAGCTAGTGGTGTGGTGGAGTACATTGATACATTGGAAGAGGAGACTGTGATGCTCGCCATGACACCTGATGACCTGCAAGAAAAGGGAGTTGCTTATTGTTCCACATATTCCCATTGTGAGATTCACCCTTCTATGATTCTTGGTGTTTGTGCATCAATTATTCCATTCCCTGACCACAATCAGGTAAGTAAAAGCGGTTTGATATAAAATGATGGAGGGTAATGTTCACATAAGTGTTGGCAGGACCACTTGACAGTAGAGGGCGTCACAGCTGAGTCTGACCTCACCTGGCTACCACACACACATTCGCAATAAAGCATTCTAAAGAGGGATGAGAAGCAAGACACCTGGTGATTATTAATGCCCCCCCTACCCACCCTGGGAAGGCAGGGGTAATTTCAACCTCCCAAGCAGCTTGGCTGAGACCAGCAAACTCAGAACAACCTGGGATTCAAAGACAGCAAATTCCTGATTATATAAACTGCCACTCTACTGCTGCATCGTCGTGCCTGTCTTTAGACGTGTTCTGAATTGGTTTTCACCGTCTGTCTGGCAATTCAGATCCTGGTATAGACTCATTGTTACGTTAATAGAACTTTCAAATACTTAAAGTAGGCAATTGGAGAAAAATTCGCCCACACGTGGACAGGATTTACATTCTAGCAGAATAGGATGTCTGACAAAAGACTCTGATTTTGTAGTTCTTCAGTACTAACATGAGCTCAGATCCTGGATAAGTACTATTTGCATGTCTGTAACAGGTCTTGTAATTTTGGGTTTGGTGTTGGCTAGATTTATAAGCGAGAAGAAAGTAGCTTCAATTTCTTGGTAGGAAATTATGCTAAAAATGTTTTTTCTGTACCGTTTGAATTTTCACTTGTAAGGTGCACGGATTAACTTGCAAGATTTTTGGACTTGGTATTAATAGATCATTCTTGTTAAGATAAAATTGTAAACGTCTTTAATGGCACTGACTGTTTCTTTTCCTGTGTTCTAGTCTCCTAGAAACACATACCAGTCTGCTATGGGTAAACAAGCCATGGGAGTTTATATTACAAACTTTCATGTTCGTATGGATACCCTAGCACATGTGTTGTACTACCCACAAAAGCCTCTTGTTACCACACGCTCAATGGAATACCTGCGATTCAGAGAGTTGCCAGCAGGTGAGTGAATGAGTAATAAAAGAAGCAAGTTATACATGTCAGATTTACAGAGGCCCAGTTCATTTCCTATGTACACATTTAATTGTAATTGTAAACATTTAATCCTGCCAGTAATGGAGTACATTCATAATTTACCTCCAGTTTTGTTGAGTGCAGTTACCACAAGCCAATGAGGCATTTCCAGTTACCAATGGGATTCAACATTTTATGAATCCTTTGCAAATGCAGGGTGAAATTCCTGTAGTTTAGGTTCCTTTGTACACTGACATTTGGTATTTTGTTCATCACCACATGCTGTCATGTGCATCAGCTACAATTGTGCAGAACTGTATGGCACATAGAGCTGCTGGAAGGCTAAGGGTTAAAAACAGCACTTTACATTTGTAATAATCCTACAGATTGGTTAATAAATATGATATAAACCATTATGATTCAAGTAAAATGCTGTTTTAGTTTCCCTGCTCAAAGATTTATTATTTTAAATAGTTAAATATGATAGCATTCTGAAAAGTGTTTTTTTAATATAGCTTTGTTTTATTGAGAGAAATTTGATATTGCACCTAGAGAAAATTCCAACTCAGCCGTGCTGTGTAAGTAGTCCTCACTTTTGCAAGTGCAGAAACACTTGACTGAATGAGACCTTTCAGTTTAAAGCCAACTACTTCAGCCAAATTCTATCCAACAAACAAATTGAAACTGCTTTGAGTGATGGTTCGAGTTGAGTGACCATTGAGCAGAGACAATTGTAGATTTTGACACTTTCATCCATTCTAGTGCTTGAAAATCTCAGAGCTAAGTGCTCAGATGCTACTCCTGTGTAGGGCGCTATATAAATGCAAATTGTTGTAAAAGAGATATTTATTCATCAGATTTCTTACTGAGTTTCTTTTTGAAGGTATAAACTCCATAGTAGCAATTGCTTCATATACTGGTTACAATCAAGAGGATTCTGTCATTATGAACCGTTCTGCAGTGGATAGAGGCTATTTCAGGTATGAACAGGTGTTTCAGAAATTGTCCAAAGGTATTGTGTATTAACAGTGCTTTGTTGTACAGTAATTTTATTTCCTGGTTGACACGTCTGTGTGTATTAGGTCTGTGTTCTACCGTTCATACAAAGAGCAAGAATCCAAGAAGGGATATGACCAGGAAGAAGTTTTTGAGAGACCATCACGGGAAACGTGCCAGGGTCAGTAAGAAATTCAGTTTTAATGTTTCCATCTAAAACAAGACATTCAGCAGTTACACAGCATGCTTTAATGTTTGATTATGCTGAAGAGTAATTTTAAAAAACAAGCTTCCCAACTTAAATCTTTTTCAACTGTACTATTTCATTTCTAACAACAGTGTTGTTTTGTTATAACAGCAGAAATTTAATTATTTGGTTCCGTTCTTCCATGGTTAAAATTGTACTACAGTCGTTTGTTTTTCCAAACATTTTTGGTTGTTCTTTGCTGCGATTGCAGTGAATTTAAATACTGTGAGATCTGCAATTAATACTAGTTTGTCCTTGTAATCTGGTTGCTGGCACCTAAATTCAAGGCTAGTATACACTGACAATAGGTAATTTGCAGTAACTAATTCTCATGGCTAGTGCTTTCCCATTTGTTCATAATATGTGTGTCTGGAGCTATGTGTGGGCTGAATAATATCTCCAAACGACTTCTCAGAAACCTTTTAAAATATTACAAGGTAACCTTGGGATAGCATTGTGCAGTACTTACCATACCAAAGAAATCTTGTCTTCACAAAATGATAGAGGTTCTAATGAAGGCCCATTTGATCTCCTTCCAGAATACCAAGTGATAACTTTAGGCTTCCTGTGCAATAAATATACAATACAAATTCAATTTGTATAGCGGCTTTTATGTCAGGTTGTCCCAAGGGATTTGGAACCGAGCAGTGGTAGCATGGGTTGGGATCAGAGGGTAGGAGAGTGGCTGAAGGCATGGTCGATGAAGATGGTCTTGAGACGTGCCTTGAAGGAGGCAAGGGAGGGAGCAGGGCAAAGGGAATGAGGGATGGAGTTCCAAAGGGTGTGGGCAGAGAGGCTGAAGGCCCAACCACCGATAGCAGGCTGAGCTGGGCGGGGGATGTATAGCAGGTGCAAAGGCAACTCTGTGTCCCAATGCTAGAAATGGTCACATGTATGAATAAGAAGATGGTCAACCAGGCAGAGCAGGAGGCCAGGAGATAAGTCTTGTGGAGTTCTGTAGCTCAGTAATTAGAGCACTTGCCTCGCAAGCAAGAGATCTTGGTTCAAATCCGGCAGGGAGAAACCTTGGGCAAGTTTCCTTACTCCACACGCCAGATAATAATCGCTCAAGAAAAAAAAAAAAAAATTGGTCACTTCAATCCATGACTGTTTGTGGGACACTGCTGTGTGCAATTGGCTGCTGCATTTCGCCCACAAATGCACAGTCAATTCACTTTACAGTATATTCTGTGAAGCGCTTTGAGACGTTTGGAAGATGTGAAAAGCTATATCAAATGTGAAGATTATTAAGTCTGCAGTAAACAGACGATTGTGAAGCAGGACTAGAAGCTCTTTTTATTTTGTTGATCTATTATAACACAGGATCTAATTTCATGGACCTACCTCACTGTGGTACAGTGGGGTTGGACTATATTTGGCAATGTATTTAGTTGAAGGATATGAGAGGTAGAAGTCAATATATTTCCAAGTTTCACATTTCTAATACATGGATGAAATGCCACAAAAGAAATTTAAGACAATATGGGTCCTTTCTTGGCTAGTTGTGTGGAGTCCCCTTAGCCACAGGGAAGCTCCTTAGCAGTCCTTATTAGGAATTACAATAATAATTCATATACTCGGCAAAATATGGTCGTCACCAATCCAAAACAAACTGATTGGGGCAAGAGCTGTGCTACTAAATCAAGGATAGCATTTAAATGTTCACTGAAACTAAAACACCCAAGTATTTTTCACATCTGAAGTCTTTCCTGTCAGACCATACCTTTGGTCACCTTACCCCCACTTTCCACTCGGTGTCAAAACACACCACTGTTAAGCGCTTCAATGCTATCCGTGCGAAATGGTGCTATATAAATGCAAGTTTTTGTTATTGTTCTATTTGAACCACCCCAGCATTGTCATACCTCAAATCTTGAATAAGAACTAATGGAATTTCCACATCTAAAATTGTAGAAGTAGAATGTCACGTTGAGAAACAATTTGAACGTACTATAGAATATCAATCTTACCAACATTTGTACCTACCGTGTTAAAGTTTTCCGTTTTTAAACAGGAAATGTTTAACCAGTTAAGGCCAGCCAAACATGTCTTTTTCTAGCTGATAAAATGTGGATGTTGGTGAATATTCTTGTTGAAATCTCCTCTTGTTTAATTATTTATAGGAATGAGACATGCTATATATGAAAAGCTTGATGAAGATGGTTTAATAGCACCGGGTGTACGTGTGTCAGGAGACGATGTAATCATTGGTAAAACAGTGACACTCCCAGAAAGTGATGATGACCTGGAGAGCATAAACAGACGCTACACCAAGCGAGACTGCAGCACATTTCTGAGAACCAGTGAGACTGGCATTGTGGATCAGGTCATGGTGACACTAAACCAAGAGGGATACAAGTTTTGCAAAATTAGGGTAAGGAGTCCTGTAAAATATTGGTTAGTGCACTCGCTTCGCAAGCGAAAAGACCCAGGTTCGATTCCCGGGCATGGCGAAACCTTAGGCAAGTTTCCTTACTCCACATGCCTCTGTTTACCGAGCAGTAAGTAGGAACCCGGTTGTTACTGGGGATTATTAACCCCAGTATATCGCTTTCTGGGGGTAAAAATCCCTACATAAACAAAAAATAATTTTGGTCACTAAATTCACAACTGTTTGTGGGACACTCCTGTGCACAATTGGCTGCTGCATCTTGCCCACAAAATATACAGTCAATTCACTTTACAGTATATTCTGTGAAGTGCTTTGAGACGTCTCAACGACATGATAAGGCACTATATCAAATACAAGGATTATTATTAAGGAGCACAGCTACTTTATACTCTGGCTTGGTCTTACTATTTAAACATCCCAATGACTTTGTGTACAGTGTATATCATATAAGATATAGAGTGAATTACATTTTTTCTTCTTGCATAGGTTCGCTCTGTCCGAATTCCCCAGATCGGGGATAAATTTGCCAGTCGACATGGGCAGAAGGGTACATGTGGTATTCAGTACAGACAAGAGGTAAGAATCAAATCTAATGGAGAATTAGTTTGAAAAGCTGGATTAACAGTCCAGAAAATCATTGAGCATTTTCTGTTTTAGTTTGAAACTCGATCTTTTTTGCCACTTCTTTGACTTGTCCTCCCTGTTTGTGGTTAATGTATTTCGGATTACTCCTTAAATATATGGTAAACGCCCAATAACTCGACCCTGCCTTAACTAGTCACTCCCACTTAATGCTGTCAATATCCTAACTGCTTCCCATGCAAAATGTTAATGAGGGACTCCCCTTTACTCTGCTTCACTTGTCACTCCGCTTAACACTTAGCCAGTCACATTCTAGAAATTTTTGTAATTACACTCAAATATAAAAAACATAAAGATGTTTAGTTTTCACATATAACCTGAAAGTACAGTATCGTTCTTTAACACACTACAGGATATTTCCCAATAAGTACACAGTTTCCAATACAGTAACAGAAAATAAGCACATTTATAGACACACGTGCCTCTACATATACTTAAACGAGTTTTAACAAATATACTGACAGTTGCAGAGACCTAGACCACTGTGTCACACTGATAGCTGCTCACTCTGCACTGGTGCAGTGTGGGGTGCTGGTATATATAATACGTACTCACAGCACACCCCCTTGTGGTCCAGGGGGAGCTATGCCTAACTCACCACTCCGGATAACTCGTCGCTGAGTCCTTTTCCCATGGAGTGACGAGTTATCAGGAGTTTACTATATTTGTTGTGGATGGGTTCTTATACTGTACTGCAGATTTCTAAATCACATTGAATTATTCTCAATTTACAACGCATTCAATGGTACATGTTGACCTGCATGTTTTTGCTACTGCCTATCCCCGATTTCTTACTCTGTTTTCCAGGATATGCCATTTACATGTGAAGGTATTACTCCGGATATCATCATCAATCCACATGCCATTCCTTCTCGAATGACAATCGGTCACTTGATTGAATGTCTCCAAGGGAAGGTATGGATGTGAATATTTAAGGGATCGAAAAAGTAAACCCAAAACACTACTTTCAGATACACTGAGATGGTGAGACAAAAGTTCAGGGTAGAGAAAGGAAGTCTAGGACATGCACCAGAACATATTTATTTCTATAGAGGGTGATTAATGTGTGGAATGGGTTATTGTGAATATTAGATGCTAGGACACTGGACACATTTTGAAAGAAACGGCTTGATGGTGTAATGGGAAGACTGAAGGGTGCTATGGGCTGTAGCTCAGTGGTAGAGGACTTGCCTTGCAAGTGAGACACCTGGGTTCATTTCCAGGCACAGGGCGAAACCTTGGGCAAGTTTCGTTACTCCACACGCCTAATAATAATCCCTCCAAAACAAAACAATAATAAATTGATCATTTTCAATCCACGACTGTTTGTGGGACACTGCTGTGCGCAATTGGCTGCCGCGTTTCGCCCACAAATATACGGTCAATTCACTTTACAGTCTATTCTGTGAAGTGCTTTGTGACGTCTAGAAGATGTGAAAAGCGCTATATCAAATGCAAGGATTATTATTATTAATATTATTATGGATAAATGACCTTAGATGGGTTAAAGGGCCTTCTTTATCTAAACCTCTCTTCTGATCTTGTGCACTGCTAACATGACAGTGACTTTATTCTCCCTTAATGTTTTTCTAGGTGTCGGCAAATAAGGGTGAAATTGGCGATGCCACCCCATTCAACGATGCAGTCAATGTACAGAAGATTTCTAATTTATTGTCTGAATACGGATACCATCTGCGGGGCAACGAGGTACTTCTAATCATGTGTATTTAAATTTTTTTTAATACTTATAATAATGCAGAAAAGGCATATAACCTGCTATTCATGTTTTTACTGGCAGCAAATTGAATGAATGAGCTAATGGCCAACCTGGTGATTTGAGCTCACTTTTAGCAAATGAGGATGAACATCTGTAACATGTTTGTGGAATATTTCATGAATCCAATAAGTACAGAAATTCTTCTTTCATCTTGTGCCTTTCCCTGAAGGGAAACTGTTAACACACAGCAAAATTAATAATTCTGTTTGATGATATAGTTACCTATGGCCACGTATAATCCTGGCATCTCCCAGTGCTGTCAGGTAATGCTAAGATTTAAATTATAAAGTACTCTAGAGGGATAATATGATCTGTTACTGCAAGCTGTCTTTTCCTTTGGACATTGCATGTTTTGAACACAAATGAGCGATTCTGGACACAGCAAACAAAGGTAGTGGTTCCCTTGCCGGCTCTTTGATAAGGGAGCTGATGGCCAAAAGATTCTAAATTCATTAGAGAACTAGGAGCCGCTTAGTTTCTTTTGCCTGTCAATGATTCTTCTGATAATGGATTCTATGCCTGATCTTTTCTCTTTCCCACTTCCTTAAAGGCCTCTGGAATTTATTCTGGAGAAGATGGCATTTTTAACATTGCTTGCTCTGTGCAGCAGTAAGAAGTACCACAATTGTGTGTAGTTTATACAAGGAGCTTCTTGAATATTTAAAGATATGCTTTCTTTTCTTCAGGTATTATACAATGGATTTACAGGTCGTAAACTCACATCCCAGATCTTTATTGGTCCCACGTACTACCAGCGTCTCAAGCACATGGTAGATGACAAAATTCATTCTCGTGCTCGAGGACCTGTTCAGATCCTTAACAGGCAGCCTATGGAAGGAAGATCTCGGTAAGATGAAACTTTGATGTTTTTTTCATCTGTTGATGTTTCATGTTCAAATCCCTGACTGCAGTGCCTTGGGACATCTTCCTTATGTGAAAGGAGCTATATAAATGTAATTTGTTGTTGTTGGTTTTTAACTGACTAAAGCTTCATAATCTAGATTCAAGAAAGCATTCAGAATTTTGAATCATCCACTTTATGTGTTGCATGGTACAAATTTCTTTGTCTCAAATGTTTTTCCCCCCTCAATTTTCTCCTGTTTTTGCAAAGTTGACCCACGCCCTCCAAAAAAATGCCCAGGTTTTATTTTGTGGATAAAATTAAATTTTTGTTTTTATTTACAACCCACAATAGAGTACAACACTAACTTGATTTATTTACCTAATTTGCTCCTATTATAACTTGATTGGCTTTCTTTTCAGTGATGGTGGTTTACGTTTTGGTGAGATGGAAAGAGACTGTCAGATTGCTCATGGTGCAGCCCAGTTTTTGAGAGAGAGGTTGTTTGAGGTTTCTGATCCTTACCAAGTGCACGTGTGTAATCTTTGTGGGCTAATGGCTATTGCTAACACCAGGACACATACCTATGAATGCAGAGGATGTCGAAACAAAACTCAGGTACATCTCTTCATATATCTCTTTTGAAGCTTTGCAGGGATTTTAAGAAATTAATCTTTTATTGTAAATCCCACACGTTAGCTGGATGAATTTTTCCACCATATTTTTTTCTACAACTTGTGCATACATCATTTCAAAGAAGTGAATCCTTTAACAACATTCATGATTAATAAATACCAAAAAAGTGTATTTTGGATTGTACATGTGAAATGGGGTATGATTTATCTGGAGTTACACGTCAGATTTTGGAAGGCATTGCTCAGAATTGAGTAGGTGATTTGCTGGTGACTCTTGTGAATGATTAGGTGTAGGATTGCCAACCGGGAAGTTTCGCTGTGTCTAGATTTTTTGTATCTATAAGTTTATTTTGTTATAAGTGAAAGCATGGGCTATTTTCCTATGAAATCAACGTATTGTATTTTCATTTTATTGTTTCTTGTTTACAGATTTCATTAGTTCGGATGCCTTATGCCTGTAAGCTTCTCTTCCAAGAGTTGATGTCGATGAGCATTGCACCACGGATGATGATTTCATGATGCATGAGATCCTGTGTTCAGACCTGTTAACTTTGGGGAAATATTCAGTTACCTAAACTGCAAGAAGATTGTGTGACTGGGTGCTTCAGTTTCTGTGTATCCTGGAGAATGAAGGCATTGTTTGTACATACAAGGTGTGGTCCGTTTTGCCATCTTTAGTCTGACATAACACTTTTGTAACGTTTGTTCTCATTGATGAAGTATGAATCTTTTATACTTATCGGCTGTGTAACTAGATTGTTGTAAAAAGAAAGGAGTTTTGTGTATTACGTTTCATGAGATTTAATAAAGACGAATTCTTGATTTTTTAAATTTCTTTTTCTTATCTTGATAATAAACTTTATAGGTTAACTGCAAGCACAGGCATTTATTGGATTTTAAAATGAAAGGAATAGCGGCATCCAGGATTAACTATATAAATCATTATGAATATACATGCTTGAAAAAGCATTCAAAGGTTTTAAGAAAGTTATACAAGCATAGTCTGCTTTCTATTTCCAGGTTTCCCTGTAAATAGACAAGCAGTTAGTATAGTACTAAATGGTGCTTTAACCATTTGAGCAACGTTGTCTTCTTGTATGTTTTCATGCTTCTTTTTCCTCTGTAAAACAGGAAACCCAAGTTAATGAGAAGAAATGTGCTTGTTTTTTCCCTTTACTATAAAGCAATATGCAACCAAAAAAACTGAAATGTTTTATCCCTCACAATTTGGAGCTTTGGAGACATCCAGGACTTGATGTCTGACAGGCATTCTGTCAGGACAGCAGTGGTCCTCGAGTTGAGAGTGGAGGCGGAAATATAGAATTGGGTGTCATCCGCATACATGTGGAAGTTGACCCCATGTATGCGGATGATATCATCAAGAGGGAGCATGTAGATATTGAAGAGGAGGGGACCCAAGAACAGCCCCGAGGAATGCCGCATGAGACGGTGCGGGGGCTAAAGGAAGACGTTTGTGGAGATGAAGTGGAGATGGTGTGAGAGGTACGATCTGAACCATTCAAGGACAGAACCGTAAAGTTTGAGGTGAGAGGAGGGTTGGTGGATGAGGATAAGAGTGGTCAATGGTATCGAAGGTAGCAGAGAGGTCAAGGAGGACGAGGAAGTAGAGGGAGCCCTGATTGCAGATGGACAGTATGTCACTTTGACCAAAGCTGTTTCTGTTGTGGGCGGCACGGAAACCCGATTGAAGGGGTTTGTGAAGGGAGTGGCTTGAGAGGAAGGAGCGAACCTGGGAAGCAACGATTCATTCTGGTACAAAGGAAAGGGAGGTTGGAGAATTGGGACGGTAGTTTGGGAGCAGGGGTGGATCCAGGGACGTTTTTTTTAAAGATAGGAGTGATTACGGCTGTTTTTAAGGAGGTGGGAACGGTGCCAGTGGACAGGGAAAGGTTTATGATGTCAGTGAGTAGGGGGGTAAAGGAGAGGGGAAGGGATGGAGTCAAGGGAGCAGGTGGTCGGTTTCATGTGGATTATAGTGGTGGTGAGAGAGGAGGGGGAGACAGGTTCGAAGGTGTGGGGGGAGGTGCTAGTCGTTGGAAGGGCAGAAGCAGCTGAGCAGATCCCCTTGACTTTGGATTCAAGGAAGTACAGTATCTTCTTGCAGTTGGTGTTGGAGGAGAGGATGGGGGAGGCGTGAGAAGGTGGGTGGAGGAGCCAGTTGGTGATGGATTAGAGTAGCCTGGAGTTGTCCTTGGCCTCCAAGATTGTCTTGGAGTAGAAAGACAATTTAGCAGAAGCGAGGGTGAAGCAGTAAGTTTTGATTAGGTCCAGCCAGATCTGCTGATGGACCGTTAAGTTAGATTTGAGTCAGGCATGAAACAAATTATTTGAGGGATTGTTGGCCAGGACACTGGGAGAAACTCCCTTCTCTTTTTTAAAAGTGCCATGGGATCTTTAACGTCCACCTAAACAGGCAAATGGGACCTCAGTTTAACATATCTGAAGGACAGCACCTCTGAGTATGTAACATTTTGCCCCTCCTCACAGCTTCCGAGACATCATGAAGCCCCACGTCGAGACTTGAACTCACATCTTTGACTCAAGAGGGAATGCTACCCCAAGCGAGCCAGGCTAACAACTAATCATATTACTTTCTATAAAACCATTATAGAATCATAGAATATTACAGCATTCGGCCCATCGTGCCTGTGCCGGCTCTTTGGAAGAGCTACCCAATCAGTCCCACTTCCTTACTCTTTCCCCATATCCTTGCAATTTTTTTCCTTTTCAAGTACCTTTCTAATTCCCTTTTGAAAGTTGTTGTTGAATCTGTTTCCACCACCCTTTCAGGCAGTGCATTCCAGACCGTAACAACTCTGTGGGGAAAAAAAAGTCTCCTCATCTTCCCTCTGGTTCTTTTGTCAATTGAATCCATGTGCCCTGGTTACTGACACAACTGCCAGTGGAAACAGTTTCTCCCTATCTACTCTATCAAAACCCCCTCATAATTTTGAACACCTCTATTAAATCTCCCCTTAACCTTCTCTGCTCTCAGGAGAACAAACCCAGTTTATCTAGTTTCTCCACATAACTAAAGTCCTGGAATCATCTTATGTACCAGCTTTGTCTAGCCTTTTGAATTTATTGAAGAGCACGGAACCAAATTAGCGCAATGTATTCCATTAGAAATTGGCTATGATTTTGATCTAAGATATTGTCAGGATAATTTAAAAGAAAATGGATTAAATGAAACACAACACAATTCCACTGATGAATGAAAAGCTACTTGATGGATGTGCTATTAATTATCTAGCAGTACGTGCCACACTGCTGGATCCCGTGCTCTCGACACCTATTGTGTACGTGAACCTTACCTGAACTATACAATGGCTTCAGTTTATTAGGGAAGACTCCTTTGAGAAAAGGTTGAATGAAGTGATGGATTTTATTTACTTAATTATCTTCCCACCTCGCCTACAGTGTTCCTGTTACTGAATAGTTCTGGCAATCCCCCAGAACCATGTCTAAACAGCCTTTCTTTGTGTTAGCCTGGATTGTGAGGGTCAGCAGTCTGTAGAGGCAATTGAGAATGAGCCTAATCACACATGCACTCTCCAGTAGAGGTCACTGCGGTGATCAGGAGCAAGATTACAGTGTTCCTTCCCTCCCACCAACCCCCCACTCCCAGCCCAGAGGCACTAAAACTAATCATACCTCTCCAACGGCTACTCCATCAGATTCTCAGTTGGACTTATCCCTCCAAAGCTATTTGCAACGGATGCAACTGCTATTGATGGCATGTAGGAAAACTTCAATAATCTATACAAAGTATGTTTATAATGCAAAATGGCCGATTTGTGGATTACGTCACAACTATTTGTACTTAATAAGCCGTCTCAAAGCGCTTCACAGAATATACCGTAAAACCAATTGATTGTGTATTTTGTGGGCGAAACGTGGCAGACAATTTTTTTAAATGCATTATTACCCCCAGAAAAGTGATCCACCAATCGACTAACAACCCAGTTCCTTCTTATGTCTAGGTGAACAGAGGCGTGTGGAGTAAAGAAACTTGTCCAATGTTTAACCCTGCCCAGGAATCAAACCCAGATCCTCTCACTTGCGAGGCGAGTGCTCTGACCTCTAAGCTACAGGACTCCACAATATTTTCTCTGCAGTGAAGAATTGTGAGATTTGTTTTCTCATACATCTACTTGCTCTTTGTCTTGTCTTCTTCACTCCATTTGTATTTTCACTTTTTCACAACAGCAGCCAAGCTAATTCACTAGCATTATGCATCCCATATTAGCTGAAATATAAATATCTTTCCCCTCCCCTTTCTGAACATTGCTTGGGATGGAAATCTACTGGAATGCAAAATTAATTTGTAACTCCAAGAGTCCTCCAAGCAACCTCTGGGGTCCCCAAGTCTTGGCTTTTGCCAGCCTGTGACTAATACTCTGGAATTAAGTAAATAGGGAGAGGGTGTAGATTCCATTCCAATATGAGGGTAATAATAATAATAATAATCCTTGCATTTGATATAGCGCTTTTCACGTCGGGAGGACGTCCCAAAGCGCTTCACAGAACACATTGTAAAGTGAATTGACTGTATATTTGTGGGCGAACGCGGCAGCCAATTGCGCACAGCAATGTCCCACAAACAGTCGTAGATTGAAAATGACCAATTTATTATTGTTTTTGGTTTTGATTCAATTTCAATTCCAGGCAGGTTTCAATTCCCTGCCTGGAATTGAACTCGGTCTCTCGCTTGCAAAGCGAGTGCTCTAACCACTGAGCTACAGGACTCCAGGTATTTCTATGTATAGATGGCATGCGTGGAACTCTGTTTAATTTGGATACTTTAAGCATGATGATGGCATTCTGCATATTTGGGCACCCAGCTGATAATAATAATCCTTGCATTTGATATAGCATCTTATCACATCTTTGAGACATCTCAAAACGCTTCACAAATATACTGTAAAGTGAATTGACTGTATATTTTGTGGGTGAATCACGGCAGCCAATTGTACACAGCAGTGTCCCACAAACAGTTGTGGATTGAGTGACCAAATTATTATTTTTTTTGAAGGAATTATTATCCCCGGAAAAGTGATCTGCCAATCGACTATCAACTGGGTTCCTACAGACCGCTAGGTAAACAGGCGTGTGGAATAAGGAAACTTGCCAAACATTTCACCCTGCCCGGGAATCAGGTCCTCTTGCTTGCCAGGCGAGTGCTCTAACCACTAAACTACAGGACTCTACACCACTAAGTAATAAACTAAAGGGAGTAGATCTGTGAATTGTATAACGTCTCGACGCTACTTTTCTCTGAATATCCCATAAGATTAGATCTGATGATAAACAATGAAAGTTGTATTTAAGTACATCATTTCACTTACGTTTACTTTTTAATCTTATTTCGGCAGCTGAGTGGACGACATGAATGCTTCCATTAGCTGTAGCCTCCCCTTTGAAGTTTGATGCATGACATTCATACACTCCGGCATCATCTTCAGTTAAAGGAGAAATCTAAATAAAAATGGAAACACAAGGAGCGGTGATCTTTTTCAAACTGATTGAGATTCATATTTAGAGCAAATAAAGTTGTTGAATTTAAAAGGATCCAGGTTAGTGGTTACATGACTGATATGTACATGAGACCTTGCTGAGTCTATATGAATTGATATCATGCTGGCATTGCCTTTACCTATTGAAAGTAGTAAATACCAGTTCAACAACAACAAAACTTTAATTTATATAGTGCCTTTCACGTGGGGTAGCTCCTTGGAGCTCTTAACAGTGGCGGAGTCTGATGCCGAATCAAGGGTTAGGTGACTGTAAGCACCGTTGAAGAAAAAAGTTCACCTACAAATACATAGTCACATCATTTTGCAGTAAATCCAATGAAGCACTCTGAGATGTTTTGAGGATGTGATAAGGAGTTATATCAAATCCAAGGCTTTTATTATTTTGCGGAAGCCGGGGGAGGGGGGATTTGTGGAGAGTAGAGTTTCAGTGCTGTTTGAGGGCACGCTGGCCTTATTAACTTTGTCAGAAACAGTCACTTTGTCAAAGTCAGTGGGATGATGAACCTCCTTTCCCGTGGCTTCACTGCAGTAATAATAAAAATCTCTGCATTTGATTTTATGTCTTAAGCATCAGCAAAACACTTTGTTTAAAAAATAAGGCCAGCTTCGGCCTAATCTCTCATTTCTACTGCATTGTTATCAACTCGGCAAAAATGTAAATTCATCAATAACTATAATACTCCATTGAACGAAAGTTATGGATGAAACCAGAACAGGAAGCATAGCAAATAATAAAAAATGGAGCAGCTGCATTCAGGAAGATTTGAATATTTTAATAATATGCAAGGTGAAACCTTAGGCAAGTTTCCTTACTCTACATTCCTCTGTTTTACCTAGCAGTAAGTAGGAATCTGATTCTTAGTCAATTGGCGGATTGCTTTCCGGGAATGATAATCCCTCAAAAAAAATCCACGACTGTTTGTGGGACCCTAGTTTGCTCAATTGGCTTCCGAGTTTCATCCACAAAATACAATCAATCCATTTTGCAATATATTCTGTGCAGTGCTTTGAGATGTATCAATGATGTGATCAGGCTCTATATTAAATGCATGGATTATTATTATTGTTGGTAACTAAACCTGGAGGTGGCAGATGTGATTCAATGTGAATAAGCATAGGAATAAGGAATCAAAAGATGTGTATTAAACAGACCGTGGATATAATGTGTTCAGGAAAACAACCTAAGGCTAGATGTGAATAAATCTATGAATTTGGGAGCCCAGTGCTTGGTTGCAACAGCAAAATAAAGCACTGGGTGCATTAGCTGAGATTTCAGAGGAAAGAAAACCAGGCTATGCACACTGTAGGTCAGAATCTATTTAGGATGCTGCATGCAGTTTTGATCACCTCAATTTAAAAATGCAACTTATGACTGAGTAAAGAGTACAAGGAAAATGAAGTTTGAAGCTATGACAATCAGAAATGTCGATTCTTTCTAAAATTAAGAATTATTGCCTTAATATCGTACTTAGGACTCACCTCCTACACTAAATCTTTCCAACAACTTACATTAGGAAAGTGTCAAGAGATAATGCAGGATCGCCTGATCCTGGAATATGTGCTGAGTATTGTTTAGTATTGTTTAGTCACTATTACTGAGCTTTCCTGGGGCGGATAACTCCGCAACACTTCTCACCCCTGCTAAATGCAATGAAACCGGACAACATCCTCCAAGGTAAGTCACCAGAGCAACCTACAGAGGAGATGTGTTCCAGGTATAATATCGACTGAGGAATCCTTGGCATAGGGAAACTCACATTTATACCTTTGTTACTTCCCAACTTTTCTCAAAGCTCACCGATCTCTCTAACTCGAGCTGATAAAAACTCTGTCACTGACACCAAACTCTGCATACGCCTTACTTCAGTCCTTGCCAGGCTCCTCTGGCTCTCTGGTTCCCATCAGATTGATTTCAAGGTCCTCAACCTTAAAAAATCCCTCACCTTCTAGCACCTCCCTATCTCTGATCACTTCCTCATTAACCAAGCATTCATTAACTATGCCCTTAACCTCTGGAAGTTCCCCCTCCCTACCCCTCCATCTCTTCCTTTCCCTATCTGTCTTTATACAGTCAATTCACTTTACAGTGTGTTCTGTGAAGCGCTTTGGGATGTCCTCCTGACGTGAAAAGCGCTATATCAAATGCAAGGATTATTATTATTATTATTATTAAATCTGCCTAAAACATATCTTTAGACCACACCTGTGGGCAGCTCTCTGCCCTACTCCTTCTTTGGCCGGCACTTGATCACATCTTTGTGAAGTACTCTGAGACATGATCCACTATATAAATGCAATTTGTTATCGTTGTTGCAGGGAAAGAGTTAAATAACAAAATAATCTATTTCAAATTGAACTATTTTGTATCATAACTATTCCCCCAAAACTATTATTGTATTTCCTTTTAAGTAAATTAGGCTTGTTCTCTTAGGTCACCATGAAGTCTCTTTACCAAATTGAAGACTGAAAGTCTGGGCAGGCAACTGATAGAGTTGATGGTGGTAAATTATTTACTGAGCGAAGGTTTCAAATAACAGCGGCACATGTTAGACATTAGAACTAAGGAGGAAAGTCAAGTGGAACAAGTTTACTCCAAGGGTAATAGACATGGAATAATTCATCAGGATAAGGCACTGCAGGCATTCTGGTTCTAGTTTCCCTGGTTGCAAAGTGGGTTAAGGCAGATTGAAGGTTCAGATCCTGGTCTGAACTGAGCTGAACTCAGTTGAGGCTATATTTGACCTCAGAAGCCAGGGTCAAGGAGGAGAAAATAAGCCATGGTTGTCAAGACTCACACATGAATAATGGTACTGAAGGATAATGGAGCCTGTGGAACAATACATCCATGGAAAGGAAAAGAGGAAGCAGACGTTTTAGGAGTGTTGGAGGGAGAAAAAGTAGAGGAGAAAAGTTTGGCAAAAAGAAAAAACATATTCTAAAGGCAGCTGAAATCTTTACTGGGGAAGAAAGGATATTGCGATATGGTATTGAACATACTAAGTAGGTGATAGGTTTGTTGGGTCTAATTTTCTTCCCTGTTCCTAAAACACCCACTATTATTATAATTCATTTCCTGAACCTCACTGCCCCTCACAATAAGATTGCATAATGTAGCACCCTCCATGCAGGGTAGCATCTCACAGCACTTAACAGTGTTAAAACTTGATTCCAAGCCAGGGAAAAAGAGGAGGTGACTGTAGGCATGGTCAAGGAGCAAGGTCTTCAGGTGCAATCTAAAGACTGACAAGAAGAGGGCAAAGTGGAAGGAATGAAACAGAGAGTTCAGCGTTTCGGGGAGTAGTGGATGAAAGCACGGCCGCTGATGGTGGAATGGAGGGGACAATAGGATGACCATCAGTCTTCAAGTGAGCGCAGTTTTGTACTATGGACTTTGGAAGCCTATTTTTAAACATTCATTTGGGTTTTAAGTTGCATTCTTCAATTACTGATATTTTGCGATGTAATGTTCTTGACTAATAATTTTTTTTTAATATGTGCTTCACCTAAATAGACCTTATAAGGGGCAGAATGGCCAAAGCTTGCCCACAGATAGTGGTGTGGATTGATTGTTGACTTGAAGCAGACCAGTGGTTGCTGAGCAGAGGGAGCGGTCAGGGCAGTATGGTCGCAGGAGGCAGCAGTAAATATAAGTGCAAGATGTTGGTGTATATACAGAGTTTAAGTTCTTACCAGAACCCATCCTGTAACCTCGTGCTTCTCTGGCCCGCCACGAGTCTGAATGGCAAGGTTATCACGGTCACCAGGCAACAGCTCCATCTTTTCTACACCAGTCTCTGTTTTCATTAACTGTTGAAAGTAATATAATGAAGAACAAATCCGTCAATACTAAATATGCCGATTTTAAGTTTTAACCTTTCTTTATTATTCTCATTGTAATTTGAAATTGTATTTGTAAATATTCTAATAAGTCTAATTGCTATGAGCCCCGACTCGTTTAATACATGATTGAATCATCATCCAAGATCCTGTCTGCCTGTTTGAGTGGATATTTAAAATCCCACAGCACTATTTGAAAAGAGAAGGGAGTTTCTCTCTCTCAGTGTCCTTGGTCAACAATCCCCCAAATAACATTGGTCATTCATTCCATTGCTGCTTGTGGGACATTCTGTATGCAAATTGGCTGCAGCATCTGCCCATAAAACACACAGTAACTGCACTTGACAGTATAACCTGTAAAGCGCTTTGGGATATCCTCCCTATGTAAAAGTGCTATACCAAATGTAAGGATTATTATATAATTGTTATCATCTGGAATGGGCAGAGAATTCTTTGGTCTTTTTCCCTGACGTGGATGTTGCTCTTACTCTTCTGATCATCTGTGCCATTGAAATGACTAAAGTTATTGCAACTGTCATGGAAGGATTCATACTTCATGTAGAAAATAATTTACAAAGATATATTATTTAAAAACTCTCATTCTACGATTTCTAAACCACACAACCTGAGTAAAATAAATAATGCTAATGTTTTGTTTACCTTGTTCCAGGTAAGTATAGGAGTAGGAATTCCAATGACTTCACAACTAAGGTAAACGTGTGATCCAGTGATATTCCAGATTTCATTAGGTTGTGTTACAATTACAGGTTCTGCAAAACAAGAAATAGAAAAAGAGCTTTATTTCTTTACTACTTAACATGTCACAATTCTGCACCTCACTTCAGCTGATTGAATATGGGGAAAGAATGAAGGAGTGGGACTAATTGAATAGCTCGTTCAAAAACCCGGCCGGCTTAGTTATGATCAGCCAATGGGCCAATCCTTCTGTGTTGTAAGATTCTAGTAGCAGGTTAATTGAATGAAGTAAAATATAGAAAATAATAAAATAATCCTTCACAGAGGAATTTATCCAATTCTGTATGGGTTGTACAAAGTACAGTTCACTTCTCTTCACCACAGAGTTCATAGCTTTTTATATAAGTAGCTCTTATTTCTTGCTCTGTCTGTTCTTCAAATGTAGACTCGTGGTTTACTGTCTAGTGTCCTTGGAACACTTTTTGTTGCACTTCATGTTCAATACACATGATTTCAAGTCCCCATAATTTTACAGAAGCCATTAAATTGATCATGGGAACAGGGAAGTGGCTATGTCCAGATGACCATATAGTCTACTTTAAGTCTTTGACATGTAGATTGAATGTATTTACCCAAAGCCAAGCTGAAGGAGAATTGAGCATTCAAACTGTGTGATCAGTCTCCCTTGATGATTAAATGATCTACACAAAGATTGAGGAGCAATTTCATGTGAACACCTAGGATTCCTGACCTACAAGCAACAGGGGAAAATACTTATGGTAATTGATCGATTACAAATTTTTAACTCTATTACTAGTCATTATTTTAACATGGTAAATTATTCAGACCAAACACAGATATCAAACAGCACAGTATTAGACGGGAATCTTCCTTTTCCACAGGAAAAGAGAGGTTTCCGGAAATAGTAATCTTCAATTATTTTGACTATTTTAAGGAGTCCATCCAACACAATGTTTATCAGTGAGACCATGCCTAAGGTCACCTCCTCCTCCCCCTGGCTCGTCATCGTGCTCCATCATTGTCACATGCTCTGGGATGCTACCCCATGTGAGGGGCGCTATATAAATGCAAATTATTGATGTTGAAACAGGTTACCAGGTTGAAGCCAGTACACTGCACTAACTGTAAAAATGGGTGATGCTATAATGGGAGGATTGTGGGTGGGTGGGTATATTCTGGAAGGATGAGATCAGATGGGCCGAAGGGCTTTCTTGTGATCTTTGGTGAAGTATCACACCCATACCTTGATGTGTCATTATCTCCTTCAGATGCTGAATGACCTCCAGTGAATTTCCAGCAATCATAGTTTTCTTTTTATTTGTAGTATTAATTTCACTTTTAAGTTTTTCTTTAGACACTATATATAGTGTTCAACAAAACCATGCAATTTAGAAACATTGAACATTAGCCTTAAACAGTATATCTGATCTCGGGAATATCCCAAATGTTCATATGTTATTGACTTGATATCCAGAATTGGATTTAAATGTTACCCATTAAACTAACATTTAATATCACTGCACTGCATTAGTTAATTATATTTAGTGCTCCAAATATTAAAACTTCTTACTTACTGCACTTTGCAACTTATAACCCAATGTTGTACATAGCAGGAATGGTTAAAATAATCAGCAATAGATTGGGGCTTGATAACCATGAGTGTTTACTGTAATATGCCAAACTTTGTATATCAGCTGTGAGAAGTTTATACGTGATGATGATCACTATTGTTGTAATTTATGCAACATGTTGTACGTTACTTTTTGATCTACAATATGCTCTGTATGCAGTGATATTGACAGCTCCATTTCAGTGTCACTTCATTGTAAAGCAGCAACTTCAAAAGCTTGAACTCCAGCCAGTTTCTGAGCAATGGAGATCACACCAGTGGTCTGACCTTTCAACCATCTGAAGATAAAAGCCGTGGGGCAATGTATAATAGTCTGGGAAGTGATATCTTGGCTAACAGTAATTTTTACACTGATAAGCTACTTGCCGTAAGTTAAGAAACTGCATATCAGAATGTATAGCCTTTACACCTGGGTAAGGGGGTCCCATTGTGTAACTGGCTAAAGTGATTTAACAGTTGCAATTAGTAGCTCCTCCAGTGGTTTGGGTGGGGAATATACTCTGCCCATTGTAGAACCCTTTTATTCCCCCAATCTGTTCTGAGATAGCTGAACTGGGATGCCAGTGACTTATAATCAATTGGCCTCAGTGTCCCTGGGCTAGAAATGGGAAAATCAACGGGCGTTCCTACCCCTTATTGCTATGCAGTGACAGCAAATGAAAGCAAATACTGAGTGAGGCTGGTTTAGGCTCAGCTGTTATTGTCCTTTTCACCAGTTTGTTAGCCTGACAACATTCACTCTTTATACTCTCCATGTGAATCTTTACTTTGGATGAGGCACGATAGTGTGATCGGTGCCTGCAATACCAGAAATCTTCAGGAGAGGGTGGTCTGGAACACATTAGTCATATTGACCCTCCTCACTAGCTCCTTATAGGTATAATAATAATAATAGCATACTTCGTAAATTATTATATATATTATTGAAGGTGAATAATACATAACAGTAGACACAACAACAACAACTTGCACTTATATAACGCCCACCACGCAGGGTACCATCTCAGAGCGCTTAACAGTGTCGGAGCCTGACTCTGAGTTGGGGGAGCTGGCCGTAAGCACGGGAGAAGAGGAAAGTTTTCAGGTTGGACTTGAAAGGGAGAGAGGGGGCAAGGCAGAGGGATTGAGGGAGTGTTCCAGAGTTTTGGGGTGTAGTGGCTGAAAGTGGGACCTCCGATGGTGGGGCAGTGGGTGCGAGGGATGAGCAGGAGGCCGGTGCCAGTCGAGCAGGGGCGTTGGGTGGTGGATTGTGGAGTGAGGAGGTCGGAGAGGCAGGGAGGTGCCAGGGAGTGAATGGATTTAAACACGAGAGTGAGGATCTTAAAGTCGATCCGTTGGGTGATAAGGAGCCAGTGAAGCCTGGCCAGAACTGGTGAGATGTGGGCACTGAGTTTGGTGTGGGTCAGTATGCGGGTGGCAGAGTTCTGAATGAGCTGGATCTTTTGAATGGTGGAGCTGGGGAGACCAGCGAGAAGTGAGTTGGAGTAATCCAGGTGGGAGGTGACAAACGCCAGCACAAGGTTTTCAGCCATTTGGGATAAGGTACGGTCGGAGGCGGGTAATGTGGCGGAGATGGAAGAAGGCAGGGACCAGATGTGGGGAAGGAAAACCAGCTGGGAGTCGAACTGGACACCTAGATTGCGCACTGGTTCGGTGAGTCTGAGGGAGAGCCTAGGGAGGTTGAGGAGTTTAGATCCACAGGAGTAAAGACGTTGACGGGAGCCAAGCAATATGGCTTCCATCTTGTCCACATTCAGCTGCAGGAAGTTTACACTCATCCAGGCCCTGATGTTTGCCAGACAAGTTGCTAGAACATCAGTGGACCTGGAGTTGGTACTGGAGGAGGCAAAGTAGATTTGTGTGTCATCCGCAAACATGTGGAAGTTTACCTCGTGTCTGCGAATGATATTACCCAGAGGGAGCATATGGATAAGGAAAAGAAGAGGGCCAAGGATAGAATCCCGCAGGTGACCGGGCAGGGGTGGAAAAAGAAACCATTTGCTGAGATGAAATGGAGGCGGTTGGTTAAAGAAGAGAAGGTAGAGGGAGCCTTGGTCACAGATAGAGAAAATATGACTTTGACAAGCGCTCTCTCTGTGCTGTGGTCATAATGAAAACCAGACTACAGGGGCTCGAGGAGGGAGAGGTGGGACTGAAGTTGACCTGCAACAAAATGTTCCAGGACTTTGGCAAAGAAGAGTAGATTGGAGATGGGATGGTAGTGTGAGAGATTAGAGGGATCGAGGGTGGGTTTTTTGAGGAGCGGTTTGATGACAGCGGCTTTCAGGGGGAGTGGAATAGAGCCTGAGGAGAGAGTCTGGTTGACCATGTCGGCCAGCAGGGGTTAGAGAAGTGGGTGTTGAGTGACCAGCAGCTGGGTGGGGAGAGGGTCAAGGTAGCAGGTGGTGAACTTCAACCAGATGATTGTGGTTGAGAGGGAGGGAGAAATGGGAGCAAAGGGGTGCAAGGAGGGGGTAGAGGCAGGAACCATGGTGGAGGGAGAAGGCAGTGTAGATGGTCTGGGTGGGGTAGAAGGGAACATGGGAGGAAGAGGACAATGCAGCCAAGCGGATGTTTTCAATTTTCGAGGCAAAGAAATCTAAGACCTCTTCACACTTGATGTTTCATGTGAGGATAGAGGGGGCTTGAGGGTGGCACAGAGGAAGTGATGGATGGTGGAAACCAGCGTCTTTGGATTGTTGCTTGCCTCCAGGATGACTTTGGAGTAAAAGTCAGTTTTGGCCTGTGAAAGGGAGGGGCAATAGGTATGGAGGTGCTCGAGCCACAGCTGGTCGTGAATCGTGAGGCCGGATTTCTGCCATCTGCGCTTGAGCGTCTGGGTTTGTATTTTGTTTGAGTGGAGATGACGTTGTACCGGGGGCAACAGGTGGGTTTGGAAAAAACCCTGGATTTCAGGTGAGCCAGAAAATTGACGGTTGTGGAGAGACGGTCATTCAGCAGCTTGACGGCTACATCAGAATCACTGCAGGTGGAGGGCCAGAGGGAGAGGAGGTCTGAGGAAGAGAGGGCATTTGTGAGGGCCTCGGGGGAAGCTTTTTCCAGGGGCGGAAAAAAAGGGTTTGGAAGAGGGGAAGGGTATGCGGGAGGAGAGAGAGATGAGCAAGTGGTCCAAGATGGTCTTGTCCGTAATGGACAGGTCGGAAATGTCAAGGCCATGTGTGGTGATGAGGTCGAGGGGGTGGCCATGGTTGTGGGTTGGCGAGTTGATGTGGAGGGTGAGGTTTAGGGAGGAGAGGAGGGCAGTGAAATCTGAGAAGGTGGTGCAAGGGGAGTTCAGGTGGAGATTGAAATCAACCATTATGAGCAGGTGTTCAGTGCAGAGGGACAGGGATGAGAGGAGAGAGGAGATATCAGTGAGGAAGGAGCCAGGCGGTTTGGGGGTGGGTAGTAAACCTTGGAGGA